ACCCATGACACTCAGGTCATTAGTGTCACTGACTTCCATCAGGAACTCCATGCAGTTCCAAACACTCTTTGTCTTCACCACTCATGAGGCCTTTAGTGCTGCCTGACTGTGAGAGAAGAAGGCTATCTTCCGAGAATGCATTTCTTCCTTTTTATTTCCATGGCGCAGTGTTCAATCGCTACAATTTCAGCCAGGAAAACTGTAGCATATTTACCTAGGTTTACCATTAGTTCAGTTTTTGGATTCATCCCGAAGACTCCAGCTACCTTGCCCTGGTCAGTTTTGGAGCCATCAGTGTACCTGTAGGAGTTTGCCTTTAGCAGTGTTCCTCTGGCCCATTCTTCCTGTTCTGGTATCAGTACCTTGTACTTTTTAGTAAAATTGAATTTTGGAGTAGTAGCATCGATTGGCATGCCTAATATGACATCTGCCTGTATCTCTTCCCTTAGTTTCCATTGTTTCTTACATGACCGATCCTTGCAGATGGTTGTCTATTTATGAGCCTGTAAGCTGCTGCTCTAGCTTCTTCTTATTAAAATATGAAGTGGTGGGAGGTTTAACAACACTTCCAGGGCTGCAGTTGGTGTTGTGCTCATGGCTCCAGTGACACTGAGACAGGCTTGTTTTTGGGTGTCACTTAATAGCCTGACTGCTTTGGCCTGAGAGCCTTGGTCCACCACACCACCGACCCATATGTCAACATTGGTCTTAAGATGCAGGTGTATAGCCATAGGGTTATTTAAACCCTCATAAACCCCAGTTTTTGGTGCAGAGCCTTCTGCACCTCCCCCAAGTAATTTTGACCCTCTGGGTGGTTTTCATTTGTGGATTCCATGTGGAGCCGCTGGTCTAGTGTGGTCCTTAGATATTTGGCCTTCTTGGAAAATGGGATCAGGGACCCAGGTTTTGGGCTTCCTATTTTGTCCTCTTCGTTGTGAATGGAATCATTATGGTTTTGTGGGGATTAATAGATAGCTCCTCCCTTTTGCACCACCTGTCAACCAGTCTGAGGGCTCGTTGTATCTGATCCATCACGATGTCTGCAGGGCAGTCCTTTATTACTATGGCAAAGTCATCTGTAAGCCTTGACAGGAGAATCCTTTTTGTTCCAGCATTTAGCAGTAGGAGTTTTTCTACCAGCGTCATCCACAGTAGAGCGGAGAGAACATGGTATATGGGGCTCTAGTATGGTGGTGAAAACTCTTAAAAAGGAGACACAGGACAAGCAACAAAGTCTACAAAGACTAGTGGTCTTAATATAACAGGGGCAATGCATACCTAACCCCGCTATAGCAATAGAAACCACACTCGACCTTCCACCCTTACAAATTTATGTACAAAAGGTGCCAATAGGCTCCTGAGATACAAAGAAATAAAGCCAGATCTAATTAGGAGCTACCATAAAATTCTGGGGAGAATTAAAATAAATGAGATGGCGATAACAGTACTTTGACTCTGCAGTGGTTGAAGGGAGTCTGGTGCAGCAGGGAGCCGAGTGCAGCAGTTGGCCAGTATAGCCAAGTCGGCTGTATTGAGAGGGTGAGATCCAGGCTAATGCTGCGAGTACCCTTGCTGTTGTCATTGTTGGTGCTCCATTATTGATTGAGGAAAGGTCGTCGGGTAGACAAGTCTGAAGTCAGTGGGGCAGTGCCCCTGCTTATTATGAAAGGGCTCTACTCTGATTGGCTGCAAGGTGGAGAGCGAGACTATTCCATAACCGGTAGTGGCACCTAGCGGGTACTGTGGTAACTACAGGTAGCCACCACATCACATTGATAATAGAGACCTTTGAAAGAAAGGTAGCCTCAAGTTTCAAGAAGGGGCCCTAATAATATACAGATGGATTAAAGATAGAACAGGGAGTAGTTGTATGGATAAAATGGCTGAACTAAACCATAGCAAAACCTCCTAGATTAATCCTCCTAATTTTCCAAGCTGAGGACCATGCAATACAGCTCAGTGCACAGGAGTTAATAAACAAAAATATGAAAGGTGCATAGATTTACATACTCTCAGACAATCAGGCAGCTTTAAAGGCACTAAATGCATATATTTTCAATTCCAAACTTTTCTGGGAGTGCCAAAATTGCCTAGCAAAATTACCTTAAAAAGGTTACAGGACTTGAAGGTACTACTACAAAATTGTTAGGTAATGAACAGGCTGACCAACTATCCTTAAAAGGTGCAGCCCTCTCATCCATGGGACCAGTATTACAACTACATGTTGTACTTAAGTTGGAACTGGAAAAATGCGTTGAAAAAGAAAAACTCAAGCACTGGGCCAAAAGTACCAGGTGTTGTATCTTGGACTGTCCAAAAAGGGCGATAGGTCTCTCATTATTCAAAAGAGAGCACTTGTATTACCTTCAATCCATGAGAGAACATGCAAAACCTCTATTTGTAGAAATTAAAGTAATATTTGTTTATACTAAATAATATTTTTTTTATTAATTATAATAATATAGGATTTTTTGTGGTTAATGTGCTTAATATGAAAATATATTTGAATGATTATGAATCAATGGAACAAAACATTGGCCTAATTCTTAGAAACAATGATTGCACCTATGTTAACTGCTCTTTGCATCTATGGCTCAAGAAAGTTCCTAAAAATTATATCATTTACTGACTAAAAAGTTCAAGTTAAAAAAATATATTATGGAGAATCCTCTGTAGTCTTTTAAGAAACATACTGATGCATTAGCTGCAATAAATAAATACAAAAAACCTTACATTTAGTTTTAGCTTTATAAAAATAATCAATAACTTAATATCAAAAGATTAAGTTATAAGAATTTGGAAGAGCCAATATGTGTGGATCCATTGAAGGATCCATGTATGGATCATTGTAAATAAATTAAAACAAATTCAATCTTGATGAGATTTTTTAAGATCATACAAACATATTTTGAAGAGCATGATAAACACCTTAAATGGCGAAGTGCTTTTTTAATATTCTAATTGCCATGTCTTATGTTACTTTTGGCTATCAAACAGCTATGACCTAAATCCTGATGGAGAGGGATTAAGTTGGGCAGATCATCTGCTTCATTAAAAAGTGATATCAACATGTGGTCATGGAACTCTTCTGAAGTTGACCCAGCTTAAGTAACTTCTAAATATGAATGCATTCAGTCCCTAGATGAAAAAATTGCATGATAATTTTATAGATTATGTATGCATTTAACATGATGTCAATAGTTTGTTTAATTTTAAAATTGCCTCTTTTATTTATTAATTTTGTTGTACAAAGTCCAGACAATATACATTCCCAAAATAGGACAGTAATTACAGTTTAGAAAATAAAAAATTAAAATACAATTTAAAAACTAGACATAAAGGTAAATTTACATTTAATGTAATTATAGACAGTGTGTTCTCTGGCCAACTTGGCCTACTGAATGAGTTAACCATCCAATTAATCATTTATATTCTTTATCACTGCGAAGAATGGGTCGCCAATATCTGATGAGTCATTGAGGAGACGACCTAGGTGAGAAATATAAATGGAAAACCCATAACTCGTTTTATGAAAAGGCGCATGAAAGAGGTTAAAGTTTCTTATTTTCCAATTCGGAACATTCAGATGAAGTGAGGAGACTACCTTAGAAGCATCAATTAAACCATTAAGTACTCTCATGCAAAAGGTGAGTAAACCAGCAATTCTACTCAGGCCTGTTCCATCTTTGGCCCATCATAATTCTGTATTCCTAAAACTTGGGGGTTGCCTTTTTTCCAAACATTTCTAATATCTATGGCCACTGCTGTCAAAGTTGAGTTTTCCTCTCATTTTAACTGGTACCTTTACAGCCATCTCATTTATTCCCTATAGAATTTTATGATTGCTTCTTACTACCTACATCTCCTTGTATCTCAAGAGTCTGTCAGCACTTCAGTACATGTATGAGTAAGGGTGGGAGATTGCAGTTTCCATATTATTCTTTAAATAATTTTGTGATGGCTTCTTAGATCTGGCTTTACTTCCTTGTATCTCAGGTGACTGCTGGTACTCTCGAAAGCCTCCTTTTGTACTTGAAGGTTGGGAGATTGAGTACGGTTTCCATACATGTTATGGGAAAAGTAGTAGGTTATTGATTGTCATTTCTTCAATGCCTTTCCCTGGATTTTCTTTGTATCGCAAGTTATGTCTCGAATGAGCAGTTGCTTCGCAAGATGATATGGGTGGCAGTTTATTCTTTCTCATTGCATAACTTACAAATGGGGTCATCGTTGAGTTTCTATGTAGTGTAGGTGTTTTCTGAGATGCCAGTAACCTATCACTTCCCTGAGGTTAGCTATATGTTAGTTTTGATGAAGATTCTTTAAGCATTAGTTTACTATGTTTGGAACCTCTAGAATTGGTCCAGACTCATTCATGTGACTATGTCTGATCTTGTTATCCCAATTATAGGTTCTGAGCTTGTAGTAATCCCCATTGGAGCCATCTCATCTATTTTATTCTCTACAGAATTTTGTTCTGTTTTCTTCTTACATCTGGCTTTATTTCATTGTATCTCAGGTAATTGTTGGTACTCTCAAAAGCCACTTTTTGTACATAAATAAGGCGAGACGAAAATAAAACGCGGTATTAATAAAAATCCGGTTTAATTAATAACAGAAAGTGACCAGCAGTACTGATGTGGGCCGCGTTTTAACGGAACGACCCCAGCCGAGCAAAATCGCGGAGGGGGCGACAACGATTATTTCAAGCCGGCAAAATTGGTCGAATTGTATAAAATCGGCTTTCCTCCCCAAAAGAAAATCGCGGATTTCAATTCGCCTGGAATTTTATATACCAAGCCAAGTCGTACGTTCCGCCCGGCGTCAGAGAATATTGAACTTAAAAATCCAACGGCCCACTTTTATTGATCTCCGGTCGTCCAAATTGACAGAATCGAGTTTTTTTACCATTAAGATCGACTTTAAAATCAAAACGAGCCTAATCCAAAGAAATTAATTTTGTTCGGTTTAATAACCCCCCCCCCCGGTAGGGACGTCTCGTCATCACTGGTAACCTCCGATTTGATTGCATATGGCGAATCGTCAGAGCCTTTCGCTTGCGACAATTATTTGTTGATTAAACCGGGAAACGATAATAGTTTAATTATAAGTAAAGAACCGTCTCGGCTAACTATAAATTATTATTCACGTAAGTCGATTTTCTCTCGACGTTTTTCCCTTTCCCGGCGCAACGGCTGTTTTGTTGGTTTTTCCAGTGGGAGTGCCTTCTTCGGTTCGGCTAATAAACGATTTAAATTAGTTTATTCGGTATCAATTTAATTCTTTTATCCTCCCCCTTTTCACTGTTGTCGTTATCGCCTTCTTTTCCTGTTCTTCTCTTCTACGAGCAGAAGCCCTTATCGCATCGTAGGCCGCAATCCCCCCTTGCTTTTTTCCCCCGTATCGCCTTTTATTGGGCGTTTTGATAACGCTTCTGATAATAATTTCCAATAAAATCGCCTTTGCGCCGTCTCTTCTTCTGAGACGAATTAACTCATCGGCTCGCTGCAACGCATTTTGCAAGCGGTTTGACTTTCGTTGTTTTTTGCTTTTTTTGTTTTTGTTTTTCTCGTCGAGACAGATCGCATCGAGTGTGACCGACTGTCGCCCCGACTTGATGCGCCTCCCGTTTCGTCCTCGTCTTCCGGCCGATCCGTAGAAAACTGCTGTTGTTTTTTTTGTCTGTAAAGGGTCGCAATCGGCGAAGGTGCGGGGTCTGAAAGGAAAGAGCTTTCGAAACTAAACAAACCGACAGACATGCCGGCGGTACGTGGAGATGGAATGCGAGGTCTGGCTGTTTTCATCTCGGACATCAGAAACTGTGAGTAACGCCGTATTTTCAATATTTTAACGTTTTCGTACATTCCCGTAATTTATTTCCTTTTGCCGATCGCCGCGGTCACGTTCTCTTGGTGGGCGTTTCTCCTTCTAATTGCGTTTACCGATACGACGATCGTAGGCCTTCTAAAGATCCGTAAAGTACCGCTTTCAAAGAAAATTGAACTTATTGACATTTCCTTTTCACCCGACACTCATAAACGTCTATTAACTCCTGTTCCCTTTCAATAAAACCCCTATCAATTAATTTACATTAAATAAAACACATTCACAATAGTCTGCCTAAAATACACTGCACCGCTACAAAATAAAACCCACACACAACTCAAAACGCGAGAACTAAACAGAAGACTTCTTAAAAGATTGTTAGACAAGCGAGAAAAACGGACTCTACAAAATAAACGACCCTCATACACACAACTCAAAAAACAAGAACAGACGCTTTTTCTGTACAAGCCCAAAACATGAGCAGTAAAACTCATTAGGGAAGTAAACCTCGGCCTTTCAAGCTGAAATACATGCCACCTTAAAAAATCTTAAAAGAAGTTACACGGACAAAAATCCTCATAACATCGTATAGCCAAGCATTAGCATGTAAAAAAATCACATCAAAACTAGTGAATGCATCCAAAATCTCCAAAACCTGGAGAAACACAACAACCTGATGTTATCTTGGGTGCCAGGACACAAAGGAATTTTGGGTAATGAAAAAGCAGACACACTGGCCAGAGTAGGCAGATATGCAAGACCATACATAGGCCTCATACCTATACTTGGGATAACAAAAACAAATACAGAATCCTCCATCACAGAATGGATCCAAATAAAACAAAAGGAGTAGTGTCAAAACTAGCAGCACTAGATACAATAAATATGCTAAAACAATCCTCATCACCTCACCAAGACTGGTAAACTCACTGCTGCAGTTGGAGAGGGCCAGACTCAGAGGAGTGATATTACTATTTACCGGCCACTGGCATCTGAGCAAACAACTACACAATGTGGGTTCATTCAATGATGACCCCATTTGTAGTTTATGCAGTGTTAAGGAAGAAATAGCCATCCATATCATCACCAAAAGCGAAGCAACTGCTCAATGGAAACAAAATCTCGGATATAAAGAAAACCCGGGAAAGGAATTGTAAGCAATGACAATCAATGACCTAATACTTTTTATGAAAAGATTGAGTCGATTGCACTAAACTAAGGAACTAGGATAGTACAATAGTACAACAAACAAAAAACCCACTTCCTGATATCCATCATCAATATCATCATTAAAAAAACAGACACTTCAGACTTCTTAAAAGATTGCTAGAAAAATTATCAAAACTCAATGTACAAAATAGACGTCTCATTTATAATACTTTTTTGAGACCATTTGGACATATGACATCGAATTTTGGGGTTCAGCAAAACATTTCAACGTCTCATTTATAATACTTTTTTGAGACCATTTGGACATATGACATCGAATTTTGGGGTTCAGCAAAACATTTCAACCACCAATGCATCCAGTTCCTACAATCCAAAATCTTCAAAGCTCATTTCTATATATTCACTCTTTCTATTCACATTGAGCTTAATATTGTCACAAACAATTATCCACACAAACCCTTGTGTAAGAAACTTACCATCGTGCACCCTTCCAAGAAATTGTCCCTGATTGTTGAAGCGTCACTGTACTCAAGACCGTGTACCACTGTGCACTATGTAGCAGTGGTAATGATAACACTAATATATAGATAGTTATTCAGATATCGTGAGATGCGGTCGGGTGTGATGTAGGTTTCAGAAAACATTTTCTTTATTGTGCCAACGTTTCGATCTTTTATTGATATCATCTTCGGGGCTTGGGATTTACAAACAATGTTTACATTTAACAAATACATTTAGGATGTGGAAAAGTGAATTTATACAATGCAAAATATATTTTATATTCAAACAAAGTATTTCTATTCACTCAAAGTGTTTGTCTTCTGTGTAATTGTGCCATCCTTGCGTGTCGTGTTGAGAGTGCCAGTGAGATTTTGCTGTTTTATGTTTATATATGTTTGGTTTTGAAGGGGTGGGGAAGGAAGTCGGTATATAAAAGATAATTTTGTGTAAGGCGTCGGTTTCTTTGATGTGAAAAGATCTCTCATCTCACGATATCTGAATAACTATTGATTAACGGTCACTAATCTCTACACACACTAATATATAGAAGTGACTACTAATGAGTAGTTCCTCTTTTTCTTATTTATGCATATTTTTATATTTTATATGTTCAATTTGTGTCCTAAGATCTTATCAAAATTACTTAAGTGCCAGTATTGGCGCAGGTGTAAATAAATAAATTTTAAATCTGACAAATGTCATTGGAAAAATAAAACAAAATTTAAACGTATAATGCAAACAGGAAAAAGGGGAAAAATACTTTAAAACGAAACAGCAGAGAAAGTCTACCATGGCACTCATCGTAAACTGGTGAGAGTTAAAATAACTTAAATTGGCCACAGACAAATGCCAAGTGTTGTTATTGAAATGAGAATACCCCCACGACCAAAATTGAAAACAAGCATATCAAGCCAACTCATAAAGTAAAGTATTTGTGAGTTGTAATTGAAAAAGGCTAAACCCACTCTTCTACTTAATTAAAGTTGGAGAATCGACACATTGCACTTTTGCTAAACTGGGAAGAATTGCTAAATGTGTGGGTTTGAGTCCAAAGGCATTTTCCACAGTACACAAGAACATTTATATTCCTATAGCTACCTTCAGCCGCCTCGTGGGGTTCAAAATTGCAAGTGAAGTCAAGGCACACTCTGGCTAAGTTTGAATTCGCTTGCGTTCAAAACCACAGGACGTATAGCTGTTTTATAAATTTGAAGCTTATGACTAGGTGAAATGGACTTGGATTTCATAAAAAGGTTCAATGCAAAGAGGCATTTTTCTTTTTACTACACTTTTTAGTTTTCACTGCTTTGTGAATATGGCATTCCTGTGCATCTTAAATTCTAAGCGAACTAACATTCTTTGATGACAAAGTTGACGTCATTTAAATAATGTTTATTTTCATAATTTAAAATGAAAATCCCTGTTTTATTTAATTGTATTGTTGTTTCTTTAATATCCCCATGAATACGTTTGTTTGTTTTATCAGATTTAAACCAGTGCTGCCAAAGCTCTACACTATAGCAATTATGATTTGATACAATATTTAGATTAAAAGTTTTGTATACATTCGTTGATTTATTTAACACGTTCAGGGCTGGCTGGAATTTCAATTTTCACCCACCCTCTTGGGCATATTTTTTCCAAATTAGTCGTGAGAAAAACATTATTTTTTTATTTATTTTTTTATTTTTTTAATAATGAGGGTTTCCAACAGCAGAGGTTATATCAACCCTCGGGGTGCCGGTGTTTTTGAGAAAAAACCCATTTGTAAGTATGTCGGGTTCGAATCCTGTGGCTCTGTATTCGTACCCGGGATGTTTACCTTACAGTGATAAGCGTCGTGTCAACGCCTAAACCGTTGCGGCCAACGACGCCCCCATTTATTTCCTATTGTGTAGCCTACATGTTGCTATACAAATTGTTTCTATTACTGCTGGAAATAGGTACTATTATATCAGTTACAGTACCAAGATATCTTAGAAGTTTACATATTTATATATATGCATTTATTTTTTAACAAATATGCAAGTAAAAAATAAAAATATGTAAAATAAAAAACATATAGTGGTTCATTTTTTTTAATAATACTTTTATAATTTACTCATATTAGTTGAATGTGTAAAAAGGAAGAATAATAACGCGTTAATAAAATAGAAAAATAAACCTTTAATTTTCAAATTTATGTAAAATAAATAAAAACTCATTTTTTTAATGGTTAAGTTACAAGTGGAAGTATATTATGTATTTGAAGAATAAGAAAAAGTGAAAAAAAAATTATCGTCAAAATTATTAAAATAATGTACATTTTTCAATTTTTGAAAGCAAAATTACTTAGGTATGGTGCTAAAATATTTTTATACGGACTAGAAGAACGTTCCATGTCTACAGAGGTAAAATTAAATTGAAGGCTGCAATTTAATTTGGAGTGAGATTTGCTATTTTCCCAAATGAAAATAAAAAGTTGAATGCAATAAAAGCTAAATTTTGCACAAGTGCATGTACTTCCATAATTTATTTAGCCTTTTGTAGGGCTCAGCGCTTTCTTTGAGTTTTGCAATGACGCCCTCAATTTTTAGAAAATTTTCACTGCAATGTACGACTGCTTCCATCCAGGTCCTCCATCGTTAAAACCCTTACTCTACTCGGGTGCTTTAAAGAAAATTAGTTTTATGTTGGTAATCAAAGAATCTGAAAAGTCACTTCGTACATTATCCTTAGTGATTCTATGAATGGCATGAGCATCTCGTGTTACATGTGTGATAGATTTTCCTGTTACCTTTTTTACGAATTTTTTTATTTCTTTTGAAATCTTTAGCTCTCTAAAAACTTCCTTACATTTTGTTCTCGTTTTTTAAATTTCAATCATTTTGTTATTTATTTTATGAAATATTGACTAAAATAGTAAATTAAGGTAAAATAATTAGTGTCAAATCCTACAAATATGTAAAAGTGAATACATAAATCCTGTCACTCATAATAAAAAATTACTTTGGGTTTAGGTAAGCCCATTTGTAATCGGCGGTGTGGGGAATTCTACTCTAATTGTAGCACCCTTGCCAAACACTTTTGTCTTTATTTAATATGGAAAATACTCCAAATCTATTATTATATTTATGAAATGTTTTATCTCTAAAATTTGGTTTTGTTTTTTATTTAAGGTAAGAGTAAAGAAGCGGAAGTTAAAAGAATCAACAAGGAATTAGCTAACATAAGAAGCAAATTTAAGGGTGACAAAACACTAGATGGGTATCAGAAAAAGAAATATGTGTGCAAGCTCTTGTTTATTTTTCTTCTGGGTCATGATATCGATTTTGGACATATGGAAGCTGTGAACCTTCTTTCATCTAATAAATATTCTGAGAAGCAAATAGTAAGTTCAGTTTTATATATATGTAATTGGTGCTAAATTTTTGGTTAAAACTTATGATTTGTTTAAAACATTAGTCTCTATAAACCATTGAAGATTAAATATTGAAAAGTTTCACATGAGAATCTCTACGGTGTTGTTGACTGGGTTTAGACCTCAGTCTAATCCATCCTGCCTGCCAAATTAGGCTCCTGGGCTATCGACATCTAGGTCATTTCGGCTCCCTACTCATGCATGTTATTAAGCTAAACATTTAAGCACAATTCTCATTTAGTAGCATACTTTCTCTCCATGTGGAGCTAAGAAATGACATCTTTCAATTTCCTTGTATGCATTGAACATTTTTCTGCATGGTAGACATGCAGGCTCCTTGGTAGTTCTTAGATCAACAAATAATTTATTCACATCTGCTTTTAGGGTTACCTATTTATATCTGTATTAGTTAATACAAATAGTGATCTCATCAAATTAATTATCCAAAGCATAAAGAATGATCTCGCATCTAGGTAATCATTTTAACATTATGATTTGGATTGTGACACTACTTGATAAATAAATTTATTTAACACATATGATTGTTTCAGAAATCCAATTCATGTCAACTTGGCTATGCAGTGTATTGCCAACATTGGAAGCAAAGAAATGGCAGAAGCTTTCGGTTACGATATTCCAAAGTTATTGGTTTCAGGGTATATTTTTTTAAAGTATAAAAATTAACATCTAAAGCCCGTATAATATATTCTATTCTAATTTTGTAGTGATACAATGGATGTTGTAAAACAATCAGCCGCTTTATGCTTGTTGAGGTTATTCAGAACTTCTCAGGAAATAATACCAGGAGGTGAGTGGACTTCTAGAATCGTCCATTTGTTAAATGACCAGCATTTGGGAGTTGTAACCGCCGCTGCTTCATTAATTGACGCATTGGTGAAACGGAATCCTGATGAATACAAAGGTTGCATAAGTCTAGCAGTCTCAAGACTGAGTCGTGTAAGCATTTCTTGTTGCTAACATTTTTTAAAAATATATTTGTTAATTTAAAGAATTTTTTGATAAATCTGTTTTACAGATTGTTACATCAAGTTATACTGATCTTCAAGATTACACTTACTACTTTGTTCCAGCCCCATGGCTTTCTGTAAAATTGCTTAGATTATTGCAAAATTACACACCTCCAGGTTTGATTCAAAGTTCTTTTTTATCAGTTATTTCTGTTTTAATTGAGATTAAAACAATATTATGCTATTGTTCTATTGTTGCAGAGGACCCGGGTGTAAGAGGTAGATTGAACGAGTGTCTAGAAACAATTTTAAATAAAGCCCAGGAACCACCCAAATCCAAAAAGGTTCAACATTCTAATGCTAAAAATGCTGTTTTGTTTGAGGCAATTAGTTTAATTATTCACAATGATAGGTAAATACTGGTAGGTTTCTAATATGGGAAAACATGTTGTTCAACGCTTTAATTTTGTTTAACAGTGAGCCAAATTTGTTAGTTCGTGCTTGCAACCAATTAGGGCAGTTTCTTTCTAATAGGGAAACAAACTTGCGATACTTAGCTTTAGAGTCTATGTGCCTTTTGGCAACCTCTGAATTCAGCCATGAGGCTGTAAAGAAACACCAAGAAGTAGTTATTTTATCAATGAAGGTAAGACAATAATTTTTTTATAATTATCTGAAGTTATTATATTAAAAGAATTTTATTTACATCAGTGTTTTGTTTTTTATTAGATGGAGAAAGACGTTTCTGTCCGACAACAAGCAGTAGATCTTCTGTATGCTATGTGTGATAGGAGTAATGCTGAAGAAATTGTACAAGAAATGTTAAATTACTTAGAGACTGCTGACTACTCAATAAGAGAAGAAATGGTAAGTTATATTAAAATTGTTGTTCCTATACACTCATATTTTTTGTGTATGCATAAGTTTTTTTTCCAGAAAAAAGTCAAACTTTCAAAATATAATTTTTTTTTTATTCTAAACATAATTTCCTTCATTTTGGATAATTCAAATGATAATTGCCAACATTCTGATAGCAGAAATATCTCCTTTTTGTAAAAGCCTGATGACTTAAGACTAAAAGAGATCTCTGATGTTCAGAGAGTTTTCACTCAAAAATTCCCTTCCTTTTAAGTGGTTGGTTAAGTGGTGTTAAATAAGGGCCTGGAACATATAAAAATGGAAAGGGGTAAGGTCTGGAGAGTATGGGAGGTGGATTAACAGCCTCTGTGATTTTACTCTCAAGTGAGTACATTTGTGTGAGGCCTGTTATCATGGTGAATCACGATTTTACATATATTGGCTGGAATTTTTCCTTAAACACTGACCCAAGACACTCTAAATGGCCATAGCATACCTGTACCTGTGGTCTGATTGTGTGGTATCAGTTCCCAATAAATTATTCCTCGAATGTCCCACCAAACAGACAGTAGGTCTCTTGATGTCAACGGTGCCGTTTCATTCTTCTTGTAAATGATCCTTCAGCTTTTAACATTTTTGTAAAGTACCCACTTCTCATCCTCTTTGACCAAATAGGAAATAAACCCTTCCGATTTATTCCTATTCAGGAGTGAAACTCAAGCCAATCTTTCTTGTTCCTAAGTTTCACAACATAACCCAAGATCAGATTCTTCTTCTTAGTGTTATGCAATATATCTGAAATCTTTGATCGCTCTGATAAAGTTAATTTAGCCTCATTCTCCACTAATAATTCGTCATTTTTAAGCTTGTTGTGTGTACTAAACAAGGCTGTCTTTGATTCGTCTTTCTCCATTATGAAAACAATGGAACCACTGTTGATTCATACTTCTAGTTACTAAGTTATCATCACAAATTGCATATAAATTTCAACAGGCATACGCTGCTCTATGCCTGATATTGAAATCTTATAGCAAGGAATATCTCAAATGAATTTTATTTGCTTCCATGTCATATGCATCGCAGACTATTTTAGACTGACTGTTGGGATCAACTACCTCTTTCTTAACAATCTCTTTCATAAGTGCTTTTCCCACTCTAGAGCTAACAGTGCTAGAAAGTAATAGGATCGCCTTTATAAGAGTGAAAGTCTAAATTTGAAAAAACAAGTATGCACACCCCAAATACACCATATTCATTTTACTCGTCTTATTTTAAGGTTTTGAAAGTAGCAATTCTTGCGGAAAAATATGCTACTGATTATACATGGTATGTTGATGTGATATTAAACCTTATTCGTATTGCTGGTGACTATGTCTCTGAAGAAGTTTGGTATAGAGTAATACAAATTGTTATCAACAGAGATGATGTTCAAGGCTATGCAGCGAAAACAGTATTTGAGGTACATGATTCACTTTTTGTACAATTTGTAAGGTTTATAAAAAAATTCTACCTTGAAATTTATGTTTACAATTTTAGGCCCTGCAAGCCCCAGCTTGCCATGAAAATATGGTGAAGGTTGGTGGTTATATTCTAGGAGAGTTTGGAAATTTGATCGCTGGAGATCAACGTTCAGCACCTATAGTTCAGTTCCATTTGTTACATTCCAAGGTATATCAATTTTTTTTAAATTACAATTTTGATCCTTTCTATTGGGGCTTCAGTGACCTCGACTATTTGTGGGAGGCAATCCTTATCCTAAATGTGTTGCCAGATCTAGTTACGACATTTTGCCACTCAATTTAGGGATGGTAACAATGAGACCAAATAAACTAAATGTTAAAATTGAAATTCACTTTAAATCTAGGCATAAACACTTTCTGTTACATTCACCTTGATTTTAGTATCATCTTTGTTCGCCAATGACCAGAGCTTTACTTCTTTCCTCATATGTAAAATTTGTAAACCTTTTCCCGGAAGTTAAATCAGTCGTCCAAGAAGTTTTCAAACAGCATAGCAATTTAAGAAGTGCAGATGCTGAATTGCAGCAGAGAGCATCTGAATACTTACAATTAAGTATAATTGCTTCTACTGATGTATTGGTAAGTATATAAAATGTAATTTTGTCTTTGACATGAACATAAACTAATAAGGAAGATTTACCTCAGGCCACTGTCTTGGAAGAGATGCCATCTTTCCCAGAAAGAGAATCATCTATTCTTGCAGTTTTAAAAAAGAAAAAACCAGGAAGAGTACCGGAAAATGAAATTCGACCTGCACTTGCACATAGTAGTGTGACTTCTTCAGAAACCACCAACAATCATGCAGCCAATTTACAAGTAAATGTATAATTCAATCAGATATCTTTATTAACAGCCTATATTATACAAATAGTAAGGCCTCGTGTCCACTGGGAGGAGAAAGGTGCGAAGGAACAACATTTTCTTGTGAATCTCTACACACGAAATGATACATGCATTTCTCATCCACTAGGGCAACATTTGTCTGAATTTTGTACTGGCAACTTAGAGGTGTGGTTATTGCAGACAACTTTTCTAAAATTGAATTGAATTGATCACTTTAGATTTTATCGCTCAGTAAATAATTTTTCCTTTCGGTCCCGTAAATATAGCCTCTCCTGGGACAGAAGAATTAATTAATTTCTCACAGTCTATTAGTCAAGTAGACCTTTTCACACCAGTTAACAGGAAAGATCCAAACTGATTTGGATCTGTTTACTTCTTGTAGCTTTCCACAATATTTTGCATGGACAAGACGGATGAGTGCTGACTTTGGATCATTCACCTGTTTTCATGACTATTTAGACAAACTTGAATTTGGACCTTTTTGTAGGGTTTCTGCACTCAGTGGATGTGAGGCCTAAAAGGGGAGGAGATGATTAAAGTTGATCAGTTTTTTTAATTTTTTATTTAAATATAGTTTTATTTATTTAAAATCATCAACCTGCTGATTAATAAACAGTAATAATTTGTTGTTTTTCTCTTCACTTTAGGCTCAGTCGACTAACAATATTGCTACAGACCTCTTAGGGCTATCAACTCCACCAGCACCAACCAGTATTGGTATATTACTCGATGTGCTCGGTGATATTGGATCAAATACAACAACTAATGGGGGGACACAGCAGTCGAATGTTTCTCAATCACAAAATACATACAACCCCAAAAAGTTAGTGTAGATGGTATACCGTATAATACTTATTGAATTAATTTTTGCCTTTGTAGGTTTGTGTGTAGGAATAATGGAGTTCTCTTTGAAAATGACTTGATACAGATTGGTGTCAAATGTGAATTCAGACAAAACCTGGGTCGTTTAGGACTATTTTATGGAAATAAAACTACTTTTCCGTTACAGGTACTGAAGATCAATCAATTTTTGACTATTTCATTAAAGTTAGTAGTAATACAATTTTTTTTCCAGAATTTTAGTGCATCCCTTCTTAACCCAAATGAGTGGGTTTCTAAATTGAGTCTACAGATTAAACCGGTTGAACCGTTATTAGAAGCCGGTGCACAGATTCAGCAAATGGTTAATGTGGAATGTGTTGAAGATTACACTGGTAGGTAGATAAATATTTCTCTTTATCAATTTGTAAAACCAAGCAGTAGACAGAAAACTTTACCAAACGGACACTTCTAATAACTAATGCCCTCCAGGCCAAACCACTGCGATCTGACCCACTGATGTACAAGTAGTAAAGAATGCAATAAAAAAAATATTAGTTCTGTATGTAGTAATTATTTTGCCATTGGTCCCATAAATATATACTGGACAAGAATTTTTTACAGTCCATGCCTCCATGGTAGGCCCCAGGAGGACCCATTCGTACCAGTTCCTAGAAAAAAGCCCTTGACTATTTTGGATCCGTTTACTTACCACAACTATATGCAATATTTCTGACGAACAAGATGGGCATAATAGACAAGGGAATGTGTTTGTATTGTCAGCCTGTTTTTAAACAAATTGACACTCGTCTCAGATTTCTGGTCCTATAAGATGCCTTAGTACACTTTTTGATGTGAAATTGTTAGGATTTTTAATGAGCCATGGACATAAAGAAAGCAATTCTTTTAATTGAAGAAATTGCTTTTGAAAGAAAAAATGAAGTGAAATTTTTGACCCTTAGAATAAGCGGACAAAATCCCAATCCTGAGTCTGCTTATAGGAAATATGACTTTACCTGCTCATATCTATTGTAATTAATTCCTTTTATATTTTTGTTATAGATGCTCCTCAAATGACAATAATGTTTATTTACAACAATGTTCCACAAAAGTTAATAGTAAAACTTCCAATATTTATTAATAAGTTTTTCGAGCCGACAGAAATGAATGGCGAATCATTCTTTGCGAGATGGAAAAATCTTGGAGGGTACAAAAAAAAAGTTTAAAATACCACAGTCATGTTTGGTTCTAATTATCAAATAAAATTACAGGAATGCCCAAAAATCTCAGAGAATATTCAGAGCAACCCAGGGAATGGATTTGACTGCGACTAGGACAAAATTGATGGGATTCGGAATGCAGCTTTTAGACGGAATCGATCCTAATCCTGATAATTTTGTTTGCGCGGGTATAGTACACACGAGGACACAACAGATAGGATGCCTTTTACGTTTAGAACCTAACAAACAGGCACAGGTAATTATACAACTATTTGTCATATTGTAAATACTCTCAAAATATTTAGTTACTTATGCGGAATTCTAGATAGAAAATAACTTTTTTAAGCTCAGTAATTGTCATTTAACATGAAACATAATGTAAAGGTACATATGTCTTTTATACTAATTAGCATTAATGTCCGAATAACCTTCAAGTGTCATGGAATAATTAATTTAATTGATAAACTCAATTCACCCACTTTGGTGTTTTGGCAGTCGTGGGTCTTACCTATCCTGCCACTGAAATTCGGCTCCAGGGGCTGTCAACAGCTAGGTCATTTAGGCCTCCAACACATTCAGTTTTAACCTAAGCACATTCATTCTTAGTATGTTCTCTCTTATTTACTACCTTTCACCCAAGTAGAGTGAACTGTAAAAACGTGCAATTTCTGGTAGTAATACCAGAACATGCAATTTTGTGCAAAATGAGAATAGTGTTAAAAGTCTTGGTTTCATAGCAATTGGAGAGAGCAACAAAAAGATACAATTGCACGGGAATCCGGTCTTTAGTCATCCTATTCTGCCCCTATCCTTCGCAGGGCTGGTGTGTCAGATATGTTTCAGAATTTCTTTTATAAGTACGAGATTTCTTCATGTGGTATGTAGGGTGATGCACTTGTAATTTGGTCACTAATGATCAGCTTATCCTTGCAGCATTTGTATGTCAGAAAAATGGTTAATCCTTGGGTCACCTACGATTTCTGGAGGGAACTGGGGTAATTCTGTGTATATAATATTTTGCTTATTTTTTCCTTCTTTGTTTCGTTTTCTTGTTACAACGTTCTGTAATGTTTAAACTATGAAAAAAATGAACGTTTATTGTCTATGTTCCTTTGATTTTATTTATTTATTCTTTTCTTTTACAGATGTATCGCTTGACAGTTAGATCAAGTAAAGAGGCGGTGAGTCAAGAGGTGTATGATTTATTATGTGACCAATTTTAATAGACAAGATCCTTTCTACATCTCTGGTAAGGCAGCTACTTGTTATACAGTCCACCCCTCTTCCTCTGTAATACTGAAATTATAAATCGTGCTTGATCATGATAAAGTGTAATAGTGACCCATTATTAAAAATAAATAAAAATTTATCTCAAGGTAGAATTTCCTTTTTATAATTAGAATCATATTTTGTGTTCTTAATTTTATCACTTATCAAAAAACCTGTGAAATTGTGATTGTTGAATGGGGTTATTAATGTTATTATTTATTAATCAATCAATTAATCGTCATTGCCTCTTATCATCAATATTGTAACATATATACACATAAATATATCTTATAAAAACATACATATGCATATTACCATAATATTAAAATGTCCTTGGTTTTATATTTTTGTTTTTACATTAAATTTTAATGTATTGCTTACAGATAATATAAATGGAATGAGCATTGAAAAAAAATTATAATTTGTTATAATTTAAAAGTTATTATTTATATAAGGAAACTGAAAAAGAAATAAAGACATTTTATTATACAGTACTATGTTTGTGTATATAAAGTATTAATTGTTTGAATAATGTAGAGATGGTTTAGGCCTATGTATACACTGTAAATTACCAAACTGAGTTGTAACTACTATATATATACATCTTACAGTTAACTGTACTGTATATACATAGTGTATAACTTTTAAAAAATTTAATCTGTTGTAAATTTTTTTATGTTATAGATAATAATTAGTAAATCGATAATATATTGTAATAACTTAAAAATGTTGTGCCATTACTGAAAGGCATATATCACATTGGTGAGAACGTTTTATTTAGCATGCATGTTTTTGCCTGTATGTATGTATGTATGTATAAAAGGATAAATGTGAGCAAAACGCAATGTATTGCAAGTGAAACCTTCTTGTAATTATAGTAGCAATTTAAAATTATGGACAAAGATGTACCTATTTATGCCAGTCTTTTTGCCAGGATAGTCAAATTAAATATTTTAGTTATATGAATATTATTGTTTGTATACTTTTTATATTGTTTAAATCTTTACATTTGAATCTATTTGTACTAAGTGATTTACACCAAAGGTATTAAAGTTTATTATTTATCCATGTCATTATAAAGAGACTATGTTGGTTTGTACCCTTAATTTTACACTTTCATTTACAAATTCAGTCAACAATAGGTTGTCCTTTTCATGAAAGTAGATGACCTTAAACCAATGAGCATAGAGACTAAATGTGATCACAATGTTTTTTTATTCGTGTTCATGAACAATGATATTAAACCATTGTTGTAAAAGAAGAATAGATCTTATATATCCCTTAAGAAATTCACAGCATATGTTTTCTAAAAAAATAAATAAATAAAGCATAAAATATACAAATATTATATTTATGTAAACAAAAACAATTAGCTTGAGATGTAAACACATCTAGACGGCTTGAACTGTGTATAATTCAAATAGTTATGAAATTGATATATATGTATAGGTAATAAGATAAAAATATATCTCAGTTTTAAGAAAAATGAGCAGTGTACAAATGGGTGCATGCTAAATATAGCATAGAAACAATACTGATATTATTTTTATGTTATTAATATAAAAGTTTATTATATTTCCCAGTTATTTATTTGCCAATTACTTATATAAATTCCTATTCTCATTCCAATCAATTAAGCTTTTATAATCTCATTCTTTCTTCTGTGATTCAGATATTATTTTATGAATGACAATAAGAAAATAAAAGAACTAAGACTATTATTATTTATCCACTCTATTAATTTATTTGTTGTGTAGATTTTTTCTATTATCCCATTAAACCTTACGCTAATATATAGTTCGGTTATGCAGCAGTTTTGGAATACTTAGATGCCAGTACAGTATAATAGACAAGTCAGACGGATACTAATGGAAACAGTCGGTGCTCAAGCTGGGCAACTGGCTGTACCCACCAGGGACGACCTCGCCGTGTTAGCCCAGTCGTCTACTTCGCCATACCTTTACCAAGCTTTTTTTCTTGTTGGAAAGATACTATGTGCTGAAGTATGTCAGGTTGTCATCTGGTTACCCTGATGCATAGATCTGGAGGTAACAAAAGGCGACTAAGGCAGGAACACACCAACCTACTGACTTGATAGCCCTGTTCTGATTTTTTAGGACAGGGCTGTTTTACTGTATATAGTACTTGGTAGATATCTCTTTTGTATTCTCATTTGTTTATTCACATGGGTGTATTTATTAGAGTGAGTGTGTAGTTTGAGAAGGTAGATAGTGGAATATGGAGTACCCCATTAACCCTCAATTAGTTTTGCGTCCTCCATGCCTTCACATATGGTTCTGGTCATCTGATTGCCATAAACAGCCCCCTCCCCGTTGTTCAAGTGTGCAAACGAGAGCTGATTTGCGAATAGTCGCCTTTCTACTTTATGTCTCTCCATTAGTAACGATCCTCACGAAGCCTTCTGATGACTTGTTTTAAAGCTCATCCTTGCATGATGGACCATTTGGAGTTGACTACATATAAGGAAGACGTTAAATGATGGTTCTGTAGCACAGTAAGAGCAATAAAACGATCATCTCTGTCTAACATTAAGGTCAACCAGTACTTTTTCGTAGATCAAGACTTTCAGTGGCCTTAAACTGCTGTGTATCATTGAGGATGGTAGAGCCAAGCAAACCCAGGACAGGTTCAGTCTGTCATTGGCTAAAGCATCTGCTTGGACAAGATCTTTTCAACTTAAAACCATGCTTTCAGGAAAAAGTGATTTTTTAGTTAAATTTATTGTTTCATAACAGAAAATAATATTTAAAAAATTAACTCATTCGATAAGGTGGCTCTGGAAAGGATGAAATTGAACTGATTTTCTTTATTTTTAATCTAAAAAGTGTAAAAGAATAGAATAGTAACATTCAATAAAGGTAAGCACAAGTATTAATGTTGTTTTGTCAGCTATTAATCTTAGTAAGTTATTATGGAAAATAAATACTTACAAGTGTAATAAACAAGAATTTGATTAAAGAGTACAAATACTTACTGTGTTTGTGTCTAGTTATGCAAGTATTATTAAATGTTCCAATGTAAAAACAATTTACATATCTACACTGTCTAAGTAGGGTATTTCAACTAAGAGGTTATATGAACTCTCGGGGGAGCTGGTGTTTTAACAAAAAAGCCCAGCACGGCTGCTGGATTCGAACCCAGTATATTTTTCTTACATTGATGAGTTGCCATGTCAACGCCTTAATCATTGCATCCACCATCACACTACACTGTAATAAAATACTTTAAAAAACTGCTACCAGTAGAAATTAAACACTCCAATTGAGGCTTGGTTGGAGATAATTTAAAAATTTAAAGGCTTATGAAGCCTCTATTATTTATTTTACTCCATATTTGTGTTTTAATTACAATTTGTAGCAATTGGCAAGATAATACAATATAAGTGAGAAAAAATAGTTCAATTTGTTGGTGATATTTTCTGATTGTGCTGGTTCTGTCTTCATTTTTGAAAAAAAGGTTTAAAAAAAATTCTAATTTATAAAACCTGTTATAACTTTGCTGGATAATATTCCAAAGTGTTAAAACTTGTTAACAATCCAGTTTGACAAGAAAAAAATGAGTTTAAACCCATTTATAAACACTAGTGTAAAATGCTGCCCTGTTGATCTTTTTTTTTATACAAGAAATTCATAAAAAAATAATCAGTTAAAAATAACAAAACGTTTTACTAAAAATGTATATGCATATAAAAACTCTTTATTTCATTGCATTAATAATTAACAATGATTATGTAATTTAAACATGGCAATTTCTGTATATGTAAAATGCTTCCCTTAAACTAAAAGTAATATTTACAAGAAATAATTTATATATAAATACTTTAAAGAAATTTTAGAATGTTACACGTATACATGTTTTGTTGACGAGTACTGATATAACAACTGAATGTATAAACTTATAGAAAAAAAAAACTATAAACATGTTAATTATTTTAGTATATATTTTATTTCTTGTTGGTTACATCCCCATTACATTTGGACATTCCAATTAATTGCACATTTACTTATAAAACTGTCTTTAAAATTTACAACTTCCCTACATAATTGGTACATATTTTCGATGAAATACGCAAAATATAAGAATAGATGGACGCCAGGTGTCTGAACAGACACTGAAGGAATTATTTATGACTATAATAGAAGCCAATTTTTTGAGAAAAAAATGAACACACATACATTAGGATTCAGGTCTTGCATTATTTGTTTAAGCAAACTTCAAAATTTATCTAAATATAATAAGTGATATATTTTTTGATGTGTCATATAAATTAATGTCAAAACTTAATTATTTAACAACAAGCTTTTTAGAAAAATATATTATTTTGTGTTGTTATTCATATGTTTTTTGACATTACGCAAGTTAAAGAAACCAAATTTTCTCTTACATACACCAAAAATAAATACAATTTTAGTATGTTTATAAATGCTGATAATATTTAAGAAATTATTGCTCCCAAACAATGTTATAGCATAAACTGACAATAATAAATCTATGAACCTGCGTATTTATAAATTAGTAAGAATAATCTTGAAATTTGCTTTTTTAATATAATCACAAATCCCTAGTACTAATATTATTTATGCACATTTTGTTTAAATATTTTTATATTAATAATTCAGAACAATATTTTTATCAATAGTATCACTATCTAGATACAAAAACATAAAAAATATATATCCTCAAATACAGCTGGACAGTGATTTATAAATTGAACTTGGTTAGTATAGAAAAATAAAATTAGATTTTACAAAATAAGACTAGTTTATTTTAAAGTAGCGGGTGTATAAAAATACAATATTGTACCTATGAAACGTTTTGGCAGTTAACAAACTTATGATAAACATTGTAGTTATTACTTACTGTAAAAATTAAATTATGCATTATAAAAGACTAGTAAAACATTTTTCAAAAGAATACACAAGCATTAAACCTCATAAATTTAACATTTTGTTATCAATATCTGTGCTAATTAATATTTCCTTACAAAACAACTTAGAGCCAATAAACAAGGAACACTGATGAAATTCAAAACATTTGGTCCCCCAGAATCACCAATATTGTAAACAAGTTTAATAAAATATGTATTTAAAAAAACAAACATGTTTTACAGTCACAATTGACCATATTAATTATTCTTTTTATCTAAGGACTTGGTCGAGATGAAAAAGTTTGTGTCACAAGCAGGCTTCAAACCCACGACCTTCAGTTCAATACGCTGCTGCTCTAACAACTTGACTTAAGTCATAATAGCTCAAGTGGTTAGAGCAGTGGCGTATTGTGGGTTCGAATTCCGCTTGTGACACTAACTTTTTCATCTCGACCAAGATCTTAGATAAAACGAATAATAAATAAAAACTTTTTACAGTGCCTATTAGCTCACCAATGCTTGTTGAAGTAAAATGTATAATTGATACCTTTGGAAGTAGATTATAAATAAAACGATAAAATTGTGATGTAGAGAATTTAGGCCAAACTGCACTAGACGCTATTTAATATTAACCATAAAATGTTAAAAATCTAATTTATACCCTTGGAAGTCGACTATAATTAAAAAGATCAAAATTGTGATGTTAGGCCAAACTTCACTAAATGTTATATATAATATTAGCCATAACACGTTAAAAAATATATATTTACTGAATCACTCTTAAAAAATAAAATAAAAAATTACCAGTTTTAATTACACGAGTCACTTTTAATAATAAATTTATTTAAATTTTTCACATTAACTAAACAGGGTCCTGTGAAAGCTAATCACAACATAAAAACTGAATTTTTTTAACCTGTATTACACTTTACACTAATTATATTTATAACACAAGCCGATAGTTTTTAAATTTATTTTCACCCAGGAAATAATTGCATGAAATGTATTTATATTTTTGCCCAATTGTGAAACAATTTAAAGAAAACAAATTTTTATTTTAGTACAGTAGAATCCAGCTGACCTGAATAGATTGGCACTGAGCACTGTTCAGATTTCCAAAAATTCGAATTAGCCGAATTATGCAGAAACAATCATCTTGTGGACACACCAGAGTAGGTGTTATACACACATGTATATTGAAAAATAAACTGAGAGTTTTGAAGAGCATGAAAAGCAACGGGTCATAGTTTAGTGCCTATTCTAACAGTTTGCTTAGCAGATGCGTTTCAGCTTCTCGCTCATCTTCAGTTTTTAATAATGATTGAAACATTATACTGAAGATGCGAAAAAGCTGAAAGCACCTGACAGACCAAAAGAACAATCATAGGCAGATGTTCAGAAAGGACGACGATCACCACCATGCAAACATCACAAATTCAGGATTAAAGTGAGAAAAAGTGTTTTGTGGCGAAAAAAATCTACTCATTCTGGATGATTCAAGCTCACTGGCCATCTTCAGAATTAACTATTTATTTTTTCTTGTTGATTTGTCAGGGCTGTTGAGATGACATGTAGATGTTTTAGATAGAACACCGTTTTCCTATCTCTACCAACCATTTTGATAACAGTAAGGAAATTACAATTGATTATATATTAAAAATAGATCTGTACCTTTATAAGGTACTCACGAATTTTAGAAAGTAAAGATATGCAGATCATCATGCAATTCAGATCAAAATAAGAACCATTAATATTGCACTGGTTGGTTCTTAGTATGCAACAAATTGCTGTAACCAACAATTATTATTGTATCATTTAAATAAAACGTAAAAATCCTAGGTAAACCATCCCCCATGATTCACCGTGTTTATTGCCATTTAAACTGAAAGGATTAAAAAGAATGGATACAGAGATTGGAGCTCAAAGAAGAAACACTTGGTGATTCAATTCTTTTCTATTCGGTTCTTTTCCCTTGGAGTGCGCCTGCTCCTTTTTTTCTTTTGTTTTATAAAAGGAGTTTTATTTTAACATCTTCCAAAAACGCCGCTGCCAGGAAAAAGTAAAATCTAAAATAGTCTGTATTTTCTGAATGTTATAGTGGGTTAATAAAAAATGAAAAATAGAAATAAACCTAACCATATAATCAATACAGAATGACAGCACTTTAAATATTGGCTTTACTTAAGTATATCTAACTAAGACTTTACATAAGTATATCTAAAAAAATCTCTCTTCAGAAAATGTCCCTAATCATATTAAAACAAATTCAAATTAATGACCCTTATGAAACTGAACAACCATTTTCCAAAAAACTGACAGGATCTTAAATCTACAGACAACACCGCTCCTGACAAAGATGGTTTCCATTACGTGTTCCTAAGCCATCTCACAAACCTTGGTAAATCTTCTTGGGCACAAAATAACTTTACCAATAACAATTACTGATTCTGCACACTAATCAATCTCCAAAATGCCTATGTTTTAATGTATACTGATTGAAAAAATGTCTAAGCTCAAGATCTTATTCTAATTCTTCAATTTTTATCAAGGTTAACCTCTCATTTTATTGCTCTTGCAGTTTAAATAATTAGAAAAAGTATGTATTGTAAGACAAGAAATGTCAGATTTAAAAAAAAAATAAAATAAAAAAACCAGTATATCTCCTTTTCTAACGCAAATTACATTAAAACTAAAAATAACACTAAATGAGATAAAATTTCCCTCTTATACAAAATTAAAGCAATCACTTTGCACTAAAAATTATCCTATTAAAAAAAAAAGAAAGAAAAAAAACGCATATTCCTGGGGAAAAGGACCAAAAAGAAAGAAATGGACTCACTCACCAGGTGATATCAATAATTATATTGGAGAAGGAATGTTTGTGCAAAATGCAAAATACTTTTTTTTACACCTTTTGTAGAGAATGGATGGTTTGCAGATTTCAAAAATCATCAACCACAACCATCCTTTACAAAATGTGAATCAACATACCCACCCCACCCCTATTATTTATATAAATGCAAAATATGTACAATATCACTGCACTCAAGACAATTCAGTATTATATAAATACTGTACCAACTAGTCATAAAAATTTTATAAAAAAATATTAGTATGTGGCCAAAATATAATTGCAAGTTTGTCCGAAAAATGCACAACTTAATGAAAGCAAACATTTACCTGAAAGAGAATTAGAAACACACCTAAATAACAAGTTCTCAAAAAAATAAGTATGCCCCTCTGGATAATAAAATAATTAATTTAAAGAGAAAATTTTAAATTTCTGATATTCTAATAGAAATCTATGAACTGAAAGAAGTAAATTATGTTAAAAAATATTAATAATAATAAAATAAAAAATAATAAACAGAGACGTTAGCTTTACAACAATTTTTCAAGCAATTCCAAAGTCCATGATTGTATTTTTTAATCTAAACCAAAATTTAAATGATAATCTAGTGACTCAGAAATTGTAAACATGTTATCAATTATTAGCAAGTGTTATTATTTTTAAATAAAAAATATATCGCTAAAAATATTGCTCCAAATTATTAACTATCACAATTTTAATAAATAAAATGTTCCAAATATAGGCTGTAATCAGGGAACAACAAATGTATTGCATAACATATTATATCAATCAAAATGAGATCTTATTTGAAATGGTAAAAAAGAAAAGAAAATAGCAGTTCATGAATATAAACAGCAGTTGAGTATAAACTTCTTTTATTTTGTTTTTCATATATTTTGGAAGGAAATTTTTAAATCTAAATACTAAAACTCTTTGAGTTGTATAATTTTGTTAATTTAAAAAAAAAGGCAATGCACATTTCACATTATTTATTTTGTGATCAAAATATAGTTCAGCAATAAATAACAAAAAAATAAAAATAAAATGAGTTTGTATCATTAAAAAAAGCAGATTATTCACTTATTTGCAATTTTTGTGTATTTTAGAAAATAAATAATAAATATTAGCATGAATACTGGGCAAGAGATTATATTAATACTAAAATATCTTGGGATATATCAAAATTATCCAATATATATGTATATCTGTATGTATATATGTAGTATATATACACATATACATAATGGATATATATATTAAAGCAATGAGATTTTATTCTCACTCACATAAGAATTATAATAAATAAATCTAAAATAGTACAATCGTACAATTTAGACTTTTATGTTTTTAATATTTTATATTACATATCAATATGAACAATAATTAAACTATAAACTGATCTATTATACACTATACAAATTTTATTTCCTGCCCAACAGGGGGTTTAGAAGGCACAATTACATTACTTACATATTTCTAAAGGTTCTTTTCTTACATGCAAACATTTCCAGTCTCAAAATTAAGATTGTAGAACAGAACACTAACTTTGTTGTGAACTTGTGTGTCCTGTGTCTACTACCCAGCATTTTTTGAAAGATTCAGTGGTACATCTAAAAACAAATACAAAAAAACTAATTAATAAGAAGTTAAAATTTCAATGATATTGAATATGTTGATTTTTTGAAATAATGATAAAGGTTTATATTTTGGCTTGTAAAATATGAACACAGCATTTTTCATTGATTCCATTTTATCCCCTTTGTATTTTGAAGCGATGTTTATATAGTCATTATTAAAGACCATATTCAATGCAATTGCATAATTTTAATTCTAACTGCAATTGCAATGGAACCAAGACAGAAATTCAAATAATGGAAAGAACTTTGTTTTGACAATTAATCTTATTTGGCAGGTTTTGATGATATAACATAGAATTTGCATGGTTGTGCAGTTATTACGCAGAATTCCATGTTTTCGGATTACTGCATGAAATTTGCACGTTTTAGGATTAATGCATGGAATTCTGTTTTGGTATTACTGTATGAAATTTGCATGTTTTAGGTTTATTGCATGGAATTCCATGTTTTGGGGTTACTGCACGGAATTTGCACATTTTGGGTTATTGCACAGAATTCCATGTGTAGTGGTTATTGCAAGTTTGTACTGTTTACTGCACAAAATTGCATTTTTGCCAATTTTTTTAAATCTTATAAATAATTGTGAATGCTCAAAACTCTGATCAAAATTCATCCTCAAAGGATTTTTGTGCTTAATGACATACAAGGCGTAAAAATGGGTAATAATAGCCTTTAATATATAACTCCGACTTTCAACCTTCACAAAGTTTATGCAGATGTACTCTGTTAATCAAATAGATGGAGAGAGTGGTACGAAGGAACAGAAGCTGGTGTTACGCTCACAAAGAGAAAACATCTACATAACATGGGCATATGTTGATGATCCCATTTTCAGATTATGTAATGAGGAGGAAGAAACAGCTACCCATATCATCTTGGAATACGAAGGAATGGCTCAATGGAGATATAACCTAGCGTACAGAAAAAACCCTAGGGAATGAAACTGTAGAAGTAACAGACAATGGCCTAATATTTATGACAGGAAGGATTGAGTCGATTGCACTGATAATCCATATCTGTGTTAATGTGCAAGTATAGAATGTGGATGTGAAGTGACAAGGTCAACAGCCATAAGAAATTGTTTTGCATAATTTGTAACAAGGCGATGTTCGACCTTAATGTCAAAACCCATGAGCGTAGATTTAATAAACTTACCAGGTCATCAATACATCGTCAAAGCGGTCCAAAGTTAATAAGCCCCTATTTTGATCCCATGTTGTACCCACCGATCTATCCTGGTAGTGAGCCAGGATGAGTGGGACTCCTAAATGACACATAACAGCATAAGAAAACAAAACCGTCATGAACGACCTAACAATGTCACAGTTTGCATGCTATCAACTTGCTATTTGTAATCCTTTTTCCCATGTTCATAAATTATATCGTTCCATGATTCCAACTATAGACTGAACAGGGCTATTACCGTTATTACATTAAATTTGTATGCATGAAAATAACGTGAAAATGTATATTATGCCTTTTAACAGTATTGTATAGACGAATTTAGGGTAAAATCTTTTTGTGTAATGTGCTTTGTCAAAGTTTTCAACTTATGATACCTAGAATTTTCAAAGAATTTGTTTTATGTTCGACATCCGCTGATCTGCTTTGTTCCATCACTTGTGTACTTCTCACTTTTCATGTTTTTCTTCAGTTTTGGAGCAAAGGAGAATCATGTAAAAAAATAATAATGCCCAAGTTCATAATACTTAAATTTAAAGTGTGGATTCTACAAGACTACCCGGTACCGAAGAACAATGACAAAATTGTTCTTAAAGAAAAGAACAATCTTTTCTCTTTTGAAACACATCCTGGATGACAAGGTCCATAACTTGAAAGAATGAGGTACTTTATTGATTTTAATTTTTTACTATTTGGAAAGATTGTAACACAAGCATATGAGCTCAGTGTATTTCCTGGCTCAATGTTATTTTGCTTATGTATTTATATTCATACATATTTATTTTGAATGCTTATTGACTGCTTTTAAAAGTGGGTTATAGGTGCTGGTAGCTATCAGGTTCCCACATCCACAATTTTTAATCCACCAAGATTATTTACCTTACTAAAGATTTTTGAACTATATTAATTTCGATATGTTGAGTTTTAAAAACTATTAGACTAATTATAATAAATTTATAAATAATTGTATATTACCTGGTGATGTTTCTTGAGGCATCGTCCGATGGAGATGCGGCCATGTAGATGAGTAAGGAGGTACAGGATATAAGGGAAGGTGTAAAGGGGGACTAGAAACAGGGTAATGGACAGGCCATACATGTGTAGCCGTGTACTGGTTTGTTACAGTTGGATAATAAGTAGTAGATGAAGCAGGATACAGTGGAGGATGAACTATGTGAGATGCTGGAGGAATGTATGACGAGGTTGGAACTCTTGAGCGTATTGCAGCATCTGGTGAAGGTGAGCGTAGTAATGTCCGTAACACTGACTCATCTTCTTTGGCTAATATTGAAGATATCGAATGACTACTGATGTTGCGAGTTGGCGCCCGAGCTCTTTGTCTTTTTGTAGCTTCTTCTAATGTGACCCTTTCCAACTCTCTTAATATCCGTTTTCGGGGCGACACAATTCCCGGTTCGGGTTTGCATGTAGTTACAACTCGTTCCCATAATGATTGCACAATATTTCTCAAAGGAGATCGTTTGCGTGGCTTGTATGAAACTCTTTCCTGCTTATAGAAAAATCATTATTATTAAGTCAGGAAAATAACTACTTTGAACATGTGTAGACAGGACATACCAAAAGTGTTTCATCAACTTTACTCATGTCAAATGGTCTCCTCCTTTTTGATCTTAAAGCTTGAGAGGTATAAAGGAATTTCATAAACCTTTTAGGACGAATTAATTGAAACTCTAATTCTCTACTTAGATTTGGGCGAGGTGTTGTTTGCTTCCAACAATGGTCTCTTTGCCAAGGGGAAGATTGAACAGAAGAATTATCGTCTGAAACTATTTAAAAAAAATCTAAATTAATAAAGTAATATAATAACATATTGGCTAAATAAGTCCATGGCGTTTTACAGTCATTCAGTTTTTTACCTATTGTGTTTTGAATGTTTATTGTTTGTTTATACTTTATACAATGTTTATTTATACATTATTGTTTAAACACTCTAAAAAGGGATTAGTTGATGTGCTTTTATCCACAAGTTTTGTATGAGATCTCGTTTTTTTACAAGGTGTTTTGTTAATTTAAAATGGACTAAAAACAGTAAATTTTCAACATCTGGTCTCACATGGTTCAGATGCAGCGCTTTTTTACTGGCTACTATTTTTCCCCAGGATTGAATAACATTGAAGCAGTTTTGGTATAGCCCCATTGACACCTGAGAAAATTGATTGTGAACTTTTTGTTTTTTAAAGGTAAGATGGATACACTGTTAAATGCTAAAGTAATTTGAGATTTCTAGGGTTTTGTACAGAAAAATCTCTTAAAGTTCAACAATTTATTGTTCTCTTCATTTAATTTGTAATTTAATTTTTAAATAATTTTGTTATTATAATGATAAGTAATGGTAAATAATGAAAATGTGTTACTATTTTCCACGGTTTTTAAATTAAGTTTTTCCTCATTTCTGAAAATGGAGCCTTACTAGGAAGCGCTGTAAAATGAAGAAAAAGGTAAAAATCGTACATGAAGTTCACTTTCACATCTTCCAGATGCTACTCATGAATAGCTTATTCTTACTCAATAGTTATTACAAACTGGACAAGAAGAAGCTAAACTACTTGCAACTGGATGTAATAGAGTCTCTGGAAATATCTAACCACCCCGTCCTAGTGTCCTTCAGGATGACCATTTTTCTACTCCCCTACCTCTCATGTAAAGAGGACAAAAAGGGCAATTCCTTTGCGGAAAGTGAGAACATGCTTCTTCTGCCCAGGTACACTGGTGACAGAAAAATTAGAATGTGTACTCAGTGCTTTGAAGAACTCCAGCGTACATTAATTAATTTTTGTTAATAACCTTAGTTAAATAATAATTTTTTATGTAAATAGTCTGAATTTATCGCATATAATAGAGTTTTATGAAAATATAATTTTTGTAAATTATTTGTTTTTATACTTTTTTAAGAAATTTCAAACTTACTCCCTCAAATAATGACAAAACAACTAATTAACTGAGTTGCTGCATTACAAAAGAAAATTAGAAATTAGCAATTATAAAAACAAAATGGGTTTTTTAAAAAATTGGAAACTAGGCACTGTGTGGGTTGCATAAGTTGGATATTGTCATATGAGACCCACCTGGAAATACTAATAGACACAAGATAAAATTAAAAATTACTTTTACCATGCTTTATAATTAATATTAAGTCACTACTTTTGTGGTCCGTTTGACCAATTAATACATGACAATTAATTAAGGTTTTTAGTTGAGATGAAAAAAAGTTAATGGCACGAGAGGGATTCGAACCCACGAACTCCGGAGAGCCGACATTTCAGGCTCCACATTGTTTGTTATTAAGACAAAGGGAAAACAGTATACCACGACACTAGAAAAATTTGTGAAGTGTATTGTTATGACCCTGTAGTGTTAAGTGGTTTTGCTCAGTTTAGAAGAGGAAATTTTGAATTTTCAATTAACATTTTCATCAAATTTATATCAAAAACGCTAAGGACTTAATTAGGATCCAATACAAGTTTTATGAGGAAAAATAACTAAAACCATAATTTTGCTTAGATCAACATATCCTCTTAATGCTGACTGTATGAGTGCACTGAAAATACCCAAATACTTCAATGGCAAACCAAAATGATCGTAACGATCAGATTTCAGGATCATCACCCTGCAGACAACATGGAGAAATTTCCAAATATGTATTGCTATATATTTTAAAAAGTAAATCTGCAGTATTTAAAGAGAGCATTATATTTTTGCTTATAAAATGTATGCACACATACAAAAAAAAAAAAAAAAACAGTAAACTGTTAATACACTCTTTATTCTTCTTACAGTACCTTGAACTGTCATTACTGCAAGAATAGTAAATAATTAATTAATTATTATATCAGTAATTATATTTTATGCATGTTATCAATTTACCAACAATAAATCTTTACAAATATACATGTTACAAATATATAAAATATACATGTAATATTATCACATGAAACTAATGCAAAAACAAATGCATGTTGTGACAAACATATCACCAAAGAAAAACCAATTCTTTACCATATTGCACAACAAATAGCATTTAATGGTAAAATAAAAATGCTTTTTTTTAATTTCTTAAAAAATAGTGAAAAAAAATGTATTTAATGTACATAGATTTTAGACTTTGACACAACACACCACTGTAAAGTCCCGAGTTCGAATCCAATAGCCCTGCATTTAAACTGGACATACTAACAAATGTTTTTGGTTTTTTTTTTCAAAACAACACAGCACCCTGAGTGTTCGTATAACCTCATAGCTGAAATGCCAAAAACAAAAACAAAAAACTCACCACTCAGAGAAGTAGAGCTCTCTTGTCTTGGGGTTCCAATTACAGGCCAATAAGTCTTTTTAGGAACTGGGATCCAACAAGTTTTTTCTCCATCCTTTCTATGTGATAATTCCAAAATAAATTTTCCATCTGAAAGTAGTCATTTATAATACAAAAACATTAACAAAAAGATTAAGTACTAATTTAAATATACAGGAAGTGTACCTTTAAAAAACTTCAATCTCCCACCACCTCCAGAACTGTATTCCTCATTACAAACATTCGGACTATCAGGGTTTGTTATATCTTCTTTTTCTGTTTCTTTTAAGCTATGATTGGTTCCTACCGGTGTTCCTGTAAAAATATCAACAAAACCAATTAAAATTAACAATTATCACCCAGCACTAAAAACTCTGAATTGTAAACTTGTGGAAGAAAGCACAAACAATCCTAATAGTTATTTATTCATGACTATTCAAAAAATAACTTAACTACAGAAGACTTTTGTTATCATCTGTTTCACCCATCTGCAGTGCCCCCCCCCCGTAATTGAGTTCTAGAGAAAAGTGGGAATGAGGAGAGAGAGTGGGAACATGGTGGTGAGTTGGGAACAGGAAAACAACTGAGCGTAATTGAATTCTTATTGAAAAAAACTTAAAATATGTGTACGTAAGTTCATATAAACATTGACAATAGGCACACATGAATACAGAATATATCTGACTGGTAAGCAGATGGAAGAAAATGCTTCAATTTGAAAGACTTTACTATTATCTGTGGTTCTAGTTATCTGTGGCAATGCTTGGTACATATCCCCGAAGATAACGAGAGTCTAATTTATTAAAATGGCGCATGAGCACTCAGGAGTTCAAGCATAAAGGAATCGATGGTAATGAACAAACTTCCTAAACAGTATTACATCCAAGTAAGATAGTTCCACAACTTGCATAAGACAATTAGCAAATAGACTTTTCAATGAATTATATATCTTTACATAGCAACCCAGTAAGACAAGAAATTTTACTTTTTTAAAAACTTATCGCAGTAGTAGTTTTTTATAGATACCAGAGCACAGGGGCATACATGGAAACAAACAAGCCAATCATGCGCCAAAATGGGTGACAGGACTTCAATAAGAGATGAACCCCATGGCAATATACTGTGAGTAATATGATTGGTTACTTTATAATGTTCGGAGGCAAATCAAAACTCCACCCCAATCACAGTATATAAATCCCATTGAACATTTGTGGTACTTACTGCACTTAAAGTTACAAAAAAAATATCCAAACATCAGCTTACAAACTTGTATTACATGAACGAGATCAAATTGGACTTGAAATTATCCACAACCAGTGTAAATAAACTTTTGTTTCATAAAAAATTTCTTCGGTAAAAATACTTTTTTAAAATAATTTTTTGACCATTGAAATTCATACTCTTATTTAATATTTTTACCTTATTTTTAATTTGCTTAATTTATTGCCACCAAAAATTAATAGTTGGATGATAGTTTTTAAATCAATTTAGTATCATCCAATAAACCTTTATATTTTTGAGATTTAAGAAAAAAGTGCAGTGTGCCAATACTTTTTTCACCAGTGCACAGTGAGTGCACATATAAAAAAAAGGTAGTAAAAAATAATTGGCAAACTGTCTGGCACAATACAACAGAAAGCAAACTGAGAGAAATCAAATATATGTAGTTGCAAAGTTGCGTATTGGTCACTGTACATATACTAACAAATACCAAATGGCTAGGGAACCAGTACCTTAAATTCTTGAAATATCTGAGAATTAAACATAATCTTCCAGATAATTTGCATGAAATTCTAGTTGACTTGAGAAAATTCAGATATGAATAATCTGGACCTCAGCATGGTCAAGTGGATGAAAAAAAAATTCAATTGTTATCTGCCGTGGATAACTGGATTTGCCAAAAACATTTTTGTCCCATTGAAATCCTGTTCACTGGCACTGTATTCATCCCAAGAAAAGCATGTGAAAAAGTTCATCAGACCAAAACCAACATCAGTCAAAATTCAAAACAGGAAAAACTCTTTAAATAAGACATTCTTTGCATTAAGTTGAGCAAGTGAAAAGCAGGCACCTGACAGTGATGAGGATCAGGCTTTATAAGATGTTAACAAGTCCTGTATTTTCCTATGGGTCTGAGGATTGAACAATTTCTAAACTAGATGAGAGAAAACTAATTTTTTAAGAAAAATTCTTTTGTCATATGTTTCAATCAATGATGGCAGAGGCATAATCATTAGTTCTACTCCCCATTTAATGAAAATGGTTCAGGTTTATAAGGTTATCTAGGTCAGATGGGCAGACCGTTTAGCAAGAATGAGCATTGATATCTACAAGTTTTCTAAATGAAAATTTACATGGTACTTGGCCAAAGTTATACTGGTTGGATAGCATAAGGGATGTCAAGAAATTGCTTGGCATGTGGAAGATTGGGAAAACTGGCAGAAGCTCCTTGGGGAAAGTTAGACCTACCCGATTGTCATGCTGTTGATGAAGATGATACAATCAACGTTAATTGTTTACCAATCATTTCAGTTTAACCTCACCTTGGTGAGTCAGACATGTTTCAGCATTTCACCATCTTCAATGTTTCAAGTGAGGATAGGTAGACCAAAATAATCAGTAATGACCAACTTTCAAATTTGGAATGTATTGCCAGTTTGTTACATGTATTTTGGGGATTAAAATAAAAAACTGTGCTCAATTCAGTTATTGTCTGTTTCCAGCAATAGTAACATTGAGCATGTAAGGGTGTATGTTGTTAATAAATAATTGTCAAAATGAAAACATGAAACTAATCTGAACTGATCTTACTGCAATTGGTACCTCATTTTACCGGACTTGAAACTTTGCCCTCTACAGGACAGTGGGGGTTGCGGGATTCAGAGGTGACCAAATACAGTTTATCACCTCACAGGCCTCACTCGATATAATAATTCATCAATTCCATTAGTATTGCCTGTATACCGAAATAGTAGCTGTGGGAGGACCACAGTGGCTGAGGTTGGTGTGTCTAGCTTGTATTTTCTACCCTAGCGGTCCTGTGTTTTAACCCCAGTATAGCACATGGTTTTTTTAACTGAAACTAGTATGACAAATGTAATTTAAAGTAGTGGGACCCCCCCCCCTCCGCAATACCCAACAGCCAGTTGGATATTAAGCCCTCCTGTAAGACACGAATAATTTTAATTTTAACGATTATTTGGAAATTGTGAGATGCAGTCTAATGTGACATAGGTTTAAAAAAACATTTTCTTTATCGTGCCAACATTTCAATCTTTAGATCTCTAGATATACTCAATCATCAAGATCAAAATGTTGGCACGATAAAGAAAATGTTTTTCTAAACTTACATCACACCGGACCGTATCTCACTATCTCCAAATAATCATTAATTAACAGTCACTAAACATCACACATTAATTTCAACAGGAGCTTTGAGCAAGTAGGGGTGGATAACGTTAAAAAATAAATGTGAAAATGAAAACATGGAACTAATCCGAAGAAATCTTACTGCACTTAGATGGTGATGGATTCATCCAGGGAGGTCAGAGGTGACCAAATAACAAAATAACAAATGGAACTAACCATCACCTACATGCTAATTATCAACTAATCACATATCAGCTAATATTTGACTATTTGTATGTTGGTTTTAACATTACCACCATCATTAAAACATTGAGTCGTTTGATGTATAAACCCAAAAGTAAAACTTCTTAAAAATTGTGTAAAAAAAGGGTATTCTTAAATTGAATTATAAATTTTTTTTAAGTATAATTCATAAGTGAAAAAGCATCTACCTTTGTTAGCTTTTAGTTTTGTCCCACATAGTGGTGTTTGATCAAAATCCAATCGGTTCGGGCTTGACGAATTGTTCTGTTGAAAATTTGACAGTTGATTTTGTTGTTGCTGCTGTGGTTGTGGTTGTTGTTGTTGCTGCTGCTGCTGTGGTTGCTGCCGATTTGTAGTCTTGCTTTCTCCATTCATGATCTCATCTGTCATTTTGGCACATGTTGATGTCTCTTGACTTGATTTTTCTTTAATTCTCATTTCTTGTTAAATAAGGAATTAGGTCATGACGACCGAATTTTCAATAGGACAAAACAGCCTGGAGCTGTCCGGCAGTTTTCCCCCATTATAAAACAAACAAGTACCGACAGATATCACTGACCGAGATTTCCCATTAAAATACCTTTTCTCCTCGCACTGTCGGATCTCTTGAACAAGAAAGGGCGATACAATTTTACAGACATATCAGTCAAAGCACGATAGCACACTCGCCCGCCGTCATTTCGTCGTTCGCACTCAACCTATTCGAAGAAGGGAAACCGATTTGGCCGATAAATAGAATAACGTGCTGTGTATTTTCCTTTTTCCTCTTCTTCCGATTTTTTTTATTTGATTTTTTTTTATATATTTTTTTTACCTACCGAGATAACATTGGGCTGCGGACGACATTCCAGGCGGAGGCTGATTATTTAAAAAATTACACTCGTTACGATCCTCCAACCCGATTTTTTTTTTTTAATACGAATCGAAAGTTTCCGCCTCGAAAAACAGACACCTTTCAAATTAACAACGATAAAGTAAAAAATCCGAGCTAAGGCAATGTAAATGTATTTTGGCTAACAAGTCCATAATGTCATGTAGATTAAGACAGTGTCGACTCGATTACGGTTAACGTCTTGTCGAGAAGATTATTTATATTTCATTCATTTCTTAATTTCAAGCTTTTCCTTTATCATTATTTTTATTCCTTTTATTTTAAAGAAATGTCTAATTAAAATATCTTAACATTAAAATACTTTCGATGAGAGAAATCGAACCCCCCTCCGAGTAAGTGGATTTCAAAAGATACTCGTACGTACAAACGGTGTATGTTCAACTTGAAATTTTTCGCAAGATTCCCCGTGGCTAGATGTGAGAACACAAAGCCAAAAAAAATCGCAACGGTTAATTTTCATCTTTGCAACTAAAAAAAAAGTTTATGTTAAATTAATTACAATTCTAAGGTCTACTCAGAAACGATTACCTTCATAATTCAAACTTAAGTAACACGTCTTTAAGGATTTGGATTTGAACTTCTATAAGCTCAGATCCGCACATGTATGTATTATGCACAGTTGAGTCTATCACTTCTTGCAATCCACCGGCAATTCTATATTTTGTCATTTACAATAAATTACCGGCAGGCTTTGAGAATCACCCATCCCGGGTGTTGGCATTCCAATGTCTATCCATCTACCGTGGTTGGTCTTCAACTGCTGTCAACAAATAGGTCATTTCTGCCCTAACGTAATTGTCTCCAATTCACACTCTCACTCACTCTTAAATACAGCCTTTTCTATTTGCATGCCATTCACTCAGTCGAGATGATGGAGTACTTGATATTTACCCTTTAGGGATATGGCTAAAAGAGGTGGCACAAGGCTTTCTGCACCTAGACCTGAGTATATCCATTGTGCTCCTCTATTTTTTATAACACTGTCCAGCTTCAGGTTGTCAATCAACATCCATAGCCTTGCCAGCGACTCCTTAGTGTAGGATCTTGCCTGCAGCTTTTCCTCTCTTAGTTGTAAGAATCTGCACTTAAAACATAAAATGTGTTCTGTGGTCTCCTCCTCTTCCTGGCAATATGTGCACAGTGTTTCTTCTGTCTGTACTTCTATGCGGTGCATGTGCCTTCTTAGGTGGCAGTGCTCAGTAAAGCAGTAAGGTGTCCAACCAGAATCCTGGTTCAGTTGCGGTTGCCTTCCGGTAATTCTTTTGTAAGTTTTGCGGATGGCTCTTCTATGAATCCCTTCACATGCCTCATGCCTGGGGCAAACCTTCTGACAGTGTATCGATTGTATAGGAGTTTGGTCGCTTCCACTTTCTAGTGCTGGTTAAGGCGAGACTGGTGTTTGGCAGCAAATCGTTGTATTTCAATCTTAGTAACAATATCTTAAGATCCCTATGCAAGTCCTTATTCCATATGTACCAAGGTGCATTGGACCATACTACGTAAGATTTTATTTTGAAGTGTTGGTATAATTTTGGTATTACTGTGTATAGTACAACCCCATAATATACCATATGTTCATAGGCTTTAGGACTTGTTTGTATAATAAAAATTTATTTTGTAATAGTTAGGTTGGAGCTACGTCCTATCAACCAGTATAGTTGTCTACACCATAACCCTATTTCTGTCCCTTTTTCTTCACATGCTCTTTCCAACTCAGCTTGTTATCTAAGATCATTCCAAAATATTTTGCTTTATCGCTGTATGGTATAGCTCCACTGATTGTGTGAGATAGAACATGGTTCACTTTTTTTTATTGTAAAATTTGGACGTACAGATTTATGTTGATTGAACCTGATTGTCCATTTTTTTTTTGTCTGTTAGATTATCTTGTTACAAGCTTTTTGAAGGATTTTGGATGAATGATTGATGGTCAGTCCTAATGATATTATTATTCTTTATTATTATCTTATAAAAATCCTTATTCTTATTCTTTATTATTAATTATATCATAGGAATTAAACCAACTAGTGAAGTCAATTAAATTTTATACTATTTAAAGTTATTTACATTTAAAATATTTACACAACTCCTTTTTAAATAAATAAAGCGACCTGAAGATCTGTATGTCACACTTATTACAAAGCTCACTATAAACTCCCTGAAGTGAGAGTTCTATACTTAGCGTTCACTGTCTAGTGAAAATTGGGATGAAATAGTTGATGATTTCTCTGAGCATGCAAAGGAACAGAGAATTTAATATTTTCAAGTAAATTTGGGCAATAGTTCAAACCATTCAGTAGTTTCCACAAACTAAATAGACTGAACACAATGAATTGAACTTCCAATGAAAAAAGACCACACATATCCAAACACTGCTCATACTCGAACTTGACCCATTGGAGACCCATTTTAAATTCAAGGAATTTCAAGAATTAACACTGGACATGTTCAATATGGACTAAGTTACTGTTACAAGCCCAAGGATACTAAAACAAGGAACAATATTAAAATTAATAAATATATTAGACTCCCATCATCTGTGGTTATCCCCTAATTAAGTTATAGAAGAGATGGACCACCAGAAGAGGATAAAGAAGAGAATAATATACGAGAAAAACAGGAAAGGAAAATAAAAATAAAAAAATTGGAGAAATTTTTTAATTAGCTCAAAAGTAGAAAGACAAAATCATAAAATATAATCCAATAGAGGAATCAACATAGCACGATGCTAACTTAAGCAACCTGTAGGTTCGTCATATCTAACTAGCATTGTTATAGGAGACTTCATTAATGCCTAGGCAGATATAATTGACACCTAGGCAGATTTTCAGAAGGGCTGTCTGACAACTATGAAATTTTCGGAAGCTAGATTGTAAACAAGATAAAATGGTATGAGAGTCAATAAATAAGGATATTTGTTTAAATAAAATATTTTCAAATGCTTTAGATAGTGATGGAAGAATATTAAGGGTGGTAGTCACTAGCAAAAGTAGGTTTAGGTTTTTTGGGTAAAAAATCTATTGGGGTTTCCTTCCAGGCTAGAGGATATCAGGATGAGGTGAAAATACATAAAATGTGGGTTATGTATTTTAAGATAATAGGAAGGGAAAAACGATGAGTTTATTAGGAATAGGATCACTTGATTTTACTCTTACCTGTTTGTTTTCAATCAGTAAACTATCCTTTGAAGTTTCTGAAGACTATTTCACCCTTCTATAGATTCGCAAAAAATAAGTCCATTTCCATTTGCCCTCAACTTCTACTTAAGTCAATAACTTAGGACTATAACTAGAGGTGGAATTTCCTCACAGGTCTTAATAGACTTGGACTATAATGACAACTTTTAGGACTGTAAATCTGTTTTGACTGTCAAAACTCTACTAATTAGTATAAAACCGTCCTTTGAAATCACGAAGTCAATGTGATGGATTGGAAGCTGTGCACATAAAGATTATTACATGTTATCCAAATTAGATGTTTTTATGGTGTTCATGCATCTATGGTTGAATGACCTTTTATATCATCTTACTGGACTTGAAACATTGTCCTCCACGACAGGGATGGATTCAGACAGGATGGTTGGAGGTGACCAGAGCTGGATCCAAACAATGGTGATGATGATGTTGGATATTATTGTCAGTTTTTTCCCCAAAGCACTGCAGCTTTTGGGTTATTGTACTTCCTAGTTCCTTAGTTCAGTCCAATCGACTCCATCTTTCTTCTAAGGAGTGCTAGGTTATTAAGTAACATTTCCTTTCTTTTGGTTATTCCTATCACAACTATGAGTTTAGCCCTCTCTAACTGTAGCAGTGAGTTTGACAGTCTTGGTTAGGGTTGTTTTAGCAAAATCTTGCTGTGTCTAGCACCTCTACAGTTTATCCACTTCTCCTTTTGTCTTTTATTGATTCATTCTGAGATGAAGAATTCTGTTTGGTTTTGTTATTCTAAGAATAGGTTCAGGGCCTATATTTGGTCTTGCAAACCCTCCTCTGGTAGCCAGTGTTTTCTTTACTCCAAATTCCTTTGTGTCCTGGTTATCCAAGACGTGTTTCTCCAGGTTTTGGTGATTTTGAATGCATTGACTGACTAAATTTGATGTGATTTTTTCATGCTTGGCTGTCCAATCTTATTAGGATTTCTTTTGTCATTGTAACCTCTTTTAAAATTTTCTAAAGCATAAGCATTGGTGGCATGTATTTCAGCTTAAAAGACTGAGGAGTATTCCCCAATGAGTTTGATTGCTCATTTTTTGGGCTTATACGGGCTTAGCACCTCATCCTCCAGGATGGTGATGGATTCACCAAAGTACAGGTTCATCACCTCGCAGGCTTTAACAAAATATCTCTTCACTACTATTTATTTTTTGGTCATCTCTGATCAGTTAAGGTCTTTTTTTTACCCTTTCCACCACCCTGCTGTACCTGAGGAAGACCCCATACCGGCGGACAAACGCTTTAGCTTAATCGAATTTGTATATCTAAGGGATTTCAAATAAATGGGATAAAAATACCTCCCAACGATCTTTCCTTCAGGCGAGACCGCTGGTCGGTTTTTGAAGGGACCATATTTTCATTTTAGAACCTAAAACAAAAGGTCTTCCCTTGCTGGTTTCCCCTTGCACATTTACTTTTCCTTGGTTTTATTTTCTATCTATTTATATTATCTAAAATTTTCTTACTAAGAAGAGGAAAACAGCCCGGAACCCTAAACCTAAACCTATGTTTAATTATGCAATAAATAAATAAATAACGGTAATAAAACTCTAACAATAATAACAATATTTAGGACTTAATAATTAGAATAAATAGGACTTTTTCATTTAAGCGTATTTGAGGCAAAGTCTTTTAGTGCTCCAAAAGATTTGATATCACAGACTAGCTTTTGGAGATTAGGTGGCCATTCTGCTGAGGTGATTGCCGAATCAGTTAAGGTCTGTAAATTTTTTGAGAGGCATAAAATTCATGGCTAATGGTCTTTGAAAATAGAACCCTAAATACTTGAAATTTCTGCTGTGGGTACAAAAATATACTGTTATTGTTATTTGCAATAATATATTTGGTATAAACCATTGCTTTACAACCCCTCCCTGCAGATATGGGTGAGAGAAAATAAGAAATATATTTTTTATTTAAAGGTCATTAAATCTTGTTTAACATAATTCATTTTCATGTTCCGTTGTATTTAATTTTAGTTTGCTTGTTCAATTGTAATGTTTGTTTCTGCTGGTCCTGATTTTAAAGCCGCAGGAATACCAGTCTGGATGATTGGCACCACCCTCTCAGCATTTGAATCCTTTGACACCTTAAATCATAAGATCATGTTTAATAAAATACTTTATGGTTAGTACGCTGTTTACAAAATCAATCTACCTTTTTAGGTGCAGTTATTGTAAGTATGCCATCAGATGAGAGTGCAGAAGTGACATCTGCCACAATAACGTCTTTGGGTAAAAGATATTTACGCACAAAATGCCTTGAAATGTAACCATGTTCATCCATTTTTTCATCATGTTTTCCCTCAACGACTACTGTATTATCGACAGTCCGTACAGTGATTTCACTCGGTGTAAATTGTTGTACATCCAATACGACCTGGAACAAATTTCATAATTTACTGAATATTTTTAATCATTTAAAGAAAATGAAATAAGTATTTCTAATGCAAATAAATACCTGAACTTTATCTAGGTCAGTTGTAATGTTCGATGATCCACTGTTCTGACGGTGGAGTGGCTGCCTCCATGGTCTAAAGTAACCAGCAGGCCTTATTAACGAGGAAGGGAGAAAAGATGAAAGGTCTTCCTTGCTGAGGACATTACCAAAATGCTGATCAAGGAGACGAGAAGGTCTGTCCCTATCAAAGTCATCCCACCAATCACGGAAAAGAAGAGGTACAAGTGACATTCCTGAAATAAAATTAAAATCAAATTTATGAGACATGTGCCAACTATTCCATCAGTGCTTATTAACTTGTCCATCTATTTGTTGCCATTTTAAGCTATGTTAAGAATAGACTTTTGGTTTAAAAATATATTTATAGTATTTTTTTTATATGTATTAACTGTATATATTTAACTATCCAGGAAAGGTGTTTTTCCTGTTAATTTTTCCTTGTATGGCACTAAGTTTGAAAGTAGTCTCATTGTTGATAAAGATTCATGTTTACTCTGTGTAAGTCAACATATTAGTGCATCTGTTGGATTTTTTTGGTGTACTGATCAAAAACATCCAATTTTGTTACGCATATTATTTATGCACTGCATCATTCATTTGAAGGATTTACTATACTATGACGCTGGTAAGTAAACATTTTTATTTGCATAATGTCCAAAACTCATTAAAATTTATTTATGTCTATTTCAGGATATAAAATGTTTAAATATAAGTATTTAAGGGGGAATATAAATGAGGAGAGCTGTAGCGTCATGTAAATCTATTTTTGTTTTAACTTTGGCCTTCTATCCATGAATTATTTTGTGTTTTCTCATTCTTCTTCTTGTTTAGTCTGATAGGTACAAGCTATCAAAATAGCACAAAAAATATATTTAAAAAGTGTATTACTAATTCTAAAAAAATGTGATTAATTTAATTGGGAATGTTCTAAAAAATGGCATAAATGTAGTAATCAAATTATGGCTATTTGGATAGAATTTCCACTGGTAGGTAATAAATTTAAAAAAAATCAGAGTTGGCCACAATCCAGCATTTTTTATTCGGCCAAAATTGTATGCCCTTGTTCTTTATTATGTTTCTCATAAACAAATTGAGTATCATTAACTTTATTTCCAGAAAGTTGTTTGTTGTTAAAAAAAGATTTCCCTAGTGTTTGCTGTCAAGAGTCTGCCTGTAAAGAATTTCAAGCAAATATTCCAATAATACTACAGAAAAAATCCAACCTGTTTAAACTAAACATTTTTTTTTTTCAAATTTGTATACAGAACTTTTATGACAATATACCTGTTCTCAATGTTGTTGCTCATTTCAATGCTCTGTATGATCTGAATAGTATAAATTCAATTGTTATCTGTCAAACTTTCGTCTTATTTTTAGTCATCATCAGAAAAATAATTTTAAAGATGTGTACAAATTGAAATAATTAAGTTTTCATAAATTATTTCAAATTTCTTTGAAGATAGACTTGCAATCAATATCAACGCTACCGAGAACTGTAATTGTTGCCTTGCAACATATTTTCACAGTTGTTCAGAATAAAAAGCCAAAATTATTACTTTTTTTGTCCTTTTTTCATGTAGTCTAACTCCATTCTTCATTATCTCTCTATTATCATTATTCATTTTCTTAAAATCTTTTAAAAGGTAAGCCTTAAGCCAATAAAAAATGATATCTTGGGTGGATATTTAAACAAAAATTTTAAAAAATACTTGAAACTGAAACAAATTATTGTCTTCTATCATTAATATTTTCTTCCTGTTTGTTTTATTTCTTGTTCAAAAACGTTACATTAAACTGCTAGGTCATATGGCCTATGTGACCTCATATGTTCATTTTTCTCTGGAGTCACAGATGAGTATAGTTTCCCTTTCTAACACAGCGACCTATTGTGGAATTGACCCTTCTTTATTTCCTTACCCTATAAAGTGCTTAACTGCCTTTAAATAATTTTACTAATTTCTCTAGGCGTTAGTGTTGCATTTCCAAAGTGGCTGTAACGTTTCAGTGCTAATCCTTTCCGGTCACATAGGACTTGTTCTGATGTCTGTTATTTCAAGGCTTGGCAGGTTTCTGTTTGTTTTCCTAATTTTTTACGGTGGTAATTAAACAGACAATGGATAGTACAAAGGCCTATTATTTTTATTGATTCAACCCTGCTGAGAGGAGGTTTTTGTTTTCCTGGGGTTGTTGAGAAACTCCTTTTATTGTTTTACACTTGGTGAATTCATTGTTTGGTCATTTCTTTATCCATCCATTTGTTCAGTTCTGCTTTTAGCGTGCCATTTTGTGCTGGTCCAAAGGGTGTGAATGCTACTGCTGGGTTGTCAGACTGTTGCCTTCAGTCAACTTCCTTCCTGACACCCACATCAAAATTATTGCATTTTGTTTCCCCAGTTAGACTTAAGTATTCCCAATGAGCGTTGGGATGAAGGTAGCCTCAGCACCTATTAATCCCATTTGGAGTATTTATTGCACGAATCTCAGCTTGGAAAATTGATGATGTGGTGTTATAGGTTTCGCTAAGTCAAAATTTGGGCCTTTGACTCCAGCCCATGTTTCATTTTAAATCTATCTATATACCATAATAAAACACCCTTATTTAGTTTTAGTGTTTTTATTCTTCCAAACATCTTTTCCTATTTTGTTTTAATTTCGTCAGACATTGCAGCTCATCATTTATTTTGACTTACCATATATGTTTAAAATTAATTATGGCACCTCATTCTTGTTTTGAATAAAGAACCTCTTCGTGAGGAAAAATAAAAATTAAAAACTACATTATAAAAGTAAACTTTTAGCTTTTCAAATAGAGAAAATTTTGCAGATTGCGTAAATTGTTTCATGGATTAGAGTGGCGGATATTAGGCGTTCTTTCGAAATTAGCCTGTGATTCATAAGCTATATTAGCAGCTCGGGTTGCTTATATCCACACCCAAACCGATCTAAACCAATCCATTGTATATCGGGGAATTTCCGTCCCGCTGATCCGGCCAGCGATGGATTTTGCAAATAAAATTTCCGTTTTTGCATCTGCCTGACAACCCATTTTCAATTTACCGTTCTTTTATGTCGGGTAAAGCAAACCCTGGAGATTCTGTTTTCCTGTTAAGATAGTCGAAAGATTTAAAAAGCTCGTCGGCAGAGAACGTTGTACTATCGCAACGAACCCAAGAAATCCTTACAAGGAAGAAAGAGCTTTTTCCTCCATTGCATGAATATTCTTATTAAGGTTTCATTCCAGAAGAACTCAACTACGTGGAACAATATAGTCATAGAAATAGATTAAACAGAAATTAAAAGCAACCTAAAACGTTCAGCATTATCGGATCCTTTATTCAACAGATTTGTACTAATTTCAAACGTTAAAATAAAATGCCAACATTAAATAATTCACAATGTTACATGCAAATATTTGCATGTGTTATTCCAATTAAATTATACGAGTTTGATATGAAAGTCGAATATGTTATAAGAGCAGCCATAGTCTTAAGCGATCGCTAAAATATTTCATGTGTCATTCGTTCCAAAATAAAACAATAAGAGAAATAAATACACAAAGCAGTCAAACAATAAGTTTTGTGCATTAGTGAAAGGGTTATTGGGTATAGTTTGGATTTATTCTTACTCGGACTTGGTTATGTGCCGCTCTTCGGGAGAGATTCTTACTGAAAATGAAATTTTGTGTGCGGTACTTTATAAATAGTTCTATTCGACGCATGAGCCGAAGCCCTAGCTTAGTCATATAATTCTTTTTTTATCCATTGAATCAAATATATATAAATATATTCGTTGAATTAACTTACGACAGACTTCCGGGAAGGAGGTAAACAACATAATTGTAAACGAGGAGGTCGCCTTAAATTTTATTTAGCCTTTTAGCAAGGCCTGTTTTTCGGCTAACCAACCCTAAATAATTTATTGTATTTATTTTTAACAAATGGAGAAGATTAATAATTCGGGGAGTTTTAAGAATTTCAAATAGAAAATCAAATGACCAAGAAAATTTATAGTTGAACAATTTGAACTGAGAGAATCACTGTAATTTGATCTGCCTAATTCCATCCTCAGTGGGTAAAAAAAATTGCCAACCAAATTACACGTCTACATTGGTTGGTAATTTCTGCCTACTGAACAGCAAGAATAAGAGAAGGATGATCAGACAAACAAACCTCGGAAGACGACGAAGTGCCTGATAGACCAAAATGATCATGACCAAATTACATGTTCATCACCCCGCAGAAAACATTCGTTCTAATTCTCGTTGGTTTACCAGACGTGAATAGTGTGCAAGACCAGTTATTTGTTCGAATGAAAACCAATTTTAATAGAATTCCTCTGATGATGATGAGGAGGAGGATACTACGTTCAGTATTCTCCAAAAACTACCGTCCTCTGGCTTATTGTACTTTTCCCAGTTCCTTAGTTCAGTTCAATTGATTCAATCCTTCTTCCAAGCGTGTGTAGTACCTCTAGAATTCGGCCATTTCTATTGTCTTTTTTGGATATATTTTAAGGCCTATGTCTTGGTTAGGGCAGGGACCGGACCCCACCATAAAGTAAACTTGTGTTTTCGTAGGACCAGAGACAATTAAAACATTCCCAGATTAGTTTGGAGTTAAAAGCATACTGCATGAGTTTTCTTTCTCTATGTGACTAGTCGTTCCAAGAGAGGACTGACCATTGTTTGACTAGTTAATCAATTTTGTGATGGCTTCTGTTTAGATCTGGTTTTAATCCTTTCTTACTCTGTACTTTGCACTTTCGAAAGCCTCGTTTGTACATGTATGTGCAAGGGTGGGAAATTGAGTTCGGTTTTCATTGGTGTTGATCTTGGCATATTAGTTTGTATGTAGTATGCCATTGAGGTGACCACCTACAAGAATACCAATATATCCACTAGGCGTCACCACTGCTTCAACAATGGTATCGTCTTTCACGCTGCAGCCAATTAACTTGCAGCAGCTCGGTATATAAGCAGGGGCTCAACTTGCTTATTTCAGACTCGTCGACGAGGTCTCAATTCTCACTAATGGAGCAAAATAAATTAAAAAAAATATAATATATAATATAATTTAAAAAAAATAAAATTAAAATATTTCATTAATAATGTATTAGTAAATTAATGATAAAATTAAATTATAAAAACAATTTAATTAATTAATTTCTATGACTAATATTATTTAGGTACATATTTAAAATAGGAGGTATATCAAAATCTATTGTTATTAATGCGTTTATCTCGGTGTTCAATTTTACATTTTTTAATTTCTAATTTCTCCACTAATCTAGTTCCCTCCCTTTGTTAAAACTGTGTAATACTGTTGTAATTTTTTCAAAATTCTCCATGAATATTTCGGCACTAAGGGGATAATGGAGACCCGTGGGGGCATCGGTGGCCGCAACGGTTTAGGAGTTGACAAGGCACTCATCACTGTAAGGTGAAGGTCCCGGGTTCGAATCCAGCGGCCCTGCATTCAAACCCGGCATACTTACAAATGGGCTTTTTTTCAAAAACACCTGCACCCTGAGGGTTGATCTGACGTCTGCTGTTGCGAACCCTCGTTAAAAAATAAATAAATAAAATAAATAAATGGAGACCCCATTGGTAACCCTTTCATTTCGTAAAATTTATAAATTTACAATAATTAGGTAGTAGGCATGTATTTAAGAGGTCTATTTGATCATTTTTTTACAAATTCGTTAATAGAATTCTCCGTAAATTTGTTTTAAAAGTTTTGTTCATTGATATTTGTGAATAAATTAGTAACATCAGATGACACTAAAACACAGTTGTTAGGTATATTTATGTTCTTTAATTGTTTTATCAATTCTAAAGAATTGTTAATACCTAATGTAGGTTTGAAATTGGTCTTTAATTATGTTATCAATTGTAATCGCTAGTTTTTGGTATGGAGAATTATAAAAGGAAACTACTGGTCGTATCGGTTTGTTTTCCTTGTGAATTTAAACCGTACCGTATAACACTGTTGGTTTCTCGGGTTCATTGATGTTTGTTTTAGCTACGGATTGGTCAATTGAAAATAAAAAGTCACTGTTTTTGATTGCTATTTGAACTTTAGTTTTTAATTTTAAAGTGGGATCTTTTTTTATTTCTTTACAATCGTTATTGATTAGAAATTCTTTAACATTAGAAACATATTTTTGATGTTCGATGATAACTGTACTTTTTCCTTTATCGGCTTTTAAAGTAACGTTGTTGTTACTTTTTAACTTTTCATCAACTGACCTAATTGTCCGTGGGATATTTAATTTTTTGACGTTTAGATTTACCAAGTTTTGTTTAATTACTTCAGTACATTTTTATTTTATATTTGTATTTATTTTACAACAATCTACCGATGAACCAAGGGTTAATAGTTTTTCGGTATCTAATTCTGTTTTTGGGACAAATTTTATGCCTTTATTTAATAAATTGTTTTCTTCTTTATTTAGTACCGTGTTTGTTAAGTTTATAACCCTTGGGTAAAATTTAATTGGAGTTGTTTGGTCTTTATGAGTATTTTTATTTTTAAGTGTACCGTACTTCATGTTTGTAATTTATTTTTAAACCCAAGATATCTTATCATAATCGAATTTATCGCATTCTACTGGAAACAATAATGAGGCGAGCCTAAGAGAGAAAGCCTATTTGAGAAATTAGGAATTAAAAAATGTAAAATCGAACATGGAGATAAATGCATTAGTAATATAATAGATTTTGATTTACCTCATGTTTTAAATATGTAATAATATCAGGCGTTCAAATTATTCAAAAAAATAATTTAATTTTTATTATTTAAATTTATTATTAATTTACTAATCTATTATTAATGTATCATTTTAATTTTAATTTGTATTAATTAACAAATAAAAAAAATACAAATTAGTCACTAAGTTTAATTATTTTCTTACAGTATTTATTAATACAATATTACTTGTACTGTAATTCCAGCTTTTCGCACTTTCAAAATTGAGCGCCATTAAAAACCAGCTTCTCATTGGAACGTCGCGTTGGCGGGTGCACTTTTACACTTCATGTAGAGAGATGTGGTTGTAAATTCCTTCAACCTGATGATAAGCTAAAAGCTTGAAATCTAGATCGTTGAAAACAACTAACTGTGAGTAGGAACTATCTTTTCATAAAGATTGAACAACATACTCACTACACCATTTACCATTTCTACTCCCAGGCTAGTTTGGGGCTTAAATCTATACTTTTATAACCGTCGTAAATTGGCCCTCTCGCAGGCCGTCTATTGGTCAGCAGTGTCAAGTTTTTTTAATCTATATTTGTATTGTAAATGTTATGATGTAGATCGGCCCCACGTTGTTAAAGCCTCGGAGGGAAATTTTTTAAGAGAATAAATCGATGCCTAGTTAAGAACAAGACAACAATCGATGATAGTCACAGTATCAGAAGTCAGAACAAGTGACGATTGCGATTGTGATAAGTGAACGCTTCCTATCGAGAAACCTCCTCCGGCTGGAATTCAAATCGTCAACTTAGGCTTACAAGTTAAATTCGTGAATCCTTTCTAAACCGAATCTATTTAATTACCTGGGATCATCACATCGCCCGTTTATTCACTTTTCGTCACATAAATAGCTTGCAATATGTCTGCTGTGAAGAGCGAAGACAGCTTCCATGACTGCACGACCCTGGAGCCGTCTTTGAAGAACATCCTGGACCAGACGACGTTGAGGTGGGTCTTCGTCGGCGGCAAGGGTGGCGTTGGAAAAACGACCTGCAGGTACGGCAAAAAAATTTATGAGTGTCTAAATATTTAATTTTATGTCTATCTAGTTTTTCCTGTCGTATTTTACTGAATTAGCATTTCTTAGCCTTTACAAAACCTAGGACTAATCAACCACAAAGACAGCACTCACTATTCATTTAAGCCTATTAAATGGCTGTGAACATATTACAAAAATTATTTTATTAATGTAAGCAGCTTTATGTGCTTATCGCTTCAGCCTACACGCTTAACTAGGAGGGAAGGTGAGGTTCAAAACTATCAAAAAATCTGAGGATGAGGCTATTTACAAGAGGATATTCTTCGACAGTCGACTCTATTCAATGTCTACCAATTTTAAGTATTAGATGTATCGACCACTTTTCTATTCACGAATACTCTGGATCATAAGAAGTCTTTTCAGAGGATCTTCGGAAGATCTTCCGAAGATCCTCTGAAAAGACTTCTTGTATCCAGCAGGTCGATAATCTAGTTCATCGTTACTCTGGATCATGTTATGGTCTAGATGAAAAGGCAAATACAATTGTTAGTGCCATGCTTTCAACCTATTTTATGTTCATCAGAGCAAAACGATCTTAAATATAGAAATAGAAATATATTTATCAAAAATAGGGCTTGGGCTACAGTGAGTAGAAAAATATAAAATAATTCAGTAACAAAAAGGTTACGAAATATAATGTAAATATAAACGTTTTACAAGGGTATTTCAAATACGAGGGTATTTGAACCCTTGGGGTGCAGTTGTTTTTGAAAAAAAAAAACATTTATAAGTATGTAGGGTTTGAATGCAGAGCCGCTGGATTCGAACCCGGGACCTTTTACCTTACAGTGGTGAGCGCCTTGTCAACGCCTAAACCGTTGCGGCCACCAACGCCCCCACGGGTCTCCATTATTCCCTTAGTGCTGAAATATTCATGGACAATTTTGAAAAAATTACAACAGTATTACACAGTTTTAACAAAGGGAGGGAACTAGATTAGCTTAAAAGAATATTTCATATAAATATATCTAAAAAGACCACATTTATCTTTTGATTTTAAATTATCATTGTGAAATAATATAACATATGTGTGGTGTTTAGTGACCGTTAGCCAATGATTATTTGGAGATCGTGAGGTGTGGAATTACTGAGTAGGAGACAATTGATAAACCACTTAACTGACTTATGGATTCAATTCTGCTTGCAGGCCTAGAGGACCAATGTTGAGGATTCGGTTCGGTTTAGATTATTAGCGGGATTGAATTAACTAAAGTGGACTGTATTTTTAAAAATGTTATTATTAAACAACAGAGAGAACAAAATTAGGTTTACATAAAAAAAATAAAATAAAATAAATTGTCAAAACAGGTTAACAAGACCAGGAGGATGTAGTAGTGCCACAGCCTGGCAGTAGCAATTTGAAGTAAAACTTTAATCTTCTTCAGCTTCAACACTCATGTTAATGCTCAATTTCTCCTACAAAAAATATTGTATATTGTTCTATTTAAAAATTATATTTGTTTCGTAGTGTTCAGTAATGTCAATTCAGTAGCCCATAAACGTAAACTTACATTGTAATTTGGCTTATCTACACATGATAGTTATATAATCAATATTTTTAAAATATTATTCATTGTAAATAATACAGAAAAATAATTTTCAAAAACAACGGAATCCCAGGGGTTGATATGATCTCTGCTAAACCTAACATATTTTATCTACTAAAATTTAAAAAATGAATTGAAGTTAACTAACAACACACACAGGACCCCATGGTCATGAGAGTCTCCGATTTCAAGTTTTGCCCAATGAGCTCCAGGAGCCGAGGAGAAAATATTTTAAGAGTAAAAATGACCAAAAATTACTTTCACAAAGCTGCCAGTGCTCACAACTCTCTCAATCGATTGGAATGAAATTTTAAAAGATGTTACTATAGTTAGTATGTTAGTGTATGACAGTAGTAGCATGGAAAAATATTAGGGATGTATGTATAGGGGTTTGGCAAAATAACCCCCGGAAGCCTGTATTAAACTGATAAATATTGTGGTATAATTGTGTGTATATGGCTCTGCGAAAGATTAAAAATCAATTTAAAATATGGATTGCACTTACAAATAATGTAATTAATTATGTGATTTAATTTGGTGAAGTAGTGAAGAGCGGGGGCAGGAATGGAATATTTTAGAAAACTGTTTTTTTTCTCCCCCAACAATTTGTCCTTTATTCAAGTCATCTTCAGGGCCTAGGTGAATTACAAAATTTATCCTTGATTATTAATTATTATAACAAAACTTACTTGATTGTAAAAATTAATTATGGAAATAATATAAATTTTGCACCAAATATTTGAACAACAGGTCACTAAATAACACACATATCATGTGATTGTTTTTAAGTTTTGATAATTATTCAGAAATCGTGAGATGCGGTCTGGTGTGATGTAGGTTTCAGAAAATCATTTTCTTTATCGTGCCAATGTTTCGATCTTTATTGAGATCATCTTCAGGGCCTGGGATTTCCAAACATTGTTTACATTTAACAAATACATTTAGNTACACAAATTTAGCCTTTTGCTGAGCCAGAATACACCACAGTATTTAATATGCTATTACTTCCTACGGCTAATTTGCTAAATCCCTATACAAGTCCTTAATATTTTTCAATGTACAACATCCCTTAAAATTTTATTCTCATTGATGTAGAGGGCTGTGAGCAATTTTTTTGTACAACAATTTTTTTATTGGCTTCTGGAGCCAATTGAACAGAACATTCAAATACATGTCTAATATTTTTCGACCTAGTATTACTAAAAAAAGTTTCATAGAAATCAGTGACGGTAGCCTCTCCTTGTATGTGTATATTTTTTTTTAACGAGGGTTCGCGACAGCAGAGGTCGTATCAACCCTCAGGGTGCCGTTGTTTTTGAAAAAAGCCCATTTATAATTATGTCAGGTTCGAATGCAGGGCCGCTGAATTCGAACCCTATACCTCTACCTTACATTGATGAGTGCTGAGTCAATGCCTAAACCATTGCGGCCACTGATGCTCCCTAATTGTAATGTCTAATTATATGTTTATTTGTAAAAATGTTTTATTTTTATTTTATTTTTCAGTTGTAGCTTAGCGATAAAACTTGCTGAAGTGAGACCCTCTGTCCTTATTATTTCCACGGACCCAGCACATAACATTTCAGATGCATTTGATCAAAAATTCACTAAAACACCCACCCTGGTCAGAGGGTTCACCAATCTCTATGCTATGGTGAGTATTATATCAATTTATTAATTAATTTATAATTATATAATATAANTATAATATTAGAAGAATATTAATTTATAATTAACTAAAACGTGTGTTGTCATTTTTTATTATGATTACTTTTACATAATAATTATGCGAAGTTATTATATTATAGTTAATTATTATATTTTGCATGTAAATTGTGCTTCTTATTGAAACTGTCTTAGTGCGTATTTGACACATTCATAAATGCTTTGTTTTCATGTATTTCATACCTTTGCAGATGTTTTTTACGTCTATCTTTTTATTAAAAATTGAGATAATTAACACAGTTGTTTTCAAAAAAAGTTCCTAGTAGCATTAGTCAAACAGCCTCTTGTTCCTGAAGTATTCTTATGACTTTATGGGTATTCCTTTACTTGTTATAATTGCATAAAGGATCCATGTGTTCAAATATAAATAAAGAGTTATTAAAATTGACCTTCGATTGTAGGGGATAGGTTGTAGAAAATGTAGGCAACCCGTTTAATTTTTATGTCATATACACGTCCAGATTGTTGCAGCGTTGTTTTACAAAAGTTATTAAAATTGACCTTCGAGCGGTCGCACTTGATACAAAATGACCTTAGCCTATTTTGTTTAAAATTATTATTTATATTCCTGTAGGTTTATTGTTAGCAAAATATATAATGAAATGAATGGTACTAATAAAAATGTTTTTATTTTCTAAAATATTGTAATTTTAGTAAATAAAAGCATTTTTATGAGTACCATTCATTTCGTTATACATTTTGTTAACATTAAACCTATATTTTTATATTGTTCTATAATATACAATAGAAAAATAAAAAATAATATAATAAAATATAATAACATAAACAATAGTTTTTGTGGTTGTATACCAATTGAATGTTGTATGAATTTTCAATCAAAGTTGCATATGAAGCATGATATGGACTAGCAGATGGTTGAGTATCTATTTATATATCCATCTTAGTAGTGGAGAAGGAGAAACATCTTTTGGCTCATAATTAAAAAATTTCCAACCTTGTATCGTCTGAACATGTATCCATCCAACTACGATTGAGAAATAATGTTTTGACAAATCAAATAGGCCAAAGAGTATTTATTGAATCTGTAACTCAAAGCCAGACTTGGGTCCCTACCCTCTTTAAGGATAGGTATGAAGAGGGCTCTTGCCGATGTACGGGGTACGAGCCTGAATTCCATATGTTGTTGAACAAGTTCAACAAGTGATGCTTCGCACCCTGGGGAAGGTGTGATTCTATCTCTTATAGAATACCGTCACATCTGGAGCTTGAATTCCAGGTACGCCTCAACGCAGACTCGAACTCTCCCATCGTCAGCGGCATGTTGTATCTTCACTAGTACCACCATCAAAATCAATCTCAGTACATTCTGCTTCAGTTTTTCTTTGCCAGAAGCCATTGGAATATGCCTGAGAACTTGACACAGCGGCAAAGTGCTACACCGGTTCTTTGGCGACCTCCGAAGCTTCTGTTTCACCCCGATGGTTGGAGGTCAGTATTGGCACTGACAGAGGCACAAATTGGCGAGAGAGGGCTCTGGCCTTGTCCCATATTTCCCTGCCGGAAGTTTGGTAAGTCATTTCTGACACATACTTGACCAAGTTATCCATTTTGGCTTGGGACAAGATACGCCTGCCTCTCCCTAGCCCTTTTTACTTTATGATTTACAAGGTTTTCCTCCATCTGCTATCTTCTGAAGAGCCGGAAGGCCCGCTTCTTCTCTGCATGTACACAGCCGCAGGCAGCACTCCTCCAAGTAACCCGGGATCTACAAGTAGACCGGTAACACCATAACTGGGGGTAGATCTGCCTGCAGCACGGTTTATCTCCCACTCAAAGAGGAGAGATCGGTGTCAACATTCCCTGTTAACTCAGGTGCCGACTTCGTCATGGAGAAAAGCTCCCAAACAGTTCAGGCTTTACTTCATGGGAGTGCAATACACCCCTCTCCAGACGGAATTCTTCAACGCTAAGAAAGTGGTCACTCAAGTGGGGGCCCCAAAGCTAACAACAAGCTAAAACTGCCTGAACTAAAATTAAAAAATATATGTGTAGCAGTGCTGGTGTTTAGGAGGACTAGGTTGGGCTCACCGATTAGGTCCCATTAGCTCCCCCATCTCTCTGCCCCTAGCATCTGTGCCAATGACCCTCACCATTTGTGCGAATTAAAATCACCCAACACCATAACTGGCGGGGAGCTACTCGACCAGGGCAGAGACCCCACTGCTGTTCCACAATCCATCCAGGGAGATAGACGGAATACAGAATGAGGTTCAACAGTGCCAGTATTCTTGCTGTGATCGCATGAATGCTCATATTAATCCTCACCTCTTGTGCCAGTACATTGTCCCTTATTAATATGGCTACTCCTCTATGTATCCTACCTCCCGGAACTGGTTGCACCTCTCTAGAAAATGTTCTGAACCCCTTCAGTTTGAGGTGCACCCAAGGGCGGATTTGAGTCTCTTGGAATGTTCCCTAGCCATTAACTGCAGAATATGTCTCTTGTTATTTATACCTCTGCAATTCATTATTCATTCTCTTTTGGTTTCTGCTTTCTCAAGTTTGGTCTGGGTTGACCTTTCTGTCAGGCTTTGGTGATTACCTTTTGGGTAGCAGTCGCCAGGGTTTGCTCTGGGGCCCTTGGCCACACAGTGACCCTACTTTCCACCACTGCCCTGGCCTCTCAAAAGCTCATTCTACCTACTATTTTTAAGTTTTGTATATCTTGTTCTTTTAAGTGAACAAGGCAGCACGGATTGAGCTGTATGGTATCCTCCGAAGTTCACACAAGTGGGAGGGTCGTGCATCCCGTTTCTTTCGGGTGTGCTTCCCTCCACTACCCACACACTTCCTGTGGGGAGTTAAACTGCAGGGAAATGTGGCCAAACTTCTGACAACAGTAACACCTTTGGGGGAATGGTATTTAAAGGCAGACTTTCAATTTGCAGACAACTTGAAAGCTGCATTTATTCCTTTTTAAAAAGATAGTTCCTACTAACAGTAAGTAAATCAGGTTGAAAAAAAAAAAAAATCAGGTTGAAGGAATTGTGGTTAGCCGTGTTTATTTCTTCAGGGCATTTAGGAATGTCAAAGGTAAGAATGAGACTAGCCGAAGAGACAAGTTGCCCGTTAAATTGTTTCTGAGCAGCTTTTTTAATATGGTAGAAAAATATTTTGCAAATTTTGGGATTGAGTTTTTTTTTACTGGAACATGTAGGTATAATAAATAATACGTAATATCGTAAAAAATATTAGTACATTCTTTTATGTTAAGGTACTGAAAAGTGTATCCCAATTGATTATTGCTGTATGGCTTATCATATTATGGAAATCAGTATCAAGGAAACCATAATAATTGTACCAAACAAATGGAAAATCAAACAACCGGGCAGTCAGTGACAACTCTAATTCGGGGAATTAACAAGAGGACTTACCCCAAATGATGGTTGCCAGCATGAACTTCCACATCCTTTAACATCTTCCAGGATGTTCTTCCTGCTGCTTCCTGGATCGTCGACTCTGTTCGACTGGTTGCAATGGCTAGATGCTTGCTGGCTGGTCCCCGACTGAGTGTGACTGCTTGACTGAGTCATCAACTTGATTGGCTTTGCTTTTCAGATCATCCCCTCTTATACTGGTTTCACAACCAGTGTAGGGGCAGAAAGGAAAAACAAAAACTGTTGGGTCAGATGTCTACTTTCTTCTTGCAAGGGTTGGCTGCACAATAACTTGTAATTCTGAGGAGTTTCCATTATGCAGCCTCCTGGTCCCATGTCGATGAATTATAGTGAAGAGTGTACAACGCCCATCCGGCTGACATGCCCCAAAATTTATAAAGGTGATGAACTGTGTCTGCGACAACCTTCCCACACTAAATAACTTCTCCAGTTTTGTGGCTTTTCATCTGTCACATTTCTATGACTTCCAGGTTTGTGGGAAACCTCTCTTTGCTCCCTACTGGGTAGGTGACCCATCAGATTTACAGCCTTATTTATTGTTTGAAATTCCTTACAACTAATTTTAACTTATTTAACGAATGTTCTTAACTTAAGCTGTGACGGGCACTGGCTTGCATGTCCTTTATCTAAATTTTGTCTAAATTAATCCTATTAGTAAATAATATAAAACAAATACATGCAAAATTCTTTACTTAAGAATGGTTTTTCTTTTTGAAGGATGATTTTGTACTAACACCCCTGTCACTCTTCCATCCATTCTTTGAAGGTTATTTTTTTTTAAGCTCTGTGGTACAAAACTACCCCCGTGCGACTGCTCAAAGGTTATTTATTATTATTAAACATCAATTTACTGTTTTATTTTGCTGAAAAAACTAGTAAGTTATCATTGTTTAATTTATTTTTAAATAATTTTGTATGTCTTATTAACCTTCTGTAAAGAATAACTTTTTCCCCATAGGAAGTGGACCCAAATATTGGAGTGAATGAGTTACCAGAAGAATTTTTTGATCCTGAAAATGATTCTGTGAACATAAACAAAGGAATACTTCAGGAAATAGTTGGAGTTCTTCCTGGCATAGATGAAACTATGAGCTATGCAGAAGTTATGAAGTATATCACTGAATATATGATTTTTTTTTCAATTTTAATTATTGCTGTTATTATGAATATTTTTTCTTTTTCTAGTGCAATTACTTACAACATTTACTTTGTGATTAACCTCATTCATCTGATTCTTACATTTCGCATTGTCTCTTTGTAATTTTGATTGGAATATTTTCTAATTTCTTTTCCAGATTGGTAAAAAGCATGGACTTTTCGGTGGTAGTGTTTGATACTGCACCTACAGGGCATACATTACGTTTATTATCTTTCCCTAAAGTCGTGGAAAAAGGATTAACAAAATTATTGAGATTCAAAACAAGGATTTCACCATTCATTACACAGGTTTAATTGTGCAGTTTTAGTACAATTTTAGAAAGATTGAAACTGAATATACTTTTTTTAAATTCGTTTTATTTTTTAAATTGAATTTTCAGATGAGTTCTCTGTTTGGTGTTCAGGACATGCCTATAGAATCTATTAGTAGGAAATTGGAAGAAATGCTATCAATAATAAAACAAGCGAATGAACAATTTCGAGATCCGGTACTTATTTTTTAAAAATATTTTTCAGTTGTGATAGTTCTGCAGGTCTTTAGTGCCCACACACTCATTTTCCTGGCCGTACAGAGCTATTACCAAAATCCTAGTATATCATTTCTCTAAAATTGACTCAAGCTGTCAAAAATGTCAAATTGTTAATGTTAACATTATTGATTATTTAAAATGGCCACACAGTAAAATATTTTATTTTATTTTAGGAACAAACAACATTTGTTTGTGTTTGTATTGCTGAGTTTTTGTCTATATATGAAACAGAAAGACTTGTCCAGGAGCTTTCAAAGTGTGAAATAGATACACACAACATAATTGTAAATCAGTTGTTATATCCGGCCAAAGAAACAGGTTGTGCTATGTGCAAATCACGCTTTGATTTACAAGCAAAATATCTTGACCAAGTAAGTTTTCTCATTTCCAATTATTTAACCTTTATATTTTCTAATTGTCGTTGAGGTTTGTATTGTTTGTATCTTAACATTAATATTTAAATATTTGTGCATTTTTGAACTTTAAGGTTATTTTTTATAGTTTAGTGACCATTAGTCAATGATTATTCGGAGATGCGGTCTGGTGTGATGTAGGTTTTAGAAAAACATTTTCTTTATCGTGCCAACGTTTCGATCTTTATTGAGAACATCTTCAAGGCCTGGGATTTATAAACATAGTTAAAATTTTACAAATCCATGTAGGATGTGAACAAAAAAAATTAATTTATACAATGCTAAAAAATTTTAGATTAAAACAATATAACAATCAATTACAATTAATTAAGGTTTTTAGTTGAGATGAAAAAAAGTTAATGGCACGAGCGGGATTCGAACCCACGATCTTCGGCTAGATACGCCGCTGCTCTACCACTTGAGCTATCGTGACCTCGACCCACTCTGACATCAACTTCCTATCTCAACCCCACCTTATGAGTTTTCCCTCCTTTTTGCCATTTTTCTCTGTGGCCATTTCATTTGTCGTCGAGAATCCATTCCGATTACACGACATTTGAAAAGGCAACCTAGGCCCGATACTTGCAGACATAATTATGACACATCTGTTAAAAAGTCATTCTCATCCTATTAAGAATAGGCTATGCGTGGTTGACACACGGACACTTTTGGCCCACTTTCGGTTGCTCGATGTGTCCCACCTAGTTGTAGGAATATATAATGTTATTGTTGTTTTTGTATCAAATATCAAAAAATATAAATTAAAGGTGTTATTTCATTCAATTTGTGTAATTATTTTTCAGATATCAGATCTGTACGAAGATTTTCATATTATAAAGTTACCACTTTTAGAAAAAGAAGTGAGAGGAATTGAAAAGATGGTGCAATTTGGGAGAAATCTCGTTCATCCTTATGAACCCACCGACTAAAAAATAAAATTTCTATGTCTATTAACCTCACCAAAAAGTGTAAGGAAGAAGTTATTTGCATGTTTCTTTAAAAATTTAAAATATTGGATGAAATAAATTCTTCGGCCTATATCATAGTGTTTGAAAGATTCTCTAAAGCTTTGTGATGATTTAAATATATCAAATATATTTACAACATGCTTTCACTTCAGTGAAAGTGTAAAAGCACTATGATTTGGTAATAAATTTAATTTGCCTTTTGTATTGTAATTTCTCATTTCAAATAAAACTTCAGATGAAAAAAAAAATATATTTTTTTATGATAGATCATAGATAAAGGTTTGTAAACCAGAAACAGTTCATAGGAATTGTACAAACGGTATTCGTCTTTTCCTGATGAAAATATAAATCATATCATATTTTCTTTGAAGACTAGATATTACCTTTTTGCTCGGCTGCTCAATAAATATTGCTTTAAAAGTTATCAGCCATAAATGAAATGCATACACAAAATAAAAACCTGATGTTGAACACAATTTTTCCTTGTGTTGAAATGTAACAAAAAAAAAAAACTATGTGGGAACCACATTTGTTACCTTCTCCTTCTATCTAATTTAATGGTAGCCTAAATATTTATGTGTGTGCATACAGTGTATTTTATTGTTCTTTTATTTCATTGAAAACAAAGTGCACTGACCTTTTGTGAACTTTTTATTTTATTTTAAAACAATGTTTTTTAATATCTATGTAAATTTTCAAGAATTTTATTACTAAAAAGAATCATTAAATTAACTGTATTTTAAATTTTATGGTTCTAATTATGAAAGAGGTCTATCTTTATCAACAAAACTAACATAGCATGCTATTGTGCAAGACTTTTTTTGTCATAACATTTTTGTTTTACTTGACTGGATCATATTATGTAATATAAATGTGTGATATTGATGGGATTGTTAAACTTGTTATTCCAACATTAAGGAAAACATAATTATGCACAAGTATTCTGGTAAGGGTTACAAAATAGTTAATTTTAAATGTTACTTGTTCTTTGAATCATTTGTATTATAAATTATTTATTCAAAATTTGATTAATTAAAGTGATGAATTAAAGTGTTTAAAAAAACAATTAAAAGAGGTGAATGAGGTGTGTTTTCATTGTTTTGCTCAAAAACTAAATATTTTTTTACAGTTAAGTATTTTTATTGTTTCATTGATTCAATGCAAACATTTCCTCTGTTAATAATTGCATTGGTGTTTTTTTTTTTTTTTTTTTTTTTTTTTTTTTTTTTTTTTTTTTTTTTTTTTTTTAATTACAAGAACTAAAGATTGCTTACATTCGAATGTTGCTTAATTAATTTTAAAAACCTACATCATAACATTGTTCTATTTTCTAAAAATTGTATTACCTCACCTGTTTTTCATTGTCCCACCACCTGCGGTAAGGGCTCTCGTATCAAGAGGACATGCTGTCTCTTTCTTGTTCTGGCAATATCTGCTCCGGCTTGTTTCTGCTGTAGAAGGTAGGGTTAGGACCAATGTTTCATTACCTTTAGGTTAATATTGAAGTATATAATCAGTATAAGGGTAGGTACGGGGTACAGTTAAGATAAGTGTAAGGATAGGTTGAATTAGCATTAGGACTAGTGTTTGGTTAGCGGTGGTTTAAGATTGAAAAAGGAAGAAATTCATAGGGACAATTGGAAACTCATCTTCTTTAAAGTTACGTGATATGACGACAAGCATAAATCTCTGCTGAGGAAATGTGAACATCGAAATAAGGAACCTAAAGGATCTAAAGCATCTTGTGAGACTACTGATTATAAATTGTGAGATGCCAATTAAGCTAAGGTGCGTTTACATAAGCATTGTTAACAATATCAAAGTATTCATAATGCTGATATATTCCTGAATAGTTTATGTAGGAACTATGTGTTTTACTCCATAATTCCCACATCACAGATGATTTCTTTTATATATAATTACAATATTAAGGCTGATGTCAGTCATATTAAGATCAGTATAAGGTTAGGTTAAAGATAAGGGTAAGATAAGAGAGAGGTTAGGTACGGTTAGGACCAGTGTTTGGTTAGCTTTGGGTTAAGATTGAAAACTAAAAACAATCATTGAAAATCATTGGGACCAGTGGAAACTGGACAAATTTAAAGTCATGTGACATCCCCACAAGAACAAATCTTGGCTGAGAAAATGTACACATCGAAGTAAGCAAACTAAAGGGTCATCAGCAGCCGGTGGGAATACTATACATGAATTAAGGGATGAAGTTTAAGCTTAGGTTTAGTGTTTAGATGAACATTATTCACTGTTTCAAGATATTAATTATGTAGATATGTTCCTGTAAAGCTGATGCAGGAGCTGAGTGTATTACTCCATATTTGCCTTATCCCCAGATCTCTTCTTTTATGTAAAATTAAAATATTAAGGCTGATGTCAATCATATTAGGATCGTCAGTATAAAGTTGGGTTAGGGTTATGGTTTAGATTAGAGTGATGTTAAGTAGAATTAGCGTTAGGATCAAGGTTTTGTTATCTTTGGGTTAAGATTGAAAAATAAAGAAATTCCTTGGGACGAGTGGAAACTGGACATTTTTAAGTTCGTGTGATATGTCCACAAGCATATATCTCTTTTCAGGAAATTAACAGTTTCGAAGTCTTCATAATGCGGATATATTCCTGAATAGCTGATGTAAGAACTGTTTTACTTCATATTTGCCTTATCCCAGATGATTTCTTTTGTATATTGAATCCAAACCGATTACACATTTGAAAAATGGCAAAAAGGAGGGAATATTCAAAAGGTGGGGTTGAGATGGGAAGTTGGTGTCCGAGTGGATCGAGGTCACGATAGCTCAAATGGTAGAGCAGCGGCGTATCTAGCCGAAGATCGTAGGCTCGAATCCCGCTCGTGCCATTAACTTTTTTCATCTCAACTAGAAACCTTAATTAATTGTTAAGAGTTAGGTAAGGTAGCATTAAGGTTAGGATCAGTGCTATGCTAGCTTAGGGTGAAGAGTGAAAAATAACGAAATTCACCTGGACTTGAGGATTCTAGACATATTAAGGTCACATGATATCCTCACAAGCTCAAATCTCTCTCTTATAGACATTTAACTACCAAAGCAGGCCTGCTACTGGAACAACAGAGCACCCTGTGATGAGAGTATAAGTACTGTTAGGATCAGTATAAAGCGTGGGTTTGGTGTTAGGATCAACATTAGTAAGTTTCCACGTCGTGATGTAGGAGATATATTATTCCTCAAAATCTCGACAAGGAACTGTGTTTTCATTCAAATTTTCCTCATCCCTGATCCTTTTTATATATAATTATAATATTACGGCTGATACAGAGCCCATTACGATAATCAGTATTAAGATACGAATACCATTACAGGTTAAGATAAAAGTGAGGTTAGGCTGGTAGTGTTAGCATGCAGGAAGTTGCATCATTTCTGCTTACCCCTGTGTTCATCTGTTCTTTATAAATTGAAATTTAACTACTGTTGAAAGGTAATAGTAAAAAGAAATTGTATTATACTATTAACATTTATTAAATAGTTTTGGATGTAGGTTACAACTAATATCTGTTTGCACCCAACATATTTATGCTTATAGTGCTTCTACAAATACATTATAGCCACTATAATTATAAATGTTTGTCGGCAACCTTAGTGGTAGAAATACAACACATTATATAAGAAATATTACAAAAATACTATAATTTATAATTATACATAACAATTGGAAAGACATACTTGGTAGGCCTTTAAGATTAGACAGCAGTTAATGCTTAATTACAGGATATATATAATTTTAAACATAAGAAGTGAAATAAAAAATAAAAAAAATTAAAGATTCCTTCAAGAAAAAACTTTTGATCCTTGAAAAAAATAACTATTGGAATAAGCAGCTTGCTCGAACTGATTATTAGTTTTCATATCTCGATGATTATAATACAAATTAACATCTTGCACAATGCGAAGATATTCAATTAAAATCAATAAATAGGAAGAAAAGTTGATCTTATAAGTAGGTACTACAATTTAAAAAAAAATTCATTCAAAGCTGTACATTTTAAAACAGATGTCAAATAACAATAGTCATAAAAATTAATTTTTTGTTGAATTCATGAGGAGCGGTCAAGAATGACATTCTTGACGGGTTCTCACAAATCCACAAATTATTACACAACCAGATACTAAAACAAACAAATTTTAAAAAAAGAAATGAATAAGTGCCATTGAAGTTTTCTTTGGCCTCATTTACAAATGCCAATTGATTCAACAATAAAACATATACATATTCACAATAACTAAATTTTACAAAAAAAATAAATATAGTTTCAAAACACTTTTTATACAATATCTATAACAGTCCAGCAAGTCAATTACTCAAAACACTGCCAGTTTAATTTATGAATTTACTTCATTCATAATTTGCATCCAGTAAGAACAGTATTATTATTTATTGCAAATGTCTGTAAAAATGACAAGGTATTTTTTTAAATATAAATCGAACAAAACGAAATCATCTTTAGTTCAATAGTCAATACATTCCCATGTAAGATAGTAAATAAAAATATATCTGCAAAATTTCTATTTCCTGAAACTATTAGTTACACCTGTCTTGTTGTTTATTTATTTTATACAAGTGAACCTTTTACAGACTATTCTAAACTACAACAGTCACAAAATCTATCTTATTTGCATGTCTTCTATTTATTAAACATAGGACACATTTCGCAAGAATGCATTCTTGAAAATACTTTTCTATAGATTAGTTAAATATTAAATTTTTGATTTGATACTAGGCTCAAAGTAAAAAAAAGGGAAAAAACAAAAAAGATAGACTAAAAATGGAATTACTAAAAAAATAATGTAGAAGACATACAAAAGATGGCAAGTTACCTTATGAGGTACAGGCACATTGAGATCGTTTACTCAATATTTGTTTTAGGCATTTAATAATAAAATAAATACATAAATAAATAAATAAATAGCAAATAAAATATATATTCAAATGGGAATACTTTGTAGAATTGTAATACTTAAAATTGTGAATGCACAAAAAAATGATATGGAATGTGCAATTAAGTACAATTATATTTACACTAAAAAATGTAATTTTAAGTACAAACACATTTTAAAAATAAATAGCATTTTTTACTAAATTTAATTAAACTGTATAAAATTTAAAAGAATTTAACTTTTTTTAACATATTGACCACGGTTCTATTCTATTAGTGCCACAGTGTCGACTTAGACATTGTACTTTTAAACAATTTACGTCGATATAGGCCCACAGTCAATGTGTTAACATTTAACAAAGAAACAATGTGAAACATGAAAGGTTCTCAAAATAAACTGTGATTTGTGATAGATTTTTTTTTCAAAGGACAGAGCCTTTTAATACACCAATTTATCATCTTCCTATACAACCTTTTGATATAGTTTATACATACTATGTATTCATATATGTACTTATATATACAGCTACTCAGTAGCTTGCACTCAATAAGACAAAAATATATTGATTGCAGTTTAAAATAATAAATGCAAAAATATTTTGCTTATTGTAACAAAATGCATACATTGTTAACAAATTTATTTTTATGTCTTATAATCACAAATCTATATCGAAATGTTTTTCTTCTTTAGACCAACCTTTTAACATTTAATAGATAAATTTCTATTAACGGGTGCAATCATCAATACAAAATTCTTGAGAAAAAATTTAATCCCTCACCTGACAATTTTTAAGTTATAAGTTATTAAGTTAACATAAAAAATATCAGTCAATAGTAATTTATTCCAATATAAACAATCATAAGCTTTCACATTCTTTTCTCTCACTCATTAAAAACATTCTTACAGCGATGTAACAATGTAATTTTTAAAATCCACCCCCAAATAAAAATAATACAAAAACATTTGCAAATTTATCAGCATTGTCATATTGCACAGGTGATTCTCTCTCTCTCTCTCTCTCGCTCAAACACACACACACAAAGTTAACAATTTCTTTAATTTGAAAATGTGTTTCACTTAAATCTTCCAAAATGAAAATCTCCGAATTAAAAAAAAATATTTAAAAAAAAAAATGGGTTCAAACAATTGCCGACAGATAAAATTTTTAAGGAAGGATGATTTACATACAAAATATATATATTTATTTTTTTCAGTGAGTTTGTTAGCCATTCAACATCTCAAGAAATAGTACGAAAGTTAAAGCTTTTAAGAAAGATGGATGAATGGCAGTTTAAAAAACTCGATACTCACTTTCGTGTCTTACATGTTTGTTGAGAGAAGGGTGCATACATTCAGGATTTTTTTAAAGTTTTTAAATAGAAATACAATATTAAAATTAACAAATGATTTTGCTTAAATTTCAAAAGAGCCAAAAATTATTGTTAGACAAATACATTGTTTTTATACAATTTTAATTATTATTGTCAAAAAATCATAGCAGAAGAACATATTAATTTTTTAATAAAAAATTTAGATTATGATTATATTTTACCATTATTCAATATACACAGCTTATTGTGATCAGGTTTTATTGCATTATAAGTACTTCATCACAACTTCTATTGCAAAGATTCAGTTTAACTTTAAACAATTTTCAGTACTTTAAAAATGTTTTTTTATTAAAAAAAAAAAAAAAAAAAAAAAAAATACAGACAAAAAAGCCTAGTTAAGTATATTAAGTCTGTGCAAAAACGAAATGTGTTTTTCTAAATGTATTGGGAAAAAAAAAAAATCAAAAGTGAATTGTGTCACATGTAAGTAATGAAAGGAAAAATACCAAAATGATAATAAAATTATTCATCTATAAAAGCCATAGAATTTGTCATAAAATATTACAATTTCAAAAATAGCAAATAATATAAAGGGAAGAAATAATTTATTTTAACTTTTGCAAATTGTAACCACTTCCTAATTGTAGCTAACATTCCTCTGGAAAATTACACTTCTTTTGATAAACTGTGAATCTGATGTGCATCCCTAGCACAGACAGATTTCAAAATAATTAATAATTTTTTTTTAAACAGATTGAATAGTAAAAATTTATATAGTACAATATTGCCAATTATATACTTCAATCCCTTTTTATTATTTAAGCAATAACAATTTTCAATAGCAGTGGTATATTTTAAAATTAGAAATAATTTTCAATCCAGATTTGTAACAGAAGGTTCTTCAACCCACAGTCATACGATTTCATATTTAGGCTTACATAAATATTAAACTGTTTTATCATGAAGTTTTCTATATTATTATATGAATACATTTAAAATATGTGTATGAATATATGTTATAAACACATATAAATACACAGATAATGATTCTTCATAGAAAAATTAATTTAATGTAATAGAATATAAACAGCAATAACAACCTACATAGAATTTTATGCTAAGAACACAAAAGACCCGCTCGATTATTACAGTAACCAATGTTTACTGTTCTATAAAAATATCTTCATCAAATTTCAAGTTTTCCGAATTCACAGATAATTTTAGTACATAATTATTACATAAATAAGTATCTCAAAAATTAACCATCATCTTGCAGAACACAATTGTAACCTTTCGAAAAATTCATTAATTGTCAATAAACAATTTTATTTTAAATCAATTATATATAAATAATTAAGCTGAATGATTTATCAAATCAATTTGTGAGCTATGGTAATTTCAGTTTTCATTGTTTACAATACCTTACATTATCAAGAAATACTGTCCGTTATTAAAAAAAAATGACTTCTTCCTCTGAATTTTGGGTAGGAACTGTTTCCTGTTTTGATTCAGGAGACCGTACTCGAAATTTGTCTGGGAGTTTTGGATAGGTGTTCGTCCGTCCTGCCTTTGCTCCTGATTTAGATTCTCCCTATAAAGTATGATAATACCAATGAATAAATGATAAATATGATTAAATGATATTTTAGAAATGTTGAAAATGTGGGGTTAATGAACATTTCTTTGTTCAGCAATTTTTAATAGCAGCAATAGTTTGTTAAATTTTTTATTTTTAGAATATTGTTGCTTGTAAATAAGTCCAGAGCGTTTGCCAATAATTTGATTTTTTTTTCTCTTTTTGAAGCAATATTTAGTCATTACGGTTTACAGACACTGAAAAGTGCTTTGCTAACTTAAAATGGAGAGAAAATAGTGAGTTTTTGTTATTTAATGGATTTTTTTATTACCCAAAAGGGAAAATTACAACTGACTGCTAGGAAAATTTCTGATGTATATCCGCTGCCCTGCTAAGAAGAAATATATCTCCAAATTTTTTTACTTTCATTTTTGTTTTTACCATTGCAGGTACGTTTCCTATCGAAAAACCTGAGAAAATCGATGTAAAACGGTCCAGATTAAATTAAAAAAAAATCACTTTTGTGTATGAGAATAAAACAAATTTACAATATCTTAATAGGATGTATTACCTCCTCTTGCTCTTATTACACTATAAAATTCTCAGCATGCTCACAAATAAGCTTTTAACCAATTCTTGAGGAATTTCATCCCAAACCACAACTAACATAACTTTCAGCTCACCTAAGGCTTTAGAAGGTGTTTTTATTATTTTATTAACGCCCAAAAGTACTCAATGGGGTTCAAATCAGGAATACGAGCTAGGCATCTTAAGGAAGAAAAGAGTTTTGTTGTTTTGTGCCACAACACACAATCGTGAATAAAGGCAATTTTAAAGGCCAATGCCCTTGTTGATGATTTACATTAGGGGAATTTTAAATCAAATTATAAATTAAGCGTTTTGCCTCACTATCGCCGACAAAAGCAAAATACCTTCCCTCAAATTATAATTATTAAATCATTTTTAAAGTAGTAAAACAAAAAATATGGCCAAAACACTGTCAAATTTAAAAAGAAATCAAAATTTCATAATGTGCCATTTGTTTTGTGAAGCAATTTATTTGGAATTTTTGTGGACTTCCGAAAAGCATTTACTCTGTGCCTCATAAAAAATTATGGAGAAAATTATATAGAATAAACATTAATGGAAAATAATAGCTATTATTAAAGCAATATATGACAACACTAAAAGATTTTGAATATTATGGCAATCACTCTAAATGGTATATTTCAGAAGGAGTCATGCAGGGGGCAATTTTAAGTCCCTTTATGTTTTTATTGCAGATATTGTAAAATATTTTACCGAAAATGGAGCTAGTGATGTTGAAATTGGANACACACACACACACACACACACACACACACACACACACACACACACACACACACACACGCACGCACGCACACTGGTTACAATTTATTTAGATTTTTTTTTAATTGTTGAACAAAGATGTGTATCTAACTAAAATCAAAAAATTGTTTTACTGCTTTTCCTACTGCTACTGTTTGCAGAACAAAATATGATGTAACCCACTAAAAATCCAGTAAATACTCATCATGTTAACTATAACAATTTTCCAAAGTACATCCATTTTATAGGCTAGAAGTTTTTTTTTTTTTAATAATTTAGAAGTAAAACAATTACCGGTATATTTTGCATCATAGCTGGGCTTGAGCCTGTGCGAGAATGTGTTGGTAATTGTGGTGGGCTACATGAACTCAATCTCTGATATCCAGTTGTTTTCTTACCCTCTCCGGCAGCTTCTCTTAACTTTAAGGGAAGCATTTGTTGGGGGGCGTTAGCTGTGTTTGGTGCAGAATTACCACTAAGTTTAGTAGCAAGCTTCAGAGGTAACTGTTGTTTAATTTGAACATTCGATGCAACCTAGAATTTTTTGTTAATATGTTATTTAATTTTTATGTGAACTAATATGACTTAATAGCTAAGTTTAGGTGCTACATAATTAAAAATATAATGATAAAGGAATAAATAATTTTAATTACATTTTTTTAATTACTGCTATGAGTGAGTAATCAATTATGTTTTGGCGGAGATAAGATTCAGATAGGTATTCTTAGTTATACATAATATAAGTTTAACACACAAAAAATTATATACATAATTTAATTTAATTTATTATTTTTTTGGGGGGAGGGGGGTTGAAAAAAACATTGATATATGTAAATTTTATTTTTTGTCAAGTTTTTCACGAGCCAAATAGTTTTGACCTAACTATCCAGGATGCATTATTATGACAATTCTTTCTCCTCCATTGCATCCTAAGCAGATCTATTGTGAAACCCCTATAGCTTATAGTCATACTTTGGATAGTGCGTTTTCCTTGTAAAACTAAGCACTTTCCTTGGTGCCGCTTCGTGGACCTCTTTTGGAGTGAAAAATGTCCTACCAAAGTGTCTGTACTGAAACCGGGTTCACGCTTCACTTTTACAAAGCATATGTGCAATGTCTCAGGTTCCTACTGACTGAGTCGGTATGTTTCTGCCTCTGCTTTGCCCATCTTCTTAAGATGATCGTTAAGAGGGCAGTGGCCAGTATAAAGGCCTATAATTTTCCTCAATTCCTGCCTGCTGAGAGAGAAGAGAGAAGAGAGAAGAGAGAGAGAGAGAGAGAGAGAGAGAGAGAGAGAGAGAGAGAGAGAGAGAGATTCCCTTCCATTTTGAGAGATTTAGCTCTTAGCTTGCTTCATACCTGATGCATTTGTCTGGTGTTTGAGTTTTTCTTTCTCAATCCATTTTTACAGTTACAACTTAAGCACACACTCCAGTACATTTAGTTGTGTTTCTGGTGGGTGAAAAGGCTACCCTCCCTTTTTTTGACTAGTTGGTTAGTTGGCTAGTTGGGTGGGAACCCACTTTAAGGTAATCTTTTTATGTTTTCCTAGAGCCATTAGGTAATTAGACAAGCCAATATGCATTTAGTGCCTTTACAGCTGCCCAGCAGTCTGATAGTATGTATATCTGTGCACCTTTCATATTTTTTATTAACTCCTGTACACAGAGTTGAATTGCATGGACTTCAGCATGGAAAATCGCTGAGGTTAGTCTAAGGGGCTTTGCTAAATAGTTTGGCCCTTTTACCTCTACACCTACTCCCTGTTTCATCTTTGTACCATATTAGGTCCCCTTCTTGAAACTTGGGACAACTTTTTGTCCAAAGTTCTCTATTATCTATGCCTGGATAACAGGAACTTGTAATGGGAATTTAATTATTTTTAATGGCAAGTTATTCATTAATGTACATTTGTTGATAGGTTTCTTGATGCTGAATTCAACTGTTTTTAATGTGGAGCAAATGCTCTCAAGTTATTCACAAAAAACTTTTTCCAAACACAGTAAAGTAATTCCTGTCATACAAGAGGGCAACACCCATTGGGTGTCGTTGACAAGAGGTCAAATCACTTACAAAACATTCTTCTTACTAAAATCAATTAAAATGCCATGGGCTCTGCTGGGATTCAAACCAAGAACCATATCAAATACAAGTGGGATGACCTAACCACTCAGCCACCGTGATCCCCCACTTTTGCCGAATGTTGTTTTTGGATAAATGAAATCTAATCCAACTTCTTCAACCAATTACCAATTTATCATTTTAATTGATAGTAATTTACCAGCTCATGGTACCGAAAGAAAATTTTCACAACAATTCCTCAAACAACATCTACAATGATGCCCTGGACGTAGCTCATCAAAGTGCAATTCAGCCTGGTGCAAATTTTGGTCCACTTTTCCCAACAACATAATTTCTGATTTTTCTTGTAATGTAGATGTAAGCCAGCCCTGTCTTAGTATAAGTCAGGAATAGTTGGTAAAACGTCTGGTCAGTCAACTTGAGAACTCAGTCGTCCAAGGACTTAGTCCACAGCAGACAAGCAGCCACACTTAGTCTGGGACTCAACTATGAATACATTGTCAGCAAGGACCTAGCAATTGCAATAAGTTGAATAGAATTGACTAACAAGGATCCAGGAAGATGCCAAAGGATGTGGAAGCTAATGTTAGCTATCATCGTTTGTGGTAAGTCCTCCTCCTAAGCTCATCCCCTGAGTTGGAGTTATGGCTGACGATTGTTTGACTTTCCATTTATTTTGTACAATACTGAGATGGGCCAGTGAAACATAAATGTTTACAAATATATCGCTCTGGTGGTATTTGCACAGTATGTCGAAAAACATATAAACTAAATTTTAGTGTGATGGTTTTTAAGATATGTGTTGACCAGATATGTATTAAAACAGTTCATTTTTTTTTTTTTTTTTTTTTTTTTTGAGGGGGGATTATTCAAAAGTCTCAAAGGTCAACAAATCACATTTTATTTACATTTTGTTCATCAAACATAAATTTCTTTAAGTTTGTATTCTTGGACTGAAATTTGCACCAGACTTAATCATGCTTTAGTATACTACCAGAGCACCATGTTCAACAATGTTATTTAAGGAAATTGTTCTGACATTTTTTTTGCACCACGAGCAAGTAATTTACTATCAATTATAATGATAAATAAATTTGTGATTAATTAAATAACTTTAGAACCATTGCTCCAAACTAAAAACCATTTGCTCTGTTGAATTCAGCATCAAAAAACTTTTTCAAAAAATGTACATTGATGATTATCTAACCATTGAAATAATTGTTTCTATCCCCTTATCCTAGAGCTAGATCGAAACTATTTGGCTCATGAGAAATTAGACAAAAAATAAAAATTTACATGTATTGGAGTTTTTCACAAAACCACCCCATTAAAAAATACATAGGGGGCAGAAGTTAAACTCACCCTGTATAAAAATAACAGAGAACAAAAGAAATACTTAATTAATATTAATATTTATTTAGTAAAACTCACTAGTGCAAATGAACTGACTCATGAAAACTCTTAAACTAATGAACTACAGATACTAATAACTAAGATTTTCTTCTCGTGTGATATAATTGCACAAAAAACTAACCTTTTGTTGATTAGTAGCACTAATTAAATTGAGTGGTAATGTTGTAGCTTTATTTGGAGGTAACTGTTTCCATTTTGCCATATCAGATTTACGTTTTGGTGGATCACTAGGAGGGGTGTGTATGATAGGAGGCGATAATTCTTCAGGAGACGAAGCTCCAACAATTGTAGGACTCATCATTATTCCCTGATTGCTAAGTGTTTCAAGTTTTCTGTACAATTGTTCTCGTTGTTGTGTGATGTCAGCTTGTTCAATTCTTATTTGCTCCTGAACAAGAAAATAAAAAGAAGAAATAAAATGAAATCTCACATTAAATGAAAATTAATAAAAGAAAAAAAAATAAACTGACCTGTAACCGTGATAGTTCTTCTTTCTTTTGTTCTAACTCTTTCAATTCAGCATCTTTTTCCCTTTGCCAGATTTCTTTTTCACTTTGCAGTTTATCCTGCAAATTCCTCAGCTCTTCAAGTTGCTGATTGTGTCGGTAAATAGGTCTTCCAGAGTCACCGACATTAGATTTTAATGTAGCTAATTCAGCCTCAAGGCTACAAATAACTCATTTTCAACATGGTTCAATAATTAAAATACATATAAATTTATAACTGTGAACGTGTTAATTTAACATAAAAAGATCTGTCTACCTGTCTATTGTAGTCATTTGATGTGAAATAATACAAGAAAGTGTGTACACATGGTGCGATAACTGAGTAGCAGCAACCTGATGGTCTTGGCCAGTTAATAAATGTGGAACTTCTAAATCATCATCTTCCATTAAATTTTTAAATAGAGTTTTTTCCTAAACAAAAGAGATTTTCTTTACATATTTATAAAAAGAAGAAAAAAAAAAGTAAAGTAATTCTTGTTCTACAAGAGGGCTTAAAGTCCAGCTAACCATTGGGTATTGTGACGGGCCAAAACCACTTTACAATAGCTTTTTTTTTTATAATTCTGTTTAAAATTGTATAAGATAAAGGTCAAAGTCATATAATTTATCATAATTTTATTTATTATTACTTAACAATTTATATTTTAATTAATATTTATTTAGAAATCGTTAGATGCCGTCTGGTGTGATGTAGGTTTCAGAAAAACATTTTCTTTATCGTGCCAACGTTTCGATCTTTATTGAGATCATCTTCAGGGCCTGGGATTAACAAACATTGTTTACATATTACAATTACATTTTGGATGTGGAAAAGTGAATAATAATATAAAACAATTCAAACACTTTTTTCCAAAATTCACACCAAAAACAAATAAATCTGACGGTGACCACAACCATTTACGCGTTGACATGGTGCTCATTACTGTAAGGTATCCTGGGGTTTGAATCCAGTGGCCCTGCATTTAAACCCGACATACAATTTTTTTTTTTTTTTTTTTAAATATTGCATCCCAAGGGTTCATATAACCTTGTAGTTGAAATACCATTTAAGATTAAATGCAATTGTTGATGATTTACATTGGGGGCATATTAAATCAAATTAAGAATTAAGTGGATTTGCCTGACAATCAGCAACAAAACTTTCCATTTAACTGTAATTATTAAATCATTTTTAAAGTAGTAAAATAAGAAATATGTCCAAAACATTGCCAAATTACAAAAGAAATCAAAATGTCAAAGTGTGTCAATAAATTGCAGATTGACTAATAAACTTACGACTGTGATGGTAGCTGGATTGCAGTTTCCTTTATGGACTGTATCAGGGGATCCCATAGGACTACTAGAGTTGGGTAGTTTCTTTTGGAGAGTAACTAAAAAAAAAGAAAAAAAGCAAATATTTCAAATATCTACCGATTCCAATACAATTTATGTAGCAATTGTAACTATACCTCGTGAATTAGGAGCTTGGTTGTCAAATCCTCCGAATGTTTCGGCGCGTTTAGGCAATGTTGGTGATATGTAAGCATCACTTTGATGTTCGCCAACTGAGCTTGCACTTCTAGATAAATTTGTTGCAGATGCATACAGTGATTTTGCAATCTGATTTACTTTCTGTTGAAACAATATTGTAAATAGAAAAAAAAATCTTATAGGTATATATAGTAATAGATATATAGTGTAGTATATATATAAAAGTAGATATATTGTCAGACCTTAACTGCTGTTAGAACATCTCTTCTGATTTTGTTATTGTCTAAAGGTTCAGTTACAAGAGCCATATAATTAGGCCTATCTGGCATGTTATCAACTCCAGCTGAAGCCAGCAGCTTCAGTTGTAAAGCCATTTTTTCCTCAAGTACTTGAGCTTGTTCTCGATCTTTTTGTTTAAGCAATTCTGAAAATATACATAATTATTTCATGAATCACAAAATGATTAAATTGTATCAAAAGTACACATAATTCACAACTTTCAAATTGAATATGTAACGTTGATTAATGTAATTAATTAAAATCTATCTATGAATGTTTTACATTCACTTGTTAGCTTACAGTTTATACGATGTTCATGCAGAAACTATCATAAATTAAAAATTAATTTACATAATCAGACATGCAGACACCAAAAAAAAACCCACACAATTACCTTTTATTTCACCAACTCCCAAGTCTTAATTGGAGAGCAAGAGAAAGAAAACTGTTGAAAATGGGATTATATTTCATCCACATGCAGTAAATTTTTTGTTATTATTATTATTATTTAATAAAAGAGATAGAGAACTTTGTAGTCTTTATAAATTTTATGTTATAACATTATAACAGTGGAGAAGTAATCCGTTAATTACATTCCTATCATAATACTATTTATTTTCCTCATTAGGCACGATATTACAAAGGCATGGGTGTTTTAAGGATTTGAGATGAAAGGTGTTGGCCTAGTAGGTTGGGATGAGGGTCTAGGATTTGAAGGACATATGGGATTTGGAATTTTATGCAGTTCGAAAGATTTTGGGCTGGAATGACCAGAGATTGGGACACGGCTGAAAACACAAGTTCTATTCCACATTGGTTGTTTTAAAGATATGTAGAAGTTTTGTAGGGAAAGGTTTGATCTGCTGTAGTCTTTTGAGTTTATATGTCGAGTGTGGGGTTCCAAGTCTTGTCAATGTAAAATCCTAAATAGCAGATATCAGTTGGTGGGAGAGGAAAAGAGATGTAAGTAGATCAGGGGAGAGGGATATGGCAAAGATGGAAAGTTTTCTCCTGGGATTTGGTTTTGTTGAATCTGATGGAACTTGGAAGAAATTTCTTAAACCATTCTTCCAAAAAAGGAGACATGGCCCAGGTGATTTCTGAAAGCCACCGGATCTGGGTTTTCCAAAATGAGGATGGAGAAAACTGTTGAAAATGGAGTTGTATTTTCATCCACATGCAGTAAAATTGGCAAAGATTAAAATTTACTAATATCTTTGAGTAGCTGAGACTATGGTAGTGATTAAAAGTTGACAGCCCTTTTAAAAATACTTTAAAAAACAAAAGCACAATTTTTATATAAATCCTGTTTCCAGGTAATCTATTATTGGCAAACAAATAATCAGAATTATATAATTTTATTAGCATATTTTTATGTTGGTGAAGTAAGCCAGTGTAAGAAATTAAAAATTTTTATAGAAACAAGTCCCAATTCTGACTGCACAAAGGAATTGTTTTTCTCATGAAGAAGTATGAAGAAAAAATAATATGGTTTTCAAGTAAAGTACTAAAGGAAAAATTTGTCAATGTTTATTTATGTACAAAAATATTAGAACTAGAAATAATACACTTACCAACTAGTTCTTTAGTTTGTTTCTGCTGCCCGTCAAATTGCCTTTGCCTTTCTTCAACATTTATAACATGACTGCAGTTGTCCTCATCATCTTCAGGGCAATTTTGTACTGCATCCCTATAAGAAATTCAGCAATATTATGTCTGTACACGTTCCTCATACACTCAAAGACAAAAAAGTCTGACACTTGTATTTATTTTATTTCCATAATAACTAGGTATAAAGATTAATAGTTGATTAAAAACATAAACACAACATTAATAACCTGTTGTTTACATTTAAAGTGTTACATGATATAAATAAAGGAAGTTACTACTATGAAATTAAAAATAAAAAAAGATAGAAATCTTGGCACAATGTATACCAGTAAAGCAGGCCAGAAGAGAAAATTACAAGAATATTAAACAAAAATAACAAATGATAACGTGAGGTCTCTGCTTGGAGGGAGAGGAGGTGATTATACAGGTTGGATTTAAAGGAGGAAAAGGAGGCAGCGTGATGAATAGAAAGGGGAAGGGAGTTCCAGAGTTTAGGGGCTCGGATCAGAAAGGATCTTTCGAAGGTATGGGTTGTATGTTGCGGAAAGATAAGGTCGACTGGGATGAGCGGGTGTTACGAGTGAGATGTGAGGAGTTGAATTGGAGGGATTGGATGATGTAAGGAGGACGACGTGGATGGACTGGAAAAGAAAGCAACCTAGGAAATACTGCGCACAGAAGGAGGGGGAATAGCCAGGAAAGTTGGGAATACAACCCAGACACCAGGGACCACCCTTGGGGTGCCAAACACGAATCTTACGCAACATACCTCCGAGAGACCACCGTATACCACACAGCTATAATCGAAGAAGAGAAGTATAAGATAAGTTACAAGGAGTTTGCAGGTGGAGAAAGGTAAGAGAAGCCAGGACCGACGAAACAGGCTGAGGGAGGCAATGCAATGGTGTGGGTAAAGTTCTATTAATAATATTTAATACCAGGCTCAGTAAACAAATGGTTAAATTGGGTGCAAAATGTTCCCATAAGCCAATCCACAGTTAAACTTTATTTACCTAATCGCCTTAATCCATATTTGCTTGTCTTTCGGTTTGTGAACTTTAAGTTCGAACATCTCAGGATCTGCAGGATTTGACGATATTAAGTAAATGCCTCGGGATTCTTGGCCAGCCTTTTCACGTACTAATAATTTTTGAAGAGAAACTACACCAGCCTGTTAATTAATCATAGGTTCATCAAAAAATTAATAACTGATAAATGCATTTTAAAGAATAATGACTCCACTGACCTTATTTTCAGGCGTAAAAAAAGAGTACTTATGGTTGTTTTCTAACAAGAAACATAGTACATCTGAAAAGACAATGACTAGTACAACCTGTACTTTACCACGTCCCTGCATCAACATTGCAACTCCTTCAAATCTGAAATGAAAATTTCTTAATATAATTGAAGCATCAATAAAAATTATTGGACATTGTTTAACTGCTGCAATTTCATCAATAAACAAATAATCAATAAATTTATATTATGATAATACAAAATTGGTACATAAATAATAGATAATTAAACAAATCTTATGTTAAATATTTACCTCAATTTTCTATTTGCAGACATAATATCTGATTTCTTGAATTTATGACCTCTATGAGTAGTAAAAGATTTGGCTTCGACTCGATTATAAATTTCTAGTTTACGGACTTCTTTCTCCTTTTCAGCAACTTGAGCATCAACCTCTACTAGGATTTCCTGGAAAAACATAAAAGAGTTGTTACAGACAAAAATATGCATTTGCATTTATACATAATGATATACATAATCGTCTCCTTTTTTTAAATAACCGAAATAATCCAAACGTAGCATTCCTCACCGTATTCCACAAAAAAATAAATAAATAAAAGTATTTATTACCAAACCATACATCCAATGAGTGGATGGAGTACAGTTAGGTGGTTCTGTGTAAATGTAAAAAACTGTAAATGTGTATGCTTTTAGCCATAAACTATCTAAATTGTCTAATAGCCCTATGAAAACACATCAAGGTTGCTTTAAAGAGGGTTCCGGCACATAAGGTATGGAAGGAATGAACAGGTTGATCAACTGTCTTTAAAAAAAATTAAAAAAAAAAAAAAAAAACAATTAGCACTGCATGTGCGTGTTCAAGCTGGAAAAATGGCTTAGGAAAGAAAAATTCCCTGGACAAAAGCAACAAGTCAGGTATGATGCAAGCTAAGAGATTTATAAATCTCTCAAAAAGGAAGGAGAAGGAGTACTTCTCTCACTCTCACACTCTTTCTCATTCTCTCCCCCCCTCTCTCTATCACCAGGCAAGATTTTAAGAAAATTATAGGTGCCACAGCTCTCTTAACAGGTTGACCGCTTACTATGCTTAGCCAGTTTGGTTGCTCACAGCGGAACTCATTTTCAGCTCAAATAGCTCTCTAATATTTAAAAATAATGCAAATGTGTGGTGATTAGGCACTCTCAACACGACACATAAGAATGGCACAATTACGCAGAAAACAAACACTCTGAGCCCTGAAGATGATCTCAATAAAGATCGAAATGTTGGCACGATAAAGAAAATGTTTTTCTGAAACCTACATCACACCAGACCGCATCTCACGATTTCTGAACAATAATGCAAATGATTTTTTTTTATTATGTTTGAAGTGATATAAATTACATAATGCAACACTTGTGTCCTCTGCAACTAAGTAAAGGAAGTAGGCAACCCACAAAAAGAGTAGACTCCCTACCACCAGAAAAGAAGTTGGTCCATGTTATACTGTTGACCTGATCCTGGTTTATTTTCCCAAAAACGCGCCGCTTGCATGGGGTTGGGGGCCAGGTGGTTGGTTTGACATCTGATACCTAATGTAACACTGTGGAGGTGTGGATGGGCAAGGGCACAGTACATCTGACAGCATAATCGTGAATCTTCAAAGCACATCCAAAACGGATTCCCCCACTGCCTGGTGGGGCCTGGGGAGGGAGCTTTGACCAGACAATTTGTTCAATTTATTTAAGTGTTTTGTTGGATAAACTTTCTATAATAATAGTAATAATGTTTATTTTGCACAAAAAAATGTATATATACAAAAAAAGTACATAAACATTTTATAGAAAGGTAAAAATCATCTGCCAGTACTTTCTACAGTAAATTAAGTAATCATACAAAATGGTTAAAATTAATTAAAATACCCAAACATGCACAGAAAAGCAGATTAAGTGGTTTTCATAGAATAAATAAAATTGAAAAACTTCCAGTTGAAAAAAATAGAAACGACTGTAGCCAGTGATACTTTTGCTCTTTCTGAGGCGCCCCTAGAAATTTCAAATGGAATTATGTAGTGGCTAAGTTGAGATAGTTTAAAAGTATAAGTGGAAGGATGCAGACGATGCGTCCATTGAACCCAGAAGAGGGGCCCATGTTGCATCGTGCCAGCTCTGTTAAAAGCAACCAGATATCAGCACATATGGATAAAAAAAATGCTGATATTTAGCCCAAAATTGATTTATTGAGGTAAAATTTACCATATAATGACACAGAACCTGAGAATTTGTTCAATTTAACTATGAAGTAGATTTATCAAGAGTTGGCTATTTTAACACTAAAAACAGTTTTCAATTAATTAATTTTTAGGTAAGGTATTGGTTGAGAGAAAGATTAATTAATTGAAAGATGTTAAATTGGTCCATGAAATCTAACAGAACTAAAAACAGTCTTCCCTCATCATAACAGTAAAATATGTGCATCTATAATAATAGTACATTCATAACAGAGTATGAACAGCAATAACAGGAAAATGAGATTTAAAAACAAAACCAATAATAATCAAGCTTATAGCTGCACAGCCATGGAACAAAACATTGCATCACAAATTTGTTATAAGAAATATTTATACAGTACATACAAATTTTCCAATTGTACTGTTTGTGAATGTTATGTTTAATATACATAAATTTTGGAAAAAATTAAATAATAACAATAAGTACTATTTTTTACCTTAATTAAAGACAGTGCTTTGACTAATCTGTCTTGTTCTTCTTTATTGTCTTTTGAAGTTTTAATCAATGGCTCAATTAACAAAGGATATTTTGTCAAACGTTGAGTAACAAATAAAATACATTCAGGAATTCCTTTTTTCTTAAGCAATGGATTTCCCTAAAATAAAATTATTGTTGTTATATTAACAGCCAATTAAATAAATAACAACAAAATACCTGACAATGTTTAACAAACTCGGCAAATCTTCCGTCTTGTTGCATAGACTCCTTATATATATCAATCGCATACCTATGGTTGGAACAAAATTCACCATAGACGGATTTCAAACGCTCGGCTGCAAGTCCACTGAATTGTTCTAATAAAATATCTCCTATATATTCAATTACGGGCGGTGATTCCTTTTGTCTGGCTCGCAGCTGCCGTAAAAATCCTAAATGGATTTCCGTTAAATCAGCTAGCCTTGGAAACATTCTTTCTACAGCTGCACCTAGTTGAAAATATTTCTGCAAACCCTCTACAAACACCTGAAAAAAATTAAATATTTGTAGGGGGCAAAAAATGTAATTTAAACTTCTCAGTTCGCTAATATTTGAAGATCACATTGTTAATTGTTTCTACTTACTTTTTGCATCACCCTCAATGTTAAGCAATGATGTTTTTCCGTCAAAATGAATTCATATAAATGTTCTTGGCGCTTAATTTCTTTCTCCTTTAACTTTTTAATGATCTGAAATAATTTAAGCTTACATAAAGGCAGTTTTGTTAATAATTTAATATTAAACATGAAATGTGGCTTTTTTAAATGAACTTGTTTATGGTATCTCTTCTATCTGTTAAAAACATTAAATTACATTGAAAAACATTCTGATATATATTTCAACAAATGAAACGACTTTTGGTCATTATTGATCTTTTTGGTCTGTCTATACTTGCTGGTTTGGCCATCTTCAGTGTGTGGCAAAATGCCAAAACGCATCTAACAGACCCAGCGAGGATAGGCAGACCTAAATTACAAATTGCATTACATTAATATAAACATTGATGTTTTTCTTTAAGAAATTTAATGTTAAATTAACAGTAACGATAAACATGTTACAAGATATGAAAAAATTATAAATCAGTTATACAATTATTTAAACTAATATTTTATTTCAGTAGCAATAGTCCAAGTGCTTATTAACAACAAAGTAAAGTAAATAAACACACTTCTTTGGTTGCTGTTGGAGTCCAAGAGTCGGGTTCTTCCTCTTGGAGTCCAAGGTAAGGGTCGGTTTCCAAGTCATTCACAGTTATCGGTGCTAAAAAATTGGAACATCAAAAATATATAGCAGACTGTTTAAGCAATAAAATTATGTAATATAACTTACGTTCATCCAGAAATTCATACTGTACCAATGGAACTTCTTCTGTATAGCTGCAAAATTTAAATAATTCAAATTAATACACTTTTGATGTAAAATAGAATTTAAAAAACTCTCTTATCTCATAATTTTCATCTTCATCTCTTGAAGAAGGAGAAAGAAAGAGTGAGAGAAGGGCAAGAGAAAATGTTAATAAATTCCTCGCTATGGCATAAATTTGCCAAATTGTCACAAATATTTACCAATTCAATACACCTTCTTACACTCAGCCAATAAAAAAATGCAATAAAGTTGGTTCATAATGGAAAGAAATATAAAAATTTTTAGTATTATAGTACATATTATATAATGTATTTTCTTTAAATCAAAACTTTATCAAAATACCAATCTAAGTTTTAAAGATTAGAATTTATTTCATTCGGATTGGATATTAATTAATCTATCTAGAGAATGAGTATGAGACACATTATGTTACCTGTGGCTTATACATCAAAATAATTATTTTAATTAATTAATTACCAATTTTGCTGTGATATTTTTATTAGGGATTAAATGCACAAAGTCATTTTCACTTTCATCTTAAGTTATACAAACATGATCAATTGAAAAACAATGATTTACCAGTGGTAAAGATTTTAGTTGTGCTATATGGGTGAAAATTAAACATCAACAAAAATGTTTAATTCAATATGATAAAATTATTCAAAAATATAAACATATTTTTATAAGGTTTACATTGTAGTCATTTTATTGTTTGAATAATAAATACTGATTACTTCTGTATCAGGTGATCTAGGCACAGAATAACAAAAACCTTAAAGTATTATAAATAATTTTTGGTGTACTGTTTCTCATTGGCACATATTAAGAATAACAAAACCACTCAAGGAACACTTTGTCTTTATCACGGCACTCTATCCTGAGCTGGTGAATCTTTTTGTCTAACCTATAACTCTGTTTATATTTTAAAAATAATTTCCAAAGTGTGACACATAATGCTTAGTTTAATTTATATAATACTAGTTTTATAACTTGGCGTTGCCCAGAGGGATAATAAAAAGTGCTGTTTCTCTTTTGTTATTGTAAAACCTGATGCTTATTATTTGCTGTGTGCCCATTTTATAGTCTATACACCCGCCCGGCACTACTAAAAACGAAGTGTACATTAAATTTTGGCCCGGAAAATACACTGTATAAAATCGCTCTTAACCAGTTTCATTTATAGTAATCCTGAAGGTTTTGAAAATGTGGACCAACTCCAAGTTGCTATACAAATACACGTGAAACAATAACTCAATAATAATATATATGTACACGTCAGCGTTGTGTGCTCGTCACGGATTATGTGGTCTTAGGCTCGCTTCCCACTGCAGACCCTGGAATCTCTAATCCCACATAACATCTTTTGTAACAATAATTTAACTTAAACCTACTTTGAAAACAAAACTTTTTTTTGGTTTATTACCTCCTACCCTGCCATAAAAAATAAATAAGGACGAGGGGTCTAACCACTTGTTTCATATTTTACTAAATTAAAATGTCATGGGCTATGCTAGGATTCGAACCCAGAACCACTAGCGTAGCAAATATAGTCGGTAGCCCTAACCACTCAGCCACCGCAGTCCGTTAAAAAACAAAACACACTAACCTAAAAATAAGTCCTATATATTTTTTAATTAATAATGAAAAATCAGGATATAAGATAAAGTATAATGACTGATGTTTAATGGTCGAATATTTTATAAACTGTTATTGGCATGTATAGGTTTTCAAAAGATTAATAACCAAGTAATTAATTATTTAGTGATTATGATTAATTTTTTGACTATAATATAAAAATTTATAATGCTGCATCAAATTGGGTAATTACATGCCACATATCTACATTAAAGTACTTAAATAATTATGATTAAGAGTAACTCTTTAGGAATAGTAAAATAAAACATGATCTAGTGAATAAGCAAGTTTAAATTGATGAATATTAAATTCATATATTTGTTTTTAGGATTTCACTAAAACAGGTAAAACAATGTATGCTAGACATTCAGTCAATTTTAAAAACAATCACAATAACTCATGTGTATGGAATATACACTTGTTCCGAATTACAAGACAGAATTTTCATAAAAGCCCTGTTACTGCCATTTTCTAAGGCTTGATGTACTTCAGTCCACTAAATTCCGCTTTACATATGTCAAGAAATACATTTGAAATGATTGGATAAATACAATTGAATGGGCCATTTCTACAGAAAAAGTGTTTATGTTTATTTTGAGTCTTTAATGCATTTTTCAGTATTTAAGTGTTGTGAGTGCAAACTAAAAAAACGGCAAGACAAAAAATTGATAGTAGCTAAAAATAGTAAATCAATTTAAATGGCATTAAATTATTGCAATTATTACAAACTACACTATCTAGAGCATATCGCAATTTGCTATTGCCAAAGTGCAACCATTTACAACATAAAGGAATTTAGCAAGGGTTAACCCCCATTTTGAGTACATTGCTGAATATGTGAGGTACATAAATATTATAAGTATCAAACATTTTTCACAATAAAAAAAGCATGAAAAAAATTCCATTCAGATTATTTCAAAAACAACAGAGTAACTCTAAAACCACTACAGATATAAAGAAAGAGCATGAAAAACATTTTACATCTTTTTATTAATGATAATTTGCGCCTAACCTCACATATGTTATGAAACACCCTTGTTTTGAACTACACTAAAATAATATACATTTACTTTACCTTACTGCATCGTGCTGTGTGGGATGATAATGATGGTCATCATCATTGTTCATTTGACTGCAAAAAAAAATATTTTGTACATGCATGAACACAAAAATTGTCACTTTTATATATGAATCATCATGCATTGCAAAACGCTTAAATAATAATAATAACAATAAGTGTGAATAAAATAGTGTCATTTACAATTAAGAATATTTTAGCTGAAAAAAGTTGTTCACCACAATAAAACATCACATTGCAGTATTTAACAGAACAACCATTTAACCAAAAATAAATAAATAAAATAAAAAATAAAATTGGTTAATTTAATTCCATAACCATTATTAGCTCCAGTTAATCTTTATGCTACAGAAATAACCAAATCACGCTATAAAGTTAACAAAAAGTATAAATTACATATTACATAATTGATAAAGTTGTTGAAAGAAGACAAATATTAAAGTATAGTTTAATGAACTCATTTATAAATTAAAATGGCACATCTTATCATTAAGATTAGTATGTTTTAAGGAGAAGAAAAGAAGTTATATTTGGAAGTTAATTAACAAGGGGTAGGCAAGAAAAGACATGCATTTAAAAAGTTTTATAGATTTTAATAAACCATTGGCCACCCTAAATAATAAACTATAAATAAGCAATAAAGTTATTTCTTAAAAATAAAAATAAAAAAATGCACAAGCCAAAAAACAAGAATAAAGTTCACTAAAAGAAAAAGTAGTTTTTAAAAAGTCAAAAATCTTTCATCAGATTTTATGTTGAACTTTATAGTCCCAACTATTTTTTTTATACAAATGTTTCATCAACTTCTTACGATACAATTTGATACCAGAAATCTGTACAGCAAACTAATATGAAAGATCAACTAATCATATTTCTCAGAGAATTTTAATGGGCATAAAACAACAGGATATTTTGTACGTTTCAATTTATAAGTTGCAAAGCTCATCAATCTTAAGCGCAACAATATTTTTAATCCTTGAAAGGTGAGAGAAAAATTGCTCTTTAAATGATTAAACCATTGCTAAAAGACAACTGAGAATTGAAGTGGTATTTAATGACAAATGTATGCAACCAATGTTTTTTTAATTTACTTATATATTTGTATAAGTTGTGTTAAGCATCTCATTATAAAAAGTATCTTAAAAAAATGTATAAATTGTAGGAAAGAATGGTGTTGGATTAGAAAGGATTTGGGGTTTTATAAATGTGTGTCAATCAACTACTAGTGGTTTTAGGACAAATGGGATCTAAAAGATTGGTACGAAGTAAGGAACTTGCACCAGGGTTCGAAGGATTTTGGGCTGGACTAACTGTATTCTTTGTAGGTTGTAGTATTGATATTTTGAACAATTTATGTTGTCTGTTAAATTTTATTCTTTAGGTCGGCACCACACTAGATGGAATGCAATGGAAGTTTGGATATTCAGTTCATAACATGACTCGGGTACGGTTGTTGATCAGGTACGGTAAATAAAACCATTTTTCATTTTGTGTATTTACAAGGCAATGGAGAAGCAGAAGAGAAAGACAGAACATTGGATACGACCATTGACTATGAAAAGGGTAGCACTTGGTCAATTCTACTGTCTGTTTGGGGAACTTCGACGCTATCCTGTAAAATTCTTCCAATACTATGGGTTGACTATAACTTGATTTAACGAGCATCTTTAAAATTCCACAGGCAGGGCCTGTTCTGAACTTCCACAATAAATTGGTCCGCGTCCATCCTAGATCAGCTTTCTTCCTGCCTGACTGCTTGCCTCTTCTGTTCTACTCTTGTCTGTCATCAGTGTGGCGCACCCCCTTTACATTGCACTGTTTTGATCAGTTTAGACGGAACCCAGTGGAACATTCTGTTGATGGACGATGGTGCACTAACGGAGCTCGACAGAGACATTATGACGGAAATTTCCATAACAGAATTTCCATTCGGTCTTTCGTTGGCCGTGTGTTTTGAATGTAAGCTTGCAGTAGAATGTATTGTAATGTGCAGTAGAAATTTCTGTCGCGGAAACTGTCGTCACATTCCATCTAGTGTGGCACCGGCCTTAGAGTCAAGTTAGAGGTTCCAAGTAAGTTTTTCGTGGAACACATTGATAGCTGGGATTTATTTGTTTAAAAAAAATATATTTTCTGAGAAATCACCAAATGCCATTCATCTTTCATAAAAGCATTTCTTAGCATGGTAAACTGTTAAACATTTCAAATAAACAAAATTTGTCAAAGAAAATATTTACTTACTTCAAAATTGACTAACTGTATGAAAAGAATTTCAAATGGTAGGTCAATAATAACAAATGTTTAAACTAAGACAATAACCACTTCAATAAGATCGTGATAAATGTATTAATTTTTCAATTGTCTTAAGCAAGCTTGATGAAAATAGAAGAAAGTAATATATGTACAATAAAATAAAGCAAGTGCAGATAATGATAAAATACATAATGCCAAAAGAAAAAGAGAGAGAGAGAAAGAGAGAGAGAGAGAAGAGAGAGAGAGAGAAGAGAGAGAGAGAGAAGAGAAGAAAAGAGAGAAGAGAAGAGAAGAGAGAAGAGAAAGAGAGAGAAGAGAAGAGAAAAGAGAGAGAGAGAAGATAAGAGAAAGTGAGAGAGAGAAGATAAGAGAAAGTGAGAGAGAAGAGAAGAGAAAGAGAGAGAAGAGAGAGAGAAAGAGAGAGAGAGAGAGAGAAAGAGAGAGAGAGAGAGAGAGAGAGAGAGAGTGAGAGAGAGAAGAGAAGAGAAAGTGAGAGAGTAGAGAAGAGAAAGAGAGAGAAGAGAAGAGAGAGAGATAAATTGATAGATAGATAGAGAGAAAGTGAGATAGACAGATAGTGAGAGTGAGAGAGGGACAGATAAATTGATAAATAGATAGAGAGAAAGTGAGATAGACAGATAGTGAGTGAGAGAGAGACAGATAAATTGATAAATAGATAGAGAGAAAGTGAGACAGATAGATAGATAGAGAGTGAGAGAGAGAGAGAGAGAGAGAAGCTTACTATACAATTTTATTCACCAGGCAAGCATGAACAATGACTGAAGGACAGCTCTGTAAATATGCAAACAAATGCAGTCTGGCTATGTTGAGAAAATTATAAGAATAGAAAATTGTCAGGAGTTAAATTGAGATATTTAAAAGGGAGGAAGTGTGCTTAGGACTTACTGAACTCCCAATTTTGTAGCTACCCTTCTCCAAGGTGAGTAACACAAGGTTGTCCTCCTAGTGAGTGCGTGATGTCAGAGCAACATATTAACAAGGGACATATGAAGCCAAGCACTGCATTCACATAAAAGCAGCCCTAAATCTATTGTTGGCACTAAAGTGCACAGCCCTCGTAAATTTTGCACAAAACAACATTCTTAACTTCGTTTAAGCTGCGTTAAATAATAAAAAGCTAATTTTTAAAAATTTGACATTTATTGTACTATATCTGATTTACTTGCAGAAATATGATATAATGCTTTAATGTGAAACTGCATAGCTTCAAAAAAGATATAACAATTAACAAATACAAAATTCTTCATAGTAAATAAGACGACCCAAATTGTAATTTAAAAAAAAAAAAAAATCCCAGCATGGCTGTTTTAAAAAATCTAACCTACCACATTACAATGAAAGTGTAGCAAATTAATAAGAAACAAAGCAAGTAAATGAAGTATTTGTAATTATTTTTACTTAGAAATTTAATAACTGAATTCATCTTGCTTAGTAGTGCAAAAATAAATGACAAACGTTAAAATATCTAACATCAACACACACACACACTCACACGCACGCACGCGCACACAGATTATTTACAGATTTAAAAATTAATGCAATTAAATCAAAACAAATTGTGTTCATTCAGTGAGATACTTAGAAATAAACAATACAAAAAATACACACAAATAAGAAAAATCTTTTTAAAAAATGTTTCATTTGTTTTTGTCTATAATAAAATTTAAAAAGGACAAAAGGTAAAATAATAAAATGTATATATGAATTTAAAAAAAGTTTCCATGTCTCTTTTTGTTTGAGCATGTCCCAAATTTTTGTTTTTAAATTGTTGTTTGTCGTTATAAACAACGCAAAGAACAGTAAATCTATCAAGTTCAAATACCCTGGGGTTGATTATTTTATTACCTATTGTTTTTGTCCATCTAGCTAACAAGGGAATGACCAGGTTGATGGGTCACGGATTTAAACCAAATTTTTTTAGGCTTACAGAAAGTTTGTTAAAATATGAAAAATAGCAGCACTTTTTTATTTATCTTACTTCCTCTTCTTTCAAATGGTCTGTCTGATGTTAAAAACCTTTTAGCCATTTTTGGCATAATTTATAGCTATTTCCATCAGATATTCTAAGAATGATGTCTCAAAAATTAGAAAAATTTCAGGGTTCAAAAAAACAATAAATTTAAATTTAAACAAAAATTTATATTTAGGGGTTTTAGTGTTTTTTTTTTTAGGAAAACGAAATTTTGTATTAGTTTCACAAAACAAAATAATAATAACAATGTGTAACCTAGCTTAGTTGAAAAATATTTGCATTATAGACATTTTTTGGTTATTGATAACTTTGAAAGTGATTACCATATGTTTATTCCAATCTACATAAAAAATGCTGTAAAATGATGTATTCACATAGTTGAATTTGAGCAAGTAGAAAAGGAAAAAAAAATTTTTTTAAAAACAGAAAATACTGGCAAAAGTAGGGCCTATTTACAAGAAATGGTAGTCTATATAAAATATAGACAAAGTTATTATCATACTACCAAAAAAAAAAAAATTATCCGTTCTTTCTGAGTTTTGTTTATTCAATTATTATATACTCTGAAGTACGTCACATTTTTAATTTTAACATGGTATGTTTTTGGGATGAATGCACTAATTATTTTTGCATGACCATTTTCACGTCATCGATTTCCCATTATCAGGGAGTGCACATGGGTTGGGTTAAGTTAGATTGAGAATGGTTAGGGCTATGATCAACGTACATAAGGTACATTAGGGTAGTGTTAGGTTTAGATTAGGCTAAGTATGCTGAGAATGGTAAGGTTAATTTTTTTTGTCTGTGTGTGTGTATCCATTGTGTAAGGGTTTCTTGAAGAAAACCAAGTTTTTCCAGCGACCGGTTTCAACTATATTCAAAAGTCATCTTCTGGCCTAGATTAACATTAAAAAACTTTTACATTAATTTTGAAATTTAAACAGTTTTCAAAAATTAATGTAAAAAAAATTTTTATGTATGTTTAGGCCAAAAGATGACTTATGAATAATGTCGAAACCGGTCGCCAGAAAAACAATGGTTATCTTACAAAAACCCTTACACAGTGGAGAGACAACACAAACAAAAAACAGAATAATTCCTTGACGCCATACCATTTTAAATCAGAAAAAATGGTAAGGTTAGGTACAGTTTGGATTAGGTAGAGTTAGGGTATAATTTGGATGAGGTTAGGTTAAGGTTGGGGAAATTTTAGATTAGGCTAGGTTTAAGGTTAGCAGCGATTTAGATTAAGATGGGCTGGGTTGGGCGACAATTTAGATTAGACTAGGTTAGGTTAGGAACAATTTAGAATGGATTAGGGTAGGATACAATTAAGTTAGGTTAGATGATAATTTATATTAAGTTCGGTTAGAATTAGGGGATAATGTAGGTTAAGTTAAGGTAGGGTCAGGGTACAATTTAGATTAGGTTAGGAATGATTTGGATTAGGGCAGATTAGAGTCTAAGGACAAGTTCGGTTAGGTAAGGGTGAAGGAAATGATTCAGAATGTTAAATTAGGTGTGGTTAGTGTTAGGGATGGGTTTGGTTACATATCCATGATTCAATGTTTTTCCATTATATATATATATATATATATATACATATAAATACTATTTTTTGTGCAAACGAATGTTGTAAATAAACAAAAGATTGGGGTAGGAATTAGCCTAATTCTATTCTATTCTTGTTTGAAGAAAAAAAAAGTAAAAAATTATGTATTCAATTCCAATATATAATAAAGTACGGTATGAAAACATGACTTTTGGTAAAGTAATTTTAAATCAAAATAGTAAGGCATAAAATAAATAAATACTAAATTAAAATATCTAAAATGAATCATTGTAAAATTGTATCAATTTCATGTTTATAATGAAAGTTTGAAAGATTTTATGATTATATTTTATTATGATATTATTATGAGGTATTAGATAAAATTGCCACAATATAAAATCTATGTAAAATTAGAAAATATTTGGTAGTATGATTGTTAATCTCAAATCCTACCTGTAATGTTTTGTCTTATGATAACTACATTAAGTTCAAACTGTCCCAATCATTTAAAAGTTATAATTCAATCAAATTTAAACCAAATAATGATTAATTATAGTCTTGTTAATTCGGTTTCATTGCAATATATACACGATGTTTACAACATAGTGATATGCAGTCTAATATGTTAAATGTTCAAACTGAAAAGTGATGTGTACCAAATGACTCAAATTACAAATATAATTCTCTATTAATTATACACGATTTTTTCTAAATGAAAAACTTGTGTCACAGGAGGAATTCGAACCCACGACCTCCAGCTAAATATGCCCAAGCTACAAAATTCTCCCTTCAACTTCCCATTTTAATCCAATTGTAAGCAAATCGCGCCTTCATATAGAAGCATATTTGTTAATAATTGTACTACAGAAGCGGGACTATGAATGATCCATCCATAGGTGCATGAGTGATCGAAGTCACAGTAGTAGCTCAAATGGTTGAAGCAGAGGCAGAAGGTCGTAGGTTTGAATCCTGCCTGTGACACAAATTTTTCATTTCGAAAAAATCATGTATAATTAATTGAGTATATGTATAATTAAGATTAACAAGGTAAAAATAATAAGCCATATAATTATTAAAGCATGCATATCATGTCAATAATAAAACATGCTTTGCATTAAAAAAAAAAAGTAATAAATAAATTTAGCTTTCACTAAAATTAACTTTAAAAAAATGATCAAATATTTTGAATACTTATATTTAAAAAAATATTGTTTGAAAAAATCCTTTTTTAAGTGCTGTATGACATGTACATGTACTGAATAAATCAAATAAACTTATAGATGTGCAGGTATAAAATAGTTTGTGTTTTATGGAGAACAGTGTATTTCAGACTCTATGAAATCATCTTGAGTTGTACACTTATGATTTTGTTGAATCTAAGGTCTCTAAAAACTTAGAATATTTAAACATGTTTAAGTTGATCACGGTTAATTATAGTTTTAATAATTGAAGTCAAAGTATTTAGTTTTTTCTCTACTGAGTCCTTATGTGGTCCAGTATAGTACGCACAATTATTATTTTTTAAAGGGAATCCGTAAAAGCAGTACTTAACAATTTGTATTTGTTTCTTGGATGTCAAACAAAATTAAACATCTTTACACTAAATTGGCATACCAAAAATTAATTTATGTGTGAGAGAACTGTTGGTTAAGTTTGATTCAGCAAGACACACTGGATGCAAAATCAATATATGTGTATGTACATAAAAAAACAATTACCAAAAAAGAAATTACTAATTAAAAGTATCAATGTAAATATGATTTTCTCTTATAATAGACGATTTGGAACATATATTAATTTTTTTCAACTCTCATTGTTCCATTCATAACAAAATTAACAAATAAAAAATGAAAAAAGAGAACAAATTTCCAGTTTATCCAAAATAGAAGCTTGTTACTCTTTCTTGGAGGGGCAAATGAAAAGATACACATCTACAATAGCTTGTTTACACCACCACCAGATTGTTTAAAGATGTTATACGAGGCTACGATTAAGACAAAGCAGAAGAGGGTTAATTCATGTTAAAACAATTTTAAGATCTTGTTCCAAAAAGCGAGGACACAAACGCAATTTTGACGTTGCAAATAAATCTGTATGAGATATAGATTTGAGCACAAATATTTGAGGTGGGTAAAGTTTTTTAAATTCAACTGTACTGACCTGCTAGGGGATCCAGACTGATTGCTACTCGATCGTTTTCCGGTTGATTTTCCCAAAGAAGCTGTTGTTTTAGCCATGAGCTGAAATTCCACACTATATTTTAGAACAACTTTCTAATTATAAAACAATAAGCCGCACAGCCTGTGTACAAAATCTATACATTTAAATATGTAAATGTTTTCATTTTTAAATAGAAAACTCGAACTTAACCCTTAAATGTAAATAATAATTAAATAGAGACAAAATGGTTAGTGATGAAAATATGTCTATATATGTTATAAGACAAGGTTACTCCTTACTTACCTTACTCCCTTTTCCTTTACAATCAGCAAGACTATCTTTACATGAATTTTGATGTACAGTAATGGTACAACCTAAAATTTACAATATAAGTAAAACGGAATGGAATTAAAGCATGTTCTTATAATTCTAAAATCTTACTTTCACAATATACAGATGGCTTATTGGTCAGGATTTTTGAACAGAAATCACACATTTGAGAGTTCCCATATGATACTGATACCCACTGGTGTGTAGTCTTTTTTACTTTGTCCTTTAATAAAATAAATAATACGGAATGAGGAATTTGCCTTATAATAATTATTATAAAATGTACCTTCTTTTTGCGAAAAAAAAGACTTCCTCGTTTCCTTCTTTTTTCAGAATGGTCATCATAAGCAGCACTGCAAAAGAAAACAAAAAATCCTTCAAAATATTAGAAATAAACTTAGGTTTATTTATAATCACAGTAAAAGATTCAATGAATTTTCTGCAACTGTTTTATTTAAGCAAGTAATAAAACCCCTAATACTTTAAATTTTCTTCTATTTTCATAACCAAAAAGTATAAGAAACATGGAACAACAGATTTTAATATTTCAGAACTCCACAAACCAAAAATATACTTAAAACAATAGGCACAAAAGAGATAACATGTAATTAAAATCTCAATTGATACAACGGTATAACTATTTTAGCTGAACTTACATTCATCAGTTTTTTAGGCTGTTATAATGATGAAAATGAGAGTGAACCCTCCACTATTCCATGTGTTCCAAATGTCCAAAGTGAACTTAAACGATTAATGAATTTTCAATGGTTATGCATAGTCCTCGCATCAGTGGGTGGTGTTGACCGAGAGGCTCTTGCATGTCAAGGCCAAAGCCTCTGCAGGTGCCCCTTATGTAAAGAAAGGTCGCTCGATGTGTCCCTCATAATGGAAGTTTTTCATGCCTTGGCTCCTTATAGAGTGTGTAGGCATGCCACCTTCATTTAAGAATGGGTTTAGGGCCCCCTGTACTGCTTTTTGGAGGATGTGGGATTTTTGTACTGTATACAGATATGTTTTATGTCTTTTGTTTGAGTGCATGTATTTATTAATGTGATTAAGTTGATGGTGAAATATAGACAACTATCGCCCCTTCAGCAGGGTGTACATTTAAGGTCAATGCCAGAATATTTATAACAGTACCCCATCTACCCGAATTTAGACAAGTTATTAATATTGAGTGTAGGTAGATAGAGGAATATTGAGTACTCCTCTGACTAGTCAGAATGAGTGCAATGAAAAGTGTGAGTGTATTTATTTATGTGACTGTAATATAGATAGTAGTTTTAGCCTTGATAGTAGTAGTGGTAGTGGTTGATTATATTTTGCATGCATTGGGAGCTGAAATGACCTAGCTATTGAGAGCCCCAATTGGCGCCTAACTCCCTTGGTTAGGAAGCAATTATCTCCTGGGCATCAGGCAAACCTGGTAAGGTAGGTGAATTCCCCTGAGGCATAGACCCTAGGGTAAGCACATCAAGTAGTGACAATCCTTCAGGGTGAAAGTCTATAGTCCTCAGAAGTATTTTACAAAATACTAAGTGGAAAAAATTTCAGTTTATTTCTTCTAGAAGCTAAATAGTATAAATCCATTTCTTTTTTCTCACTGTTTCAAGAATTGCTTACAGGTAAAACAAGTTTGCTTTATCCTTGAATAATACATAAGAGTTTCATTTAAAGTCATAAAATTTTAAAATGACTATTGTCCAAGAGTTCTAGTTTAAATAGACTTGCATTTAATTGTTAGGCATGTTTCTTATTACTATATTTCAAGAGTACATACATATACGTTTATTTATCACAATGTTGCAAGAATGAAAATCATAAAATAAAATAAAACTAAATTTACCCTTGTACATATCCTACATTCAATACCTTTCCTTGAAGAAAATATCTAATTGTGACTGTTACAAACAAAACTAAACATACAGATTAAGAGCTAAAAAAATTCTGAAATACAAGAACATTTGTATGTAAAAAAATTAATGAATTATACATGCAGCATACAATAATTCAGCAAATATTTACAGAATTTCTGCATTAATTGAATACATCTTACATAAAAGAAAAGAAATGGTGATATTTAGTTGGGTTATTCCTTATAATAATAATAAATAAATAAATAAAATAACTAGAAAAACAAGCTGTGCACATTACTCACTGTGTAAAATAATCTGAGACTGCTAAATCCTTTTCTGAGTCGAGAATAGCCGCCAAGTCTTCTTCATCACTCTCGGTACCAAACCCTCGCAGTTGACACCCACTGTATGCATACAATATGAGCTAACACACAAAGCCATGCCCTACAAAGTGCTTCATGCGCAACAAAACTACTGAAAGTCTTTGTTGAATTGTTTTAATTGATAGGTGATTTGTACGGAATAACCCAGAAAATTATAATTTATAACAGTGCATCATAAAAGTTAAGTGCTAAAAATGAAAAATTGTTTTTTACAAAAAAAAAGTTGGCGCGCTTACAATCTATGTTTTCACTATACTATTATCAATCTTGTTTATTAACTGAACATTTATAAAAAGCAAGGTTAGGTTGTTGCACATGATTAAACTGGAAAAGCACTTCACACATAAAATATGTATTAGGGCACTCAAAACATTACTCAACATTGTATTGGGTTGTCCGGAAAATAATGCAGGATTTTGGTATTAAACAAAAAAAAAGAAACTAGTTACTTTAAAGCAATGTTCTTTAATCANAGTAATCCTGTAAACGTAAACAGAATATTTTATATAGATTTTTTTAAATGAAAACTTAAAATCCTGCATTATTTTCCGGACAACCCGATATATGCTTTATCTAGAAGCAAGTACAAATGACACTATAATATTTATTCTAGTTTACTTGATAAAACATTTATGTGAATAATTGCATATGATTAAAATTAAACATATTTTAAAAACTTTGGATGCAATTCTAATTCTAATAACCATATTCTGACTTCGGTATTAGACTAAACTGGTTAATTAATAGGTTCAGTATTTTTTATTATTAATGAAGCTACTAAAATAGTCTTACTTGTGACAGAAAAACCATTTGCCTACCTTAATTAAATAATAATAGTTGATACCTAAAGTATAGACACTATAGCAAGCAACATAAAACAGTTTTCAAAAAGACTATAATAATGGATATATTATAGGTAATTATGGTATTATATGGGTACATCCATATAATAAAATATTTTTAATTTAGAGTCTAGTGATCAAATTTCAAACTAAAATACTACACCTTTCAATTACACCTAGCAACCAATAAAATACATAATATGTATCATTTGCCAATTACAACTACAGATAAATTAACTATTTTACCAATTCAACCTCAATTATTGAGGAAATTAAATTGGGGTTGTCATTTCAACTCTAACAAGGAAATTCTATGGACTTGGGATCACAGATGTCAATGAAACTTTTTTGGCAATACTAGGTTGAAAACTACTAGACATGAATCCAACGTTCGTTCTTGCCAATGAGCTGTAGGATCTGAGAAAAAATTTGTGAATTTTTGTGAAAATATCATTAAAAAAAACTGGCAAGTAATTGTAAACATCTTCACATATTGTAAGAATTATTTCCGTTGTCTGCAGGCTAACAGACACACTGAAGATAGCATCTGACAGACCAATCCGGAAAACAGGAAGACCGAAATGATCAGTCATGACCTCANTATATATCATCTACTTGTTAGAGATAGTCGTATTTTCTGGTAGCTTGTAATGAAAGATATATAATCAAAACTCAAGAATATTTCAACATGCACTAAGAAAAATATAGAGCAGTTAAAATTTCAAAATGCCAGGCATGCAAAAATTTGCTAGTAATATGAAAATAGAACTTCTAATATTAAAGCCAATTTAATAAAATTAAGAAGTTCTTTTAAGCTCAAATAAATAAAACTATAGCGTTCTCAAAAACTAAAAAAAATGAAAAATACTATACGACTGCAATTACTTTTGACACTCTAAAAGTACTACCTTAACATATATAGAGAGAGGAAGTAAGAGATATTTATAGAGACAAATGAATCCAGTCTAAGAATAATTATTTTCTAAACGCAGGAATTCATTTGTCTTCATTATTTTATGCAACTTAATTATTTCAAGTATTTCTCTTTCTAATTTTTCCATAATTATAATGATGTTTCTATAAGTATTATCATATAGTATATAACTGGTTCGGTTGACAACTGTTTTGAAAGGTAATATTTACAAAGGCTAATTTGTTATTCATCAGCATACTCATTTTTTGGAAACACTCATTATTTTGTCAAGTGACAATGATTTGTGCAGGAGCCTTGGTATAGAATAATCCCATTAACGCAATGAACATGAATATAATTAGACAAACAAAACACTTAGCTTTTTATCGGAATTATTTACAACAAAGCGCAATGTATTTTGTTTTTTGTTTGCTTCCATTTTAAAAATAAATTCTAAATACTACCCAATGCTTTATTAATTAAAATAATATTATTTTGAGTGAAAGAATACTAATTGCCATGATTTATTTTTTAAATCAATGCAGCAGTGAACTACATAAAGTAGGGAGAAAAGAAAGTCAAGTAAGACATTGCATATTGTTGCAAAGCTGACAGTGAAAGAATCTGAATAAGACAGGCAAGAAAATAAGAGTGGTAATATAAGATGGCTCACACTGGTAATGTTGATGTTGAAGATTCTACAATCATGGTAGGTTCTGTACTTGCAAGCTCTCGGACAGCTATTATGGATGGTGTTGAAACTGATTTCTGGAGTGGAGAATTCAACCGAGCATTCAATAATCTTGTTTCAGCTTCTCGTTTTGACACTACCTTTTTAAAATCTCCCTGAAAAGTTTTTACATTTCAGACTGTTACCAAAATAAAATCAACAAACCATCGATTAAAACAACTGTTTTTCCACCTGTAATTCAGCTTCATTCAGAGAATGGGTAGATGAATTAGCATTAGTGCGAGCTTGTCTAACACGTGATTTTGCTTCATCTGTTCCGAGAAGATTTGCTGTGCTTTCACAAAATGGATCATCCATATCCGATTCCATACTGCTCAGGCTTATACTGCATAAATCATTCCCACTTTAAAGAATATATTGCGATATTTAAACAAATAAATGACACCGTAATATAATCCTACAAATATTTCTTACCTTCTTTGTCGAGAATTTTTACAGGGTTCCTTGCCATGCGACAGATCTTCAATTGCCGCCCAACTTTTTCTTCGAGAAATTTCAGTTTCATTCTCACCTGCTGCTTTACGTCTGTACTCCCACTCACCTGAACCACCTTAAAAAATATGTAACTTACTCTATCTATCACTACCATTACAATATTACTTTTAAAAGGGGATACAATAAAAATAACTATTAAACCAGCTCTGTTGATGAATGCACAAAATTTAATAAATAATAACACCTTGTTGTAGTCATCCAATCCGGGGAGGATTCATTAAGCCTTATGCACTGACTGTTGTGGACTCTAAAAGACAGATACTCAGTGGATCCTCTCGTAAAAATGGTAGGAGTTATGTGCAAACTCAGAACGTCAGGTTGGAGGGCAATAAACGTGAGGATGAGGCGGCGAAAGCCATGAAGGGCCCACCCTCCAAGACCTATCGTGATCTGACCTGCTCACACTAAACGAGCAATAAAGAATATGCTAAAGAAAATTTAGCAGTGTCAGTGGACAGGGACTCATCAAAAGAGCTCTTGCGTGTCTTTAAACAGCAGAATAAAACCAGCATAACCCAAAGAAGTATCAGCCATGCACAGTTGAACACAGGTATACCTTTGGACCAAAGTGGCAGAAAAGATTGCTCAATGTGTCCCACTTAATTGTAGGGTGTCATGCCTTGGTCCATATAGAGAATATGTAGCAATGCCACCCAACATTGTGTTTGGGTATGGCAGAAAATCTTTGGGTTCCTCAAATTTTGGATGGGACAGGTGTGTTCCAGGTCACCAACAGGTCTCCTTTTTTTAAAAAAGATAGTTCATATAGCATATAGTAAGTACTTACTGTGAGTAGGAACTACCTTTTTTAAAAAGGATTGAACACCGCACTCACTCCATCTTCATCATTTCTATTTTTTTTTTTTTTTTTTTTTTTTTTAAACTACAGTTTGGTGACAGGTGTGTGTAGTACAAGTGCAATGGTAGAATATCTAGTCCCCATCAACCATCAAACTAGTAAGTGCTGTTATCAATAGACCCTGGAGGTTAGACCCCAAACCACCTAAACAGCAGAGTGGGTGATTCTCATGGCCAAACCATAGGTTCGATTATATATGTATGTGTAGAGTTGACTTTATATAAACCAATCAACCATAATTTATTCCATATCTTGGTTCCTTTACTTTTTATTTATAAATTTTTTAATAAGGTTCATATCAATCCCCAATGTTCCAGTATTTTTCAATTGAACAAGCCCGTTTAGTTTGTAAGTACAAATGAGCTGCTTAGATTTGAACCATCGTATTTAATTGTGTCACTGTTGCAGCCCCTGATGACACCCCCCCCACTTATTATCTTTATAATACATATAACATCTACCATATGATTTTCAATCTGTTTTTTATCCGTCACTATCAGGAAATATAGATTCTTCTACATAATAATAAAAGTGTGTTGTGTTCCCTTATGTATCTATTTAGCTATTTGTATAATATAAATGTTATGAATAATTAATTCTGAATTGATTATTTGTACATTCAATTATTCCTGTCAACATGATAGGGTCATCTACAAGGGGCTGGGTTACCTAAATTTGTATTGCTTAATAAATAAACATGAAGGGTTTGTGTGTGTGTGTGTGTGTGTGTGTGTGTGTGTGTGTGTGTGTGTGTGTGTGTGTGTGTATATATATATATATATATGACTTAATGAAACATTAAATTAACACAAGACAATGTCAACAAAAAAACGGAATGACTTACGTTTGTGATAAATGGAACGGGAAAGTGCAGGTGTGGCTAACGTGAGCGTCTGAGATGGTGTGGAGTTGACACTCGACAAAAGATCCGGGTCAGATCCAGCATCGTTCAACGACGGGCATGAAGCACTGAGGCGACTCGCTTCCTGTAAAAAGTTAATTTATTTGATCATTTTGTAACATAAATATAACTAACATGCAACTCACTTGATTAGTTGTTGGTTGAACTGAGAGATCTCGCATTTGTTGAACACTTTCATGGATGTATTGCAATTGTTGCAAGTTGTCCTCTATTTAACAAAATTTGAAATAAAAATGTAGATATGAATCAATCAGAATTGTTATTAAATTTTTTTACATATTTACATTGGGTGGGGGGGCACATAATCAACATTATTTTCCCAGTTCACTCCACTAATTTAACTTCACTGCCTACTCCTCAAATGGAGGTCACAGAGCCACTTCCTCTTGAGTTGCCTTATGGATTGTAATGTATGTCCAAATCGGTTGTAGTAGCTTATTGTAGACTGTAATTTTGTTTTTTGTCGATAGCTTAGATTGCTGTTCTATAAGTTTATAGAGTAGACCATAACATCTTGTCTTGTCATTTCAGTTGTGTATTCTGTTTCTATGTTAGGCATAAGTCTAAGTGGAGCCCAAGGTAACGATGCAGTCGGATTTGGGGATAGGAACATTGTTGTAGTGTATTGTGAGGAGATTTGCTTTGTAGTGTAAATGTGACATGGTCACAACATTTGCTGCCATTTAATGTTCTATCATTTATACCAATCTGCTATGCATGTGATATTTCTCTGTAGATTTTCCAAAGCAACTGCAGGATCGAGGTCAGAGGATAGTTCAGCTATGTCATCAGCAATGGAAGGAGAGTGTATGTGTAGTGGGAGCATCTGCAGTATAAAGGATATAGAGGATTGGTTCAGCACACTGCCCTTCGCTATTCCTGCATCCAGAGAGCAGTATTTCTGATATTTGTCGGACATGAAAGAACTGCTCAAAGAAGTAGAGGGAGTATTTGGAAGGTCACGCTTTAATTTGTACAGGAGACCCGCTGCCACTCGCGGTCAAACACTTGTACTACATCAAGAATGGCTCCCATATAATCCTTGCATTCAAGCAATGAGGATTTGTGCTATACAAAACACTAGCTGTATGATGGAATGGTGGGAGCGAAACCCAAACTGATGTTCTGGGAGATGGTTAGAGGAGATTAATTTTTGCACAGTCCTTTCAAATACTATGAACATAATGGGATGGTTGGATTTGGGTGGATTGGATTTGACCAATATGCTAGACCATAAGGCCAAAAAAAACAAAAAAAAACAATGGGAAATAAACCAACTAGATATGTTTTTGAACTGGTTTACCAAGTTTTAGGAAAGGTATGATATTCCAAAATGGGTAGTGCAGAATTGTAGAGGTATGTGAGGAATACAAGAGCTTTTTGTGGGAGTGAGAGAGCTGAGATAATTTTTTTATTTATAAAGGAAGTATATGACACATCTTTATTAGTTACAGAATCAAGAAAAAGTTTTACAATCACGTCTTTTTTAACATAAGATGTGTGAGACTAGTTTGGATCACATTTTTAAGTGGTCATCATATAAGCTGCTGGTTACATCAAAATGTTAATAAACGAATTTAATTTATTTCAAAGCAGTAAAGTCGTCATTACACGGCAGAAGTGGATTCCGACCTCCGAGATCGCAGAATTTAAATTTAAAAATTTAAATTTTTCAAAAATTATAAACAGAACTATATAAAATGTGCTAATCATTCTGTAACGCCTACTGGTCTGTCTTTCGTATGCGTAATGGCGCTATTAAACTAGTAAAACGTTCAACTAAATTTTTTTTTTAATGTAAACAATATAAAGCATAGAGAAAAATTATGGTCTGCTAGAAGCAGCTATTTAAACATAAATTTGTTATAAAGTAAAAAAGATCTATCACTAGAATAAATTAAAGCTAAAACAACTTAAAATATCCTGCTTACCTAAAATAGGATAGTGCTTTCCTGCTGGAGAGTGAGGTGTGACGCTGATGGTCGGGACAAGAGGAGAGGGGCCAATGAGTTCTTGTTTGTCACTCATTTCTTCACTACCTAGGTAATCTGTTATCAAATCTTCTTCACTGCATTCACTTTCCTCACACCAGTCATCTTTACAAAACAAAAACATATACATTTATAATCGAAAAAGGGAGGGCATAATATATAAGAGTTTGAACTCTCTTTTTTTTCGGTCCACGTGCCGTCAGACAATGTAGAAAAGACATAGAAATATCAGAGTGAGTAATAAACCCGGTATCGAGTACGAGATTGTGACTCTCAAGAGAAAAAAAACCTTCACTTTATACCAGTTCTGAACACAATAAGCAAAATTCAATGTACATATAAGATCAGACAGCAATTCTCAGTACCTATATCAAGAAGTAAACAATTTTTTTTATTTTACTGAAAAAAAATAATATGGAAAACATTTTCCACGTAAGAACCTGGATAGACAAAAAGATTAAGGTTGTCAAAAAAGTGACATTGGGAAAAACTTCATACATAAAAAATAATACTATAATATATCTTGTAGTTTCTTTTTTATGTAGAAAATATACAACACGTAGTTTTGAAAAATGTATATATTTCGAAGCAGCCCTGCCTCCTTCTTTAGCTATAAGGTAATAGCTCCAAGTATTACATAATATATTTATCAAGCTATAAGGATTTCAATTTCAAATTAATCAACTTGTACTAACTCATTAGATGAACAATTTTAAAGGAATCGTCATGCTTAGAAAATAAACGGGTTATATCAATTTCAAGTTAAGAGGTGTTAGGCTAATTTTTGAAACCACTACCGACTCGGCTAGTAAACGTAAGCAAAATTCAATATACAGAAGATTTTTCAGAATATCAAGAAGCAAACTTTTTTCAAAAACATTACTTAAAAAGAATGATTCTCTATTTGAAAAGCATTTCCACAAAAAAAGTCTGGTTAGATAAGATTAGGATTTACTTTATCGTATAGTAAGGATACTGTCGGTCATAAGGGATAAGGGTCATTAAAGAAAACCTAATATATAAAAAATTATCACAATATGTGGAAATTATTATTATTATTATATATGAGATTCGGATAATAAATTGAACAAGCTTTAAGGATTTAAATTTCCAAGTAATCAAATTGTCATACTTAGAACATTGATGGGTTATATCTATTTCATCAAAGGAACTAGGCAGGAAGGGTTTCTGGGAACGTGTTAGCTCAATTTTTGTAGCCTCCACCGTATCTGGCTAATTTTTAACTAATAATTTATGAATTATTTTATACAAAAAGTTGTTATTTAATTTTGTGTTGGAATAAGTTAAACGAATGAATAAGTAGATAGAATTACTTGTAATTTTTGAGTTAGAAATGGGCCAAGAAAAAACCTAGGAGGAAGAACGACTCGTAAAACGAATCTCGCTGTTTAACCAGTGGGAAAAAAATACAAACTACTAACCCTTTTTACAAGTATATCCATGTCGGCTGAACGCTCACAAAGCCAATTCCTTTTAAATTCAACATCGTCGGTTGAGCCGCGGTTAAATTATCACAACATGAAATCAGTCGGCACGCAGCAAGACTTAAAAGTCAGAGCTAAGTATAATGAAACTCAAAATGTATGTGTGTTTGTGTGTGTGTGTGTGTGTCGTGTATGTACGTGTTAATGAAAGGTGTATGAGTGCTTGTGTGGGTGGGTGTTGTGCGTGTGTGCAAGCCCTCCTGTTGCACTGCTCTCCTTTACCCTACCCTGCATATATACGATCGATCAACTTACGGCACTTGCGCTCTAACGACGTTATTTCTATATAATTTACCCGCCGCCCCCTCGATGTCCTATTAAACATTCATTTTAAGAAAGAAAATTCATCTAATTTAAATTCCTTGAAACGAAATGTTTTAATTTGCATTTACCTCTATTTTCCAGTGTGATTTTGACATGTAATATTGAATGAAAAAAAAACCTGTTATTTTATTTAACCACTAACAAACAGCCATACTTAGCTATGTTCAAGTATATTTCATTTCTATTTATTTCAAAAAGTAATCAATTTAAAATCAAGTAGTTCTGCCATACAAGCCCTAAATAAAGTGAACTAAAAATATCCACCAATTGAAACAGAAGTCTGTTCAACTTTGATCGGAGATGCATAATCACGTTCGTGAACACAAGGGCTTAATAATTAATTTCATCCAAGATTCAGACTAAAGCTGTATATACACACTATCTGAATATAGAAAATTGTTTGACGGAACCTTTGAATCATGGTCACACTGGAGACGAGTTCCTCGTATGGCTTCTTGCCCTAGAGTTACCATCCCTAAGAGAACTGGGTAAGGTAAAGGAATTTTGAATTGAAAACAAAATATAAATGAGATTTTGTTCATATTAATGTAATAGATATAAATATATCTTAATTATAATACGAGAGATGCTAGCTCATTACATCAAGGGGCAGTTTATGGTCTAAACCTGATTTCTCTGATAGAAAAGGATTTATTTTTGTATAAAAGTGAAGTTGTATAAAAGAGATATGATACAATAGTTTGTGTTTCGTTTGCGAATGTTATTTAGGACGGGAAATTATTATCATCAATAAAATAAGGAAAACATTCTCTTGCCAATGACTCTTGAAAAATTTCATCTAGAATATCTTGACAAAAAATATTAAAAGCTTTTTGAATCCTTATAAAAATATAGTCCAAGCTTAAAGTAAATTTATTTAATAGCCTAACATCTCATTCCAAAAGAAGTGCTAATGGCTTTGGAAGAGCAAATGCATCAAGTATAGACACAGAAAGCTACCACGAATTGTTCCCAAGCAGCTTCCCTTGCCCATTTGTTCAATGCACAATGGCTAATAGGTTAAAAAACATATGCATTTTTATTAATACATTTCTTAAGTTGTACTTTAAAACGTATGATAAGTGGGTAGAAATAATACGGACATGTACGTGATGGCACACAGCTTACTCAAAATCAGTGAAGGAACTGGGTCAGTATATTTTGAAAAAGTATAAAATATGAGCTATCAAAATCACTAGGAAAGTAAAACCTGGGTCTTTCAAACTGAAATACATGATTGTGTCATAAGGTTACACTGAAAAAATCCGCATAAAGGTGACTCCTGACATGTGGGAATGGATGCTCGGTTACTTCTCCGTACAGCAATATTCGGTGCTCGCCATACTCGGCTTTCTCGTTCGCTTCAAAGTGCACGAATTCGTGAAGTAACCGCACTCAAACCATCCACGCATTCGGCAATGAACTACATACTCTCAACAGGACAGACAAGAATGACACATCTTCAACGGTAAACAAACACTTTGAGCCCTGAAGATGATCTCAATAAAGATCGAAACGTTGGCACGATAAAGAAAATGTTTTTCTAAAACCTACGTCACACCAGACCGCATCTCAAGATCTCCAAATATTCATTGTACAATTGTATCATTGTACTTTAACCAACTGTCAACTGTTATCAAAATCAACATTAGGGGTATAAAATGCGTTTGAAAAATGGCAAAAACGAGAGAAAATTCGAAAGGTTGTACGTTGAGATGGGGAGTTGGTGTCCGAGTGGATCGAAGTCACGATAGGTCAAGTGGTTAGAGCGCGGTGTATTGAGCCGAAGGTCGTGGGTTCGAATCCCCCTCGTGACACTATCTTTTTCATCTCAACCAAGACTTTACATAAAAAGAATAATTAACTGAATTAAGTATATATTTCTATTTAATGCTATTTATCTTTCATTAATAAACGATTCCTATAGTATAGATGTATTATTTTACACAATAACAACAGTTTTCTTTTATAAGGAATGGATTGGCTCAACTCAACAGTTTTGGAGTTCCTTGGGGTTTAAGAAACAGGACCAATAATTTGGAAAGCTTCTTTTAGGAATCATATTTTTTATAAATAAAATAATAAATAAAAAAAATTCAAAATATAATAAAGAAAATTTTTAAATTAGTTTCTAGCCAATGCACAAAACAGTAACCACAGCTGCATCAATGATAGGTTCACTGTTGTCCATCACAATTGGAAGTAAGTTGAATATTGGCAAATACATATTCCTTGTTTTCGCAACCACTAGGAGGTTATACAACAATGTGTGTACCCGTAGGCACGGTGTTGGCAAATGCCAAGACGAGCATCTCGAGACTTGGGAAATATTCGGCGGTAATTCGAGGAATACCGCATTTTTGGAGTCACCTTTAGATCAGGCATCCAAGCGACCCTAAAAGTGTTCGTAAAGAAGTCACATCCGAAATAGTTGGTGAATGCATCGAAAATTTCCAAGACCACTGGGAATTATGGGTAATGAAAAAGCAGACTTACTGCCCAGAGGAGGGTCGGCAAGATTAACTATAGGCCCAGTACCTATAATTGAGATAACAAGATCAAACATATCTCAGAATGGCTCCATACAAAACAAAACGAGAAATGGACAACTCAAAAAATTATAGACATAGTACACTCACTCATGTTTAAAGAACCAACAACAAAACTAGCAAACACAATGCTACAGTTAGACATGACAAAACTCAGAAGAGTGACTGGGATATATAACGGCCTTTGACCTCATAAAATACACCTTCACATCATGAGTTCAATGACGACCAGATTTGTTATTGTAATGAGGTGATAGAAACTGCCAACGATGCTATCTTCGAATGCGAAGCAATCGCTCAATAGAGACATAACTTAGCAGCAATGATAGACAAAGACCTATTACTTTTTAAAAGAAGGATCGTGTCAATTGAACTGAACTAATGAACTAGGAAAAGTACAATAAGCCAAAAAGCTACAGTCCTTGGAAAATAACTAACTGCCGCTTCTTTCAAATCTGCCCACCGTTATTTCTGGCTAACGTCCGGTTCTTCTTACTCCCCCAAACATCCCAGTACAGGGGGAGTCCCCCTAAGGTAGTATCCCTGGTCCTATCCTTTACTTATACACCACGGACATCCCTAATTATCCCAATACTTACAGTGAACGATACAACAATCCCTTCTGCTCTCGAGGATCTTGTCCTCGACGTTCGTGCATTAAGTCTCACCTTACCCCCCTTGAGCCACGGCTAAACAAGTGGAGGATAGTACAATAAATGCCTGTACA